AGGTCCCCAGTTCCCAGTAACAACAAGAGGGTCGGGGTAGGGGCAACCATAAAAGGGCCAAGCTGCCTGGGAAGCTACACGACAATAAAACGAAAAATTATTTATACGCAACACATAATTCTGGGAAGCTAGCAACCCAAAAACAGCACTACTTGGGCACTGCCAGCACCCCACACCTCCTCCTCCAGCTAGCTGGCAGTCGGTTGCCAAGATGTCGTGTCCAAGACCAAGTCCCAGGAACTCCCAATAAGATGGTTACTTCATGTGTTGCCAGCCAACTGAGGGCCAGTGGCAGAAGCAGCAGTGACAGCTTTGAGAGGTTGTCTGGGAAAGGAACGGAACTACATAAATAAAAGGGCAGAATGGAAGAGTGGCAGGGAGGAGCTGGAGGTGGAGGAGCTGGAGACCCTGCCAAGACAATGACAATTTGCTGGAAAATCATATTAAAATAAAAGCGCAATAAACAACACACGAAAGTGGAGGTAGGAGGAGGTAGGAGGGCAGGACAGGAGCCGAACTTGGCCCGAAGACTTACCCGAAGGAGCATCATCAGAACTGCATGATAACGAGGTGGATTATAGTCTAGGAGACTATCCGGTACTGGTAGACTCTGATCTAGTCTTTTAAGAAGATTGTAAGGAATGTCGGTCTCCTCCGGGCACTTGCCACACAATTGGAAGATACGAGATCCAGTCAGAGAGTGGTGTCCTTCATGCCCAAATGATTTCCGCTGCTTGGCACACATTCCGTCGTCTTCTGTGGTGCTTGGTTGGATTTGGGGGGCTGTTCCACATATTTTCCTTTATTTTCCTGCCATCGCGGGATGGCTGGGTGGCTGGGTGGCAGGTGCATTGTTGCCTCATAATGAGCCCGAGAGTGAGAGTCTTGGGCCAGAAAAGCTTCTGCTACTGAGGCAGCTGATAAAGCAGCTAAGCTGGAGAATGGCTGGATGGCTGGATGGCTGCATGGATGGGTGGCTCTATGGTCGTGCTAAAGTCTCCTAAAAGAAAATTGCATGCCATCCAATTTCAGTGGAGGGGGAGGAACAGGTTTTTCCACCCAAAAGAGTTCCCATCCCGACTGGTTCAGAGGCGGAGGCGGTGACGATGGCGTCTTGGGAAAAGTTCACCTTTGTTTTAATTGCAACTAACAAGTGATTACCGCTTGTATGCAAATCGACTTGCCGGTGAGAGATGGTGGTGGTCAGAGACCAGGAGATCCCAGGAGGAGGAGGAGGAACTAGTTGCCACTTAATGCCCGAAAATAGATTCCAAAAATGCGGAAAATATTGGACAATTATGCGAAATTAATAAAAATTATGCAGATTAGTAGGAGACCAACAAGACAGGCACTATCTGGCACAAGGTAGGTGTCTAACTGACCTCCACCAACCACCTAACTGACCTCCGAACCCCTCCCAGAGCTCCGAATCCCCCAATCGAAATGGATTAATATTCAATCGCAACAAGCCTCTCTGGCTGGCTATTTCTGTCGAGGCTTCCAGTTACAGAATGCCAACAGCTACACCGATTCCCCACCGATCCATGTCCGCTGGTCTATAGTTGGCCCTTCCCCTCTCTACGACCGTGTCTTGTGTCAAATGGCAAACTAAATGCTTTTCAGCAGCAGCCAGGGCACAAAAAAAAATGCCAAAATAGAAAAAAAGTCTCTAGAAAAACACACAGTGGAGGGCAGGCCAGGCCAGAGTCCAGATACCAGAGGCAGGGAGCTGGGGGCTGGGAGCTGGGGGCTGGGAGCTGGGCAGGAAAATCAATAAACTCTGGACTTGAGTTTTTTGAACTTTCTTGTTGGGGTTGTCGGGCGAATTCATTGTCATCCATACGAGTTCCTAGTGCCTGCCTAGTGGGGAGTATCCGCAGACGAGATACCCTCTAGGATGGGCCTCTAGGATAGTTCCAGTTGGAAAAGTAAAGTCCCCTAGAGGTCGAGCCCTGCAGGGAACTGTCGCAGGCTATTTGTCGCATTCCAAATCCATCCAAGAATTCAATAATCGCCTGTTTCGAGGGAAGGAGTACCCCCTGATCCCTGGAATTAGTGTCTTAATGGCTTAACCCCTTGACGGGGTGCGGAGTTCGTGCGCCACGGTGGCCGCAGGAGCTTAGGTGGCTAATCACGGGCCGATTTGAGGAGCAATCACTATTAGTCCGGAAGGAAAACAAGACCGAGACAGGGAACAGGACAAGTGATAAGTGATAAGTGCCATTTCTCAGGTGGCAGGAGGGAGGGGCAGCCGGGGATTAGAGGACAGCGACAGCAATGAAATTTATGAGACGTGTCAGCAACGGCTGCTGGTCAGGAGGAGGAGGAGGTCATGGTTCGCAGGTCATGGTGGGAGGACCTTGTGATAAACGACAAAGGCGTCAGCTGGACAAAACAAAAGTGAAATGAAAGGGATGAGTTTAGAGTGGAGGGCGGAGGAGGAGGAGGAGCCAATAGTGACCACCACCAAGATTATGAAGTGTTTCGCTTTTCCATTGCCTGGATGTCATCGGTAATGGTGGGTTACTTCTTGTCCTAGCTCCCGGCCGCTCCTCCGCATAAATTATTCCCTTCCTGACAACCACCACCGACCCGCAACCCACCCCGAGTCTGTATAATTACCCCGCCCCCCTTTGCTGGAAACTTGGTGGCCATTTATCGTGGTGGCGGCCCTAATCCTCCTCCAGGAGGAGGGCAATTGAATCGAAACTATTCACAATTCATTTGGGAGGCGCGGAGTGAAGTGAACACCAAAGTTTCCCAGCTCACACTTTCCATTCCGGCGAGTGCGAGATGTGGGTGTGTGTGTGTGGTATGTGGAGAGTTGGCCTCCTCCTCCTCCTCCTCCTCGAGCAGTCCCCTCCTGCGGGTTAAAGTTTGATTGATGTGCCGTGTCCCGCACGCCGACAACACGAAAATTAGTTGAGAGACCGCTCTCGAAAGTTAAATGGAGACTCGGGGATCTGCTTCCACAGCCACACCACAGACTACAGACTACAGACCATGGAGAGAGAGAGGCCTGCAGTTGGGATGATTGACGGGATGGACAGACGAGCAGGGTAATCTTTAAAAACTGTGGAAGGGGGCGGGGGAGTATACTGCCTGCCGGAGGGACTGCCTCTCCTAATTCGGGCAGTGGCCGGGGTCGGGGAGAGGTGCCCCCCAAAACAAACAGCCAGGATATCAACAGGATCTCGGGCATTTAAAATCACTTCCCGTGAAGCCTGCTCATCCTCATCCCTGCTTATAACCTCCATCCGGGCCATATCAGATGGCTGGGCGACCTGACCCCTGGGCCACCCAGAAACGCCCACTTGAACCCACATTAGCTTGAGTTGCCAGCCGCACGAGGAAGTGGCAAGGAGCTAGGACCTGGGTATCTGGGTATCAGGTATTGTGTCCTGCCTGCCTGTCCTGCCTGTCCTGCCTGCCTGCCTGCTCCTGAGATTGTGTACTTTGCATCATTGGGCAAACAAATGCAGCAACAAAAGCCAGCCAGCATGTGTGTTGCACGTTGCACGCTAACCCCTTCCCCCCCGCCTCCACCACTGTCTCAAAGACTGACACAGTTTAGGGTCGCCTGCAGCACTCGAGTGGCGTGTTGCAAATCGAGCGCATCTCTGCCACACAGCAGCTGCCACTTGGTATCAAGTGTCCGATGTGGGGAAGCCATGCAAGATGGAATTCGCGGTTGCCGGCACGCATGCGCACCAAACCGCAAAAGCTGGAGAGAGAGCACCATTCATCTCCTCCAGACTGACCCCTCCGGATGACGGCCACGGGCAGGACTAGAGTGGGTCGTCAGGTGTCCTGGCGGAGGAGCTTACATGCCGAACTGCATGAGAGCTGGTCTGTGGCTTCCTCGGCCACTCGGTCCAATATCAAAGGCACTCGGAGATGTAGTCATAATTCGGCTCAGTGAGCTGGGGGGCGGGGTGGGCTAGGCATGGTGGGCATGGCAACCTAACAAGAGCTGGGCAAGAGTGGCACGAGGGCTGTGCGGTGGGTCAGTTACAGTGTCGGCTTCAGTGGGGCATGCGGCAAGCACTCGTCACCTCGCATGACGACACGGGCTTGGATCAACAACGGGGGGGGGCTGACCAATTGATTGGCATCCTTAGCGGTTTCAAGATTGCTTTCCAGCACCAGCAGGAGGAGGAGGAGGAGGAGCATGGAGACGTGGAACTATTTGGTTTGGAACTCTGCCGGGGATTAGGCCGCCTTGCAGGTCCTTTGTTTTCAATTAACACTTTGGCATGGGACCATGAATACGTTATCCTGCATCCTGAATAATTTAGTGCTCCACCCCTCCCTCCTCCCCCTCCCTCCTCTCTGGTAATTGCTGTTGATATCCTTGTTACTCCATGAATCTGGACCACAAATGGACCAAATATTTGTGAAAAACAATCCTCTCTCTGGACTCTGGCCGGGGGAATCCAATTGGTTATAGCCCACAACACAGTATTCTAATGGGGGGGGGTTGGGAGTCGGCCTGACCCCTGACTCCTGCCATGTCCTGGTCTGGTCCTGGTTTTTTGGGGTCCAGTTGCGTCCGAAAATTAAATAAAAATGCAAATATCAGAAATCGAAAATGTATTTATATTGTTTTTTACGAAATATGATATAATATGTGAATGTATTTATTTATGAAAGCTGCATTTATTGTTGCCCTCTGCCATATTGTTGTACTTTCCCCCCCTCTAGAGTCCCATCCCCCCCTCTTGATGGAAAATAAACCCAAGTCCCAACCCTGGGACTTTTTCCAAAAAATGGAAAATAAATGCTGGGAAATCGATCTGACTCGTGGTGGGGATGGGAATGGATGCGGATGGCTTCAGGTGGCAGCCCACCCCCCTCCCGGCTGCCATAAATCAGACAGGTCACCTTTAAGCCCTCGGATTTAAGCCAAAGCCGAACAAATCGGTCCGAGGCGCGAAGCTTTTAGGCAAATCCCTCCATGTTCGACCTCCACTAACCTCCATTGTTGTTTCTTCTTTCAGAGTCCAGCCCGCAGACCCAGCAGCTGATCTCGCAGCAGCAGCTCCAGGCCCCCAGATTCACCACGCATCCCTCCTCCTCCGGCTCGATCGTGAGCGAGGGGAGCACTAAGATCCTGCAGTGCCATGCCCTGGGTAAGTGTTAGCCTCTAAGGATAGTCTACCTGGTAAACACCTGTTAACTGAATCAAAAGCGTGTCATAATCCGGCCGTTTGGGGCTTCGCTTTCCAGCCTCCTCCTCCTCCTGCCAGCCCCAAGAGTCCTGCGAGAGTCCTGGGGGCTTTTGTAAAAGGAAACCATAAACGAAAGCATTTTCCCTCTTCGCTGCCTGGCCTGGCCTGGCCGCTTTTCAAAGATAATGAAGTAGAAAAACAATAACTTTTATGGGGTTTCCCACCCAGCTGGGCCCCACGAGTAATCCTTTGAGCGCTTTAGGGCGTGCCAGTGTCCAGTCAACAGCCGTCCAGGACTCGCAGGCAGGAGGTACACGTAATGCTTCGTCCTGTCCCTGTGTCCTGCATTTGACAGTTTCGAGTATCGGTTTCATATTGCTGGTCCTTCCGCCCACTGCCCACCGCCCCCCCGAAAAAGGACGGCCCAGGCTTCTGCTGTTTACGGCCTTGGTCCTTGCTTGTGTTTTATGGCCGGCGGATTCACAAAATTAGTCCTGAAAGGTCCGCGCCTGGGGACGGGAATACTACGGGATGCGGATACGGATGTGGAGGTGGCTATAGGGCCATTGTTTGTTGTGTCTTAATTGGCAAATTACGGCCAAAGGCCAAGGTGATTCGAACGTTTAACCTTTCGGCCTTGACGTCGTGTGTCCTTGAGCGGCGATTAGGCCAGCCCGATGACCCTTCTATTGGTTCCATCAGCGAGCTATTGGTGTCCTCTCTCTCTCCTGGCATATGAGTGGCTGTTCGGGCATAACTGATTCTCGGGGATATCGGCCATAATCGCAGTTGGTTTTCTGGCCTTTCATGGAGGGTTATACCCCCCCCCCCCCTGCTCCCCGCAGGTTGTTGCACACTAGCGGGGGCGGTGGAGAGTGTGGGGGGGAGGGGATACTGTTTGTGCGCATTTATGGGGATCTGTGCAACGACACCCCAGAGCCGAGCACTTTGCATAAGCTGCAAGGGGGTTTTCCCCCAAAAAAAAAAGGCCAGCAAAGGGTGGTGCAAGGGGGAGGCCTGCTAGGTGGCCTGCGAGGGGGGACTGCGGGGGGGAGGAAATAAAAACAAATGCAAATCTCTTTAGCTGCTCTTTGGCGTTGCTGTTGTTTTTGTTGCAGATGCCACAACAAGCGTTGCCGTTCGCGCTTTCAGTCACTTTGGCGGTTTCAGCTGTCAACACACACACACATACTAGCTCACTTTTGGAGGCACACAGATACAGATAGTGGCAGAACCAGCCTCCTCCCCCCTCCCCCCACACATCCCACATCCCAGCGCTTTAAGATACTTTATGGCATCGCGTCGCTCTAGAGGAAGTTTTTCTCGGTTGGTCGCGATTTTTTGTTTTCCACGGCCATGAAGGGGCGGCTCTCATCTCGAGTAAACGGGTTTCCACACCTCTACCCCCCATAAACACCCCCTCATCCACCCCGTTTTGTGGCGCGACAATCGTGAAAACAACAACCAGGAACAGTAGAAGAAGTACCAGGTGGCAACTATAGCGACACCCTGTTGGCTCGTATGTGCAACGTCCTGGTGGCCAGCCCAACATGCCCCAACAGCTGTGGTGGAATCGTTTCTGGCCAACAAAATGAAATGCGATGAGCCCCGCATTAGAGGAAGCGAGACTAGAGATGAGAGTAGGGGGTGGGGGGGGGGAGCGCTTGCCTCTCAAATGTAGCGCATTCACTTGCAACAAAGACTGTTTTGTGGCAACAACAAAGCCGCCAAAGCGCTGCAAGTCGGACATGTGTCGAACACGAGGAGGAGGAGGAGGGCTGGGAGAGACTACATCTCCCAGTCGGAAGAGTGCGTGGCCGAAGCCTTTCTTCTCCTTCTAGCTCTTCTCTCCAGAAGTGGTGGGGGGAAGGTAAGCTGGAAAATTGCAAAAACTATTGTTTTTGTTGCTGCCAGTCTGCCAGCTTTTTGTCGCAATTTCTTTCTCGTTCTCGGGGAAGGCATTCCAGCCATTGCCGCCAATCCTCTGTTGTTTATTCTCCAAAACCAGCGAGGAGGAGCAGGAGAAGATTCAGGCCAGGATTCCTATAAGAGTGTATGCCTATATGATGCTGGTACTGGTACTGGTACTGCCCTAATGTATTGTGAGAAGCGGCATGGCAACAACTGAAAAACAAAGTATTCCTGAAATGGAAACCAAGAAAATTCCAACAGAATAAACCGAAAAGGTGATTGAGGCAACAAGGATATTGTGTTTACTTAAAGATGAACTCGGCTGAGGATGGAGGATGGAGGACAGCCGGCAGGACTGGAAATATGGAAAGTTAATGACCAAATTGGTGAAATGCCTGGTAATGGAAGGGAAAGTGGAGAACTAGATTGGGTCTTGATGGTATCAGGACTATAAAGACACTAGGATTCACCCTTGAAGGTTGCAACTTGGGATCTTTCCTTCTAATCCACCTTCGGAGGATAGTAGCTTCCTTAAATCTTATCCGATCTTAATCAGAGATTCTAGATGCTCAGTTCCTTATACTAGCTCTTCCTTAAATACCTCCTTACTTAGATATTTTTTGGAATTTTTTCTAAGATGTCCTTAGGAGGTTCTTCCTTTCTGCATTCTTCCTTCTGCAAGGATCATCCTTTCTCCTCCAATATCCCTTTCCAATTGGAATAGAAATTCAAAATCAAAAAGGTAGATAGTCTCCTAGTCCTGGCTATGATGGTGACTTTAGTTAGCCAAGCTATTTGTGGGCCAAGTTGTGGGCCATTGCGGCATGTGGCAGGACGCAAGGACATGGCCAGCCAACTGCCCGAAATGTGCAAACAAAGGCGTGTGGCATAAAAGTGAAATGTGGAGCCGAAAAGTGCAGCAAGAACTGAAGGACCCAGGACCCAGAGGCCGAGACAAGGCGAGAAAAGCCTTTTAGGCACTTTTCAAGTTTGGTGCCACTCCACACCTGCGGGGAGGAGACCAGACCAGGGAGACCAGAGTCCACAGGCGTTGGAATAATTTAGCAAACATGTGCCGGGATGGCCGAAGTTGCTGCCACAAAAAGGGCTTCCGAAAGTTGCAACAAATTAACATTTTTTTCCTTTTTTTTTTTAAAGACAGCTCTTGAATTGTTAGCTCTGGCAGGTCCTGGCTAGGATATTTTGGGGACAAATATTGATGGCCGGTTGGAGTTATGAATGCCCCGACTGGCCTGGCAGGATGCAGTCTGGTTATCATCCTCTTCCTGTTCTACTTCCTGTTCCTGTTACCGGTAGCAGTGACCTCGTCCTGGCTTGCAAATGAAATTGATTTCGCGGAGCACACGGGCTGGCAATCATTCAATCGATGGATTTGCTCTGGCCACAAATCAAACAATTTCCGCCATGCGTGCCAGGACTCCCAGCCAGGATACCCAACACACACACAGGCACACTGACACACAAATACAGAAACAGGAAAAGCGGAAAACCCCTTTACTTTTCCACACAAATGCAGTTTGTTGCATTCCGTTGCCGTTTATTGAATTTATTTATATGCCCAGCCTGGGCTTAGACACCAGCTGATTGACTGATTGATTGATTGACTAGCTGATTGACTGACTGATGACTGGCTGACTGGCTTCCTGGTGTTCCTGGAGCTCCTGCTTAACCGCAAAGCGAAGTAATCTGAAAAATATTTACAAGGGAATTCATTTTTGCGAAAACATGTTGCCTACTTTCCGGAGCCGGAAGTCATCCGCTTGGAAGAAGGATGTAGCCGGCCAAGTAGTTCTTTAATTCTGATCAAAGTCAGAGTCAGTACCAGGCAGTGTCTTGGCCCCCCACCCCCTTGGGGTTTCTTTTCGGGGGGAGCTTCTCGGGTTGCCTCTCTCGGGTCGGCTTTCTGGTGGGCCCCTGGTGGGCTCTTGTACGGCTTCGACTCAAAGGATTCTTGCCGGTTTAGTTATTATAATTAAACGTACCGATATGAAAGGGAGGGGGGGGCCAGTGTTCAGGCACTGGAAGAAACCAGGGATGACCTTGTCTCCTAGCCATTGGACGACTGGCCATTGGACCTTTGCTTCGATGACACATTTCGCTGGAGAATGTTTGTTTCCTCGGCCAGTCGTCGTCTCCTTCCATCCCCTGGGCTCGGATTGTTGACCAACGGCACTTCGATGTGTGTATGGAGGTCCTTGTGTGTCTCCCTGTGTGTGTCCTTGGGTGTATCCTTGGGTGTGTGTGTTTGCCTCACAATTCCCCAAATTGTAATTTTATAGCAGCGTCATTGCCCAAATAGACTTTTGCCTTTCGGTCCGATTCGGTAACTTTTTTTCTTGTCCTGTCTTATCCTTTGGATTCCGACTTTTTCTTGAGAAACTTTCGGCCTGCCACCAGCTCCTCCGCCTCCTCCCGTGTCCTTGCTATTCTCAAGATGATTCCATTTGATTCCTATTCTCGGCTGGTAGTTTCCAGTTTCGGCTCTAACTTGGCGCAATTCGATTTCGTCCTTAAACTGAATGGAATGGCCGCTCCGCCAGTTACCCTCTAATCTGGGAGTCCTTTCAGGCCATTTGGAGACGAAGTACAGGGTATCTGGGAAAGGGCTCTGGCACGTGAGGCTAGCACTTTCCGGGCCAGGGCGTTGATGGGCTGATGGTCGCTTTTGGGCCTCTGGCTATCCAGCCATCCAGCCATCCGTCTGTCCTGTTGCATCCTGGCCAGTTAGGCGGGCGCATATTTTATTCAGGCTTTCATTTAGATCGACCTCCGCCTCTGACCCGCCTCTGACCCTCCTCTGAGCCAGGTCACATGTAATTTTTGTTTAGCCATTCCAATTGCAATTCCATTTCGCAAAAGGGAGCCACTGCCCCGGGGCGGGTGGTGGCAGGTGGGCGGGCAATATAAATCAACTTTAATTTAAATGCCTGGCTGCAGCAATGAAATCGGGATGAGCTCTCAGGACACTGGACAAATGAAGCCAACTGCGGCCAGGAGGGTCAGGAGGGTTCGGGTGGTGGTCCTTTATGCTGGCATCCATCTATTGGTCCCTTTATGGCTCCCTGGAACTCCGCCAGAGTACGATTTAATCAAAATGTGTATGCTGCGGTCGGGGGAGAGGGAAGGAAGGCAGGGGTGTCCTTTGTCAGGAAAATCAAATAAAACCCCCCCACACTCCGCCCCGCTACTTACTGCGGTATTAACGCATCCCATCTCTGTCTTGGTGCAACCGACTCATGTCCATGTTTCTTCTCTTTCTTTCCGCAGGATACCCGCAACCCATGTACCGTTGGCTCAAGGACGGCGTGCCAGTGGGCGACTTCTCGTCCAGCCAGTTCTACCGCTTCCACAGTACGCGGCGCGAGGATGCGGGCAGCTACCAGTGCATCGCCAGGAACGATGCCGGATCCATATTGAGCGAGAAGAGCGATGTTGTGGTGGCCTGTAAGTATACACACACTCCTCCAGGAGGCTGGAGAGGATCCATTTGGGGTTTGGACTGACTGACTGACTGGGTGGGTGGGGGAGGATCCTTAAGGTTTCATTTATGTTTCGATTAGCGGCCATTCCTTTAAAGACTCCAGGCTGGATCACAGTGTCCTCCAAAGCAGAACCGGAAAGTGTCGACTTATTAGACTTACTAGGAGTGGGAGGACATCCCCTGGGGGGTAGGATGCTGTTCGGGGCACAAGGATTACTAATCAAACGGCTGTCACGGCACTGGCATGTCGAGTGTTTTCCTGGGAAACCTCCTCCCCCACCCGCCCGGTTGGGGGTTAAATGTTTAGCTGCTAATTTTTCTTTAATACGAACTTAATTACAACATGAACGAGGAGGTCACCGGGTAGGAGTGGGTGTGGGAGTGGGTGGTGGTGTGAGGGGGTGTGGGTGTGTTACGAACAATTAGACAAGTAAGTGTGAGTGACACTTGAGCTCCGTGTGCCGGGGCGAGTGCCTATTACCCCACTACTTGAACTAATAAATCCTCCTCGACCTCCTCTCCTGCTGATTCCCCCGAACCGAATTCACGGTGACCTTCTTTTCTGGGGGTAGAGTGGGGCAGAGTGGGGGCATGGCCTGCTGACAGACTGACTCAATGACTCAATGACTCGTTGACTGGTTGACTTGGAGCAGCTGGTATGCATGGTAGTTGGAGCAGCGTCTTGAGCACTTAATTAATTGTAGGAGAGGGCAACTTAAACTGAACCTAATAACCTTTAAAGCTGGGGGGCTGGCTGCCTCTTCGATGGGCGGTGGGGGGTGGTATCGGGCGGTGACTTGCCCGCAGGCCGCAGTGCCTTCAATTCAATTAGCGAGTGACACCACAGGAAGGCAGCTTGTGCGGCAGAGCTTCATGGCTGGCTGAGCTCAAGCCCAAGCCCTCCTGGAAGAGGCTTTCCTTTCACTAACCCACTACTCCTCCTCTCCCCCTCTCCTTAGATATGGGCGTCTTTGAGAATACCACCGAGGGACGGCTGACGGTGACCAGCGGCCATCCGGCGGTCTTCGATATGCCGGCCATAGACTCGGTGCCGACGCCCTCGGTGATGTGGCAGTCGGAGGACGGGCCCCTCAACTACGACATCAAGTACGCCTTCACCCAGGCCAACCAGCTGATCATCCTGAGCGCCGGCGAGGGCGACCGGCGGGGCTACCGCGCCCGGGCCACCAACACCCAGCTGGGCAAGGAGGAGAGCAGCGCCTATGTCCATCTGAACGTGAGCGGTGACCCGTTCGTGGAGGTGGCGCCCGAGATCATTGTACGGCCGCAGGACGTCAAGGTCAAACTGGGCACCGGCGTCGTCGAGCTGCAGTGCATCGCCAATGCCCGGCCCCTGCACGAGCTGGAGACTCTCTGGCTGAAGGACGGCCTGGCCGTGGAGACCGCCGGCGTCCGGCACACCCTCAACGACCCTTGGAACCGCACCCTGGCCCTCCTGCAGGCCAACAGCTCCCATTCCGGAGAGTACACCTGCCAGGTGCGGCTGCGCAGCGGCGGCTATCCGCCAGTGAGCGCCTCGGCCCGCCTACAGATCCTCGAGCCGCCCGTCTTCTTCACGCCGATGCGGGCGGAGACGTTCGGGGAGTTTGGCGGACAGGTGCAGCTGCCCTGCGACGTGGTGGGCGAGCCCACGCCCCAGGTCCGGTGGTTCCGGAACGCAGAGTCGGTGGACGCCCACATCGAAAGCGGAAGGTGAGTCGCCACATCGATGGCCCGGGAGAGTACTATAGTAATGCCTAATCCTTTCCAGATATGCACTGAGCACGGACAACACCCTGGTGATCAAGAAGCTGGTCCTGGACGACGCCGCCATGTTCCAGTGCCTGGCGAGCAACGAGGCCGGCGAGAACTCGGCCAGCACCTGGCTGCGCGTGAAAAGTAAGTCGAGAGGTTTCCGGCTGTGTCCGAGTGGCACTGGAAGCGGAGTGGCTATTAAGCAGGGACAGAAAGAACAGGATACTGTTGTCCCATCTCTTGGACAAGGACAAGAGACTCCTCCACTCATGACTAGTTACTCATGACTAGTTACTGTTTAGATTAGTTAGAGCTTTTAATGTCGTGATCCTGGAGAGAAACCATCCAATACAGATGGTCTGAGCCACTCCCCCTTCAGTGCCAGTCGGGCGCCACATGCAGCTACTGCCTGATGCCTGGATCATAACCCATCCTAGTCTAAGTAAGCCACCTTTGGAGCGGCCCCCTAACCATTTTGCATTCTCGCCTCTAACCCATATTGCTAACCACGAATACGAATCCATAGCAGACACCGCCAAGAAACGCGTCAAACGCCTGGCCCAGCCCCGTATCCTCAGGGTAAGAGCTTCGCATGCTGGCTTGGGATCGGGATCGGGATCGGGAGCGGAAAGGGGCTCGGGCTCAGGATCGGGAACTGGTACCATTGGTAAACGCAAGGACTTCCGCTTTGGTATGGGCATCTCTACAGCATTAAGTGATACACAAACAAGCACCCTTACAACCACCTAGAATTGAATTTGAAACCACTATAGCACCACCCAATGCACCACCCACCCACCCACACCATTGCACCACCTTGAAAAATATCCTGTAGCTGGTAGTCTATTTGATTGTTTTGCGATCCAATTTGTTGTTTTATTGGCCTGCCTGCCTGCCTGCCAGCCAGCCCGAGGCCAGTGCCTGGCAAGTCTTAGTCTAAGCTTAAACATTATCTCTAAGTATTCCTTTGACTGGCTGTCCTGGCTGGCATCTCCTCCTACCCACCCAACTCCCTAGCTCCTAGCTTCTAGCTCCTCCTTTTTTTTTCCTTCATTCCTAATTTGTTTTTCGCCCTGCGGGTGATGGAGCTCCATTGCATTGCAGAATACGTTACTTTATGGAGCGCCGAGGGCTCTGGTGTGCTGGCCAGAAGCTGGAATTTCATTTGCCCAGTCTCCCCATCCCCCCACCACCTGGTGGCCACTCTTCTATCCAGTTTGTCAAAAGCTAAGGAATTTTTCATTCAAGTTGATTAGTCGGGCATGTGGCCCTCATCGGGAGAGTCTCCTCCGACATGAAAGCGAAAGTATGATTCGAGATTCGGGATTAGTCTTGGAAGAGTTATGGGTGGATGGATGAAGATGCCACCAAGACGGTTGCTAACCTGCCCCCCAAGTGCCGTTAAGGTGCCACTTTGCATTTTAATGAACTCCATAATGCGAAAATTAAGATTGACACACGAGAGTCATACTTGGGAGTCGGAGTTTGGTTGAAGGAGTCCTGTCATGCTGAATCATTCGCCATTCATGAGAAGAGGAGAGTGACTTGGTTGGCGTTTAAATATTTGACAGAGTCCTTTGAAGGACATGCCGGAACAGTGTCGGACATATTGTTCTCCCAAGTTGGAGAGACATTAGAGGCAAACTTTGTCCTTGCCACCGCACTTGCATTTTTATGACCCCACCAGTTCTGGACGGGATTTCATGTAAATTTCAAATCTCTATGCATATTTTCCAGTTCTTGGCCAAGTCCTAGTCCTGGTCCTAGTCCTAGCCTGGACCGATGAAGAAGTTAAGGGATTTTGTCGTCGGCGGTTTATTGAAAAACTTTCCAGCCTCATAGTTGGCCAGGGCATGGGGAAAGTTGCTGATTATGTTGCTCCTCGGCTGTGCCCCCAATCCTGGATCCTGGGAATCTGGGTTACCAATCGTTGCGGCTCATTTAATTTTATTTTCGTAAGCTAATTCGAGTCGATTTGTTTGTCTGCGCCAGCGCACTTTACGACTCCATTCCGGTCATCATTTAGTCCCCCCCCCCGAAGAGGAGTCCAGTCCGGATGGGTTTTATTGCCGACAGAAGTTCTCTCCTCCTCCTGGTAATCAGGGGAACGGGAAGCCGTCCTAATCGGCTTTTAGAGAAGGAGCACTGCCGGACCTTTTCCCAGCGCTCCTGTTCCTGTCCGTAATTGGTGGAGGCTGCGATAATCCAGATCAGAATCTGAATCGGATTACGAACACCTTTGCTCCTCGAGTTCAACTCTGATTCGATTGCCAGAGTTCCGGAGCTAGTGCATCTCACCTGCTAGGGCAGTCCCTAATTTCCTGGCCGGGCTGGAGGGGCAGGGACGACTCTTAATCCGGCTCACTTGATTTCATTCTGGAATTCCTTTCGTTTATTGTTTGTACGACCCGTTTATCTCCGGGTGTCCTTCGTCCGGCAACAAGTGGCATCTGTACTCCCAGCTCCTCGCTATTTTCCGCATGGAAGGCCACTTGAAGGATAATCCTTGTGCCGGAGCACTTTTCACTTAGAGATAGGCGAAGAAGTTGAGTTGGGAAATTATTTTCCAGCTTTTCGCGTTCAGCGAAACGTGAAAGGGAGCCGTCGTCTGGAGCACTGGAGGCAGGGGGGCAGGACCCCGGCTGCAGTTTAATTGCTCCTCGTGCCGGTGCCCGCCCGATGTTTGTCAAAGTTTTGCATCTTTCCGTGAGCTGTGTTGGCCTTTTCTGGGGCGCCTTGGCACTTTATTTCTGTTAAGTTGGCGTGAATCCCCACAGGTACTCTCTCTCTCCTCGTGGCTCTGGATCCAGCTCCAGCTCCAGCTCCTCCTTCTGTTTCTGTTTCTGTTTCTGTTTCTGGTCTTGGTGCTGGTGATGTTGGTGTGCACTTTCCGGCTGCCTGGGCAGGCTTCTGCTCTTCAAACTCGAGCAACATAATTTCGTAATTTCCCGAAACGCAAAAGTGATTTTAATCGCCGCTTCCTGCCATTGCCACCCGCTTTTCCGCCCCCATTGCCTCCCTCCTCCCCCTTGTCTTTGAGTAATTAGGTGACTTGTGGGCGTGGTGGGCGTGGAGTGACGGCTCAATGCGATTTCCAGTCCGCGAATTTGTGGCAATTTCTTTGTTTGCTTTTCCTGAAACTAGTGGCCCGCCAACAGGTGGTGTTCACGCGAGGTCAGAGGTTACCCTGGTTTCGAGTTGATTCCTGGACCAGACCAAATGGCTAGTGATATGGATGATACCCAACAGCCACTGGCCAGAAAACGGCCTTTCGGCATCACAAGATGGCTCTTTTGAAACTTAATTCCTGGCAACCTGAATAATTAATTCGCAGCAAAGGGTGATTTCCGATTAGTGTGCTGCAAGGAGTCGCAGGACCCAACCCCGAAACAAGGACCCTGCCAAGGCGGCCTTCGCTTTATGCTTATTAAAGAAAGAAGCACCAGGGTGGAGGGTGGAGGGACCTGAAAGCTGAAACGAAAAACCGTTTAAGCGGTGCGAAGTGGGTCGGGAGCGGGGGCGGGTGTGGGTGTGGGGTCGGGGAGCCCATTGAATTTAGAGTCCCGACTCCTGGCAGCACGGCACGAAGGCGAAAACAATTCGCATGCAAATGTGGCGCTGGGAGCTGGGAGCTGGGGCCTGCCCCCCTCTCAATGGCCAAGTAATGGCAATTATTGCCATCGCACGCCATTGCCCCGGCCACTGGCCCCCCCCCCCCCTACACCAACCCCCTCCGGCCTTTGAGCTCCGAGCAAGCCACTTGTCCGGCTGAGTGAGCGTTTTATTATGACTTCAAGTTGATGGCGGGCGGGCCTCCTTAGTGGGTCAGCTCGAAATTAATTACGGGCCGCCGTTTGACGAGGGCTCCAGCTCCGATAGGGGCATAAGAAATGTCACCAAAGTGCCCCAAACAAATATTCATACTTGGAGTCGGAGTCGGAGACGGAGTCGTCGAGTGGTGACCGAAGTTTGTGCAACCAGGGCGTATGCTTGATATTTTATTGCGTATACGCCGGGTGGGTCTGTTTGGCCCTGGTCTTGTTTAAAAAATCAGTTCGATCTGGAAACTCTTCTCCGCAAATTGTTTCTTGAGGTCCTTGGTCCTTCGTGTCTTTAATATGCGCCTTGCGTGTGCCATAAAGGGGCCACAGCAGTCGGGGGGTCGGCCCCGGGCAGTGGCCACCACCGGGGCAGCTTAAGCACACTTAACACGTTGACCCGCCAAAGGAGCTATCCGGGGCCTCAGGGTGATGTAATGGCCTGCGCGGCTTAATTGTCCTTAAAGTGCATATATCGGCTTAAAGCTGAGCCCTTCTCTTCTGAACACCTTTCCTCCTCTGTGATTTCCCTGCAAAACTGCAACATCCTCGGCCAACAGACACCCACACTCGGCACTTAATATCTTGAGGTGGTGGGATGGGATGGGGGCGGTAGAGGGGGCTTTTATTGTAATTTTATGCTCTTATTTGCATAAGCGTAGTTAACGGGATGCTTCATCATGCGAAATTATTACGAATATTATTACATTTGCGCGCCACTTGGCCATAACAATGAGAAGGAGTCCCCGACAGGGCCAGCACCAGGGCCGAGCAGGTGCTCCCAGGCCATCGTGCCACTCAAAATCCAATAAATAATTTACATTAACCAGTGGCAGTGGCAATGGCAACAATAAGGCAACATGATTCATTGTCCAGAGTCGGTATCCAGCGAAAGGTGGATCGGATCCAGTCAATGGAGCAGTTAATCAGCCAACGAGGAATCGATTACAATCAACTGCCGGCCAATCAGGCCAGTTAACGGAGGGCATCCTCAGGAAGAACCCTATCCAGGAGCCTCCCTTTCATTAGCCTCAACTTTTAATCAGCACTTTGTAGCTAGTTATGTTTTTAGTTATTGGTCCTTATCCTTATCCCAACTAACTAAAAATAATCAAACACTTGTTACTCACTAATCTGACTACCAACTGTTCTCTGAGCCGCCACTAATCCGACATCCTGCTTTCCTGCAGCCTCGGCCCCCGTGCTGGAGCAGCCGCCGCAGAATGTGACCGCCCTGGACGGTAAGGACGCAACGATATCTTGCCGGGCCGTGGGATCCCCCAATCCGAACATCACCTGGATATACAACGGTAAGTGAGCTTAGCAGTGTTCCAGCATGGCTGCTCCTCCATTTAGTGCTAATCGCTAATCGCTAATCCTAATCGCTAATCTCTTATTTTAATATCTTAATGCTAACACCGAACCGCCTGCCTGTTTGCCTGCCAATAACCCGACCCTGCTACACCCGCCACCTGCCTGCGTAGAAACCCAACTGGTGGAGATCTCCAGCCGGGTGCAGATACTCGAATCCGGTGACCTGCTCATCTCGAACATCCGCCCCACCGACGCCGGGCTGTACATCTGTGTGCGGGCCAACGAGGCGGGCAGCGTCAAGGGCGAGGCCTTCCTGAGTGTACTGGGTGAGTATTATCCTGCTAGCTGGCTGCGATCCCTTAACCTTGGCCCAGGGATGCCACCGGGAGTAATGAATACTCCTCCGCCGAGTGCCTGCTTGCTGGAGCGTTTAACTTGCGGCAGGCTGCTCCTCGAGTCCTTGAATAAGAGTCCTTGTCCTCTCCATCAATTGTTCAATGGCGGGGCTTTGATGTGGCTGTCAGCTGTGGGGAATCTGTTATCCAAAATGTTATCCAGCCCGGCTATAATATCTCCTATATCCAACTAACTGCGGGATCCAACAGTCCTGAAAGGGTTCTCACTCCCCAGGAGGGCGGAGGTAGGGCGGAGTCCTTCAATTGCTTTTGTGATAATACACAAATCCACACACCATACACCATACACCATACACCACACACACGTGTCTATGGCTTTTGAACCCGGAGCTCAAATGATTTTTTAAGGGCTTGCCGCGCTTGCCCGCCATTGTGTTGTTTGTGTAATTAAAGTTGATTTGCAAACAGAGCTATATTTTTGGCCCCGACCAGGGATCTGGTCCAGGACCATGTGTGTGTGTGTGTGTGTGTGTGGCCCTAAAAGGCAGCCTCAATGCGCGGCTAATTGGCAAAACGCCGCCGCCGCTCAGCATGGAATGCGGACACTGGACGGTGGTCGGTGGACACTGCAGACTTTACCACTGCGGCCACCAAACTGATGGCAGTTTTCCATCACCATCGCCCCACCGCCCCACCATCCAGAATCCGGCTCGCTTTATTTGGTGCATAAAACACAGAGCTCCAAGTCGGGGGGAAAAGAAATAAAAAACAGAACATGGTCGTAGAAGCGACTACTGGATGTCCTAGATGGGACTTGGGAGGCACTATTATCATCAGACTTATCCAAAACACCTCTGAAAACGCACATCCCCTTTATAGGCCAGGGTATGCCAGGGTGCCAGAGCAAACAAGGTTCATTTGGGGGCTTCGCTGCCGGCATTCGACACTCGCCTCGCCATTCGCCGGAATGCAGTGGAGTGTAGAGTGCAGTGAACAGTTCATCTCGTCAGTCCGTCCGGCTCTCCATATGGGAAGCGACTTGGCTTATGCCAGCCACCAAGTACCAGCAGTAGCACTCCCCCCACATATCCCAACCCAACCCAGGTCTCCGACAATGTCTGGGCCACGGGGCGCGTTGAACTTTTGATGCATGCGGGCCAAGTGACTGCAAAAAGGGCGAAGAGAACAAATAAAAGGGAAACAGTGGAGCAGAGGAGCAGAAAAGCAAAAGAATTCCGGCCCGGAGATGGGGCAAAAAAAAAAGGGAAAAAACCATCAAATAAATAAAATCAAAAGGGAAGGCCATACATAAAAGAACAAACGACCTGCAGAGTACCCTGTAGAACCGTGCTGGTTGCATGAAAGGAATGCCAGTTGAACTAACTATTCGTTGTGGAGCCACCACCCCTAGTCCAGCTCAGCACTCTCCATAATCTGGCCTGTCCAGGATACTCCTGGTGTCCTGCCCAGCCCAGAATGGGCGATAAAAGTGGGCTGGGCTGTGGCGACTTGTCAATGCCACGACTTGCGGTTGCCGTGTGCCGTGTGCCCGGTGCCGGGTGGTGGCTCGTTCAATCCGCATTGCCGTGTTGTTAATGTGTTCCAGGGGCAGATCCAGTTCCAGCACACTTCTCACACTCCTCTCCACTTCTTTCACCCGCAGTGCGGACACAAATCATCCAGCCGCCGGTGGACACAACGGTGCTACTAGGACTCACCGCCACGCTGCAGTGCAAGGTGTCGAGCGACCCCAGTGTCCCGTACAATATCGACTGGTACCGCGAGGGTCAGGCGGCGCCCATCAGCAACTCCCAGCGGGTCGGGGTGCAGGCCGACGGCCAGCTGGAGATCCAGGCGGTGCGAGCCAGCGATGTGGGCAGCTACGCCTGCGTGGTGACCTCCCCCGGCGGTAACGAGACCCGGGCCGCCCGACTGAGCGTCATCGAGCTGCCGTTCCCGCCCAGCAACGTGAAGGTGGAACGCCTGCCGGAGCCACTCCAACGCAGCATCAACGTGTCCTGGACACCCGGCTTCGATGGCAACAGTCCCATATCCCAATTTATTATCCAGCGACGTGAGGTCTCCGAATTGGGTAAGTTTTTTGTATATCTTTTTTGGAATGGTAGCGGGGTATATACTTGTATTGGGTTTATCCTTAAAATCCGTATTTTTGGTGGCTGCCTGTAGTTTGTGGGTTGCGGTATTGGATTTATGATTTATGGACGGGTGGAGGGAGGTGGAAAGCGCCCCTTCCAGTAATTTACTCGAATTTCCATTTATTTTTTAAATTAAAAGTGGGGAGTCCCTTTGAGACTCCGATCAGATAGAAACTCCAATACACTTGGGGGGCAGAGACCAGCCATCCATCCCGACCAGACACCACAAAAGATACACCTTCTGATGCATATTTTCCTTTCTCTCTCTTTTTCTTCCATTCGATATTATTTTCGAACGCCAAACACCCACCGAACCACCCACTGGAACGGACTGACCTTGAATATATCTTTAATATATTGTATTTGATAACATTATCGTTGATAACCTTGTACATTCATTGGACTAATTTGCAATTGTATCCGTTGTTTTGCACTTTGTTTTCATTGCATCGATCATCCATCATCCAAATCACATCACGGAACACCACCATCACCCCTCACCTGTACTATACTGACACCTCACTACCACCCACTCACTCACAACCCTCATAACCACTCCCCGCCCTGCCTGCTGTTCTCCAAACACATTAACATCACAGAAAAATTCGTAGGTCCAGTGCCAGATCCACTCCTCAACTGGATCACCGAGCTGAGCAACGTCTCCGCCGAACAGCGATGGATCCTCCTGGAGAACCTCAAGGCGGCCACCGTCTACCAGTTTCGGGTCAGCGCCGTGAACCGAGTCGGTGAGGGTTCGCCCTCGGAGCCCAGCAACGTCGTCGAACTGCCCCAGGAGGGTGAGTACTTAGACCCCGTCCAGCCCCCAGTCCCTAGTCGCTTTTGCATCCCCACTCGTAGCCGTAATCGTAATCGTAATCATATGTGTTGTGTTTCCCATTCAGTTGTCTCTATGTGGCTTTGCTTTTCTTCAGTTTGTGAATATTTCTTTGGAGGCCTCCACCAGAGGTGGGAGCCCTCGATTCGTAGCTAAGGCCTTCATTTTGTACAGATTTTTTTAAGATTTTCGTTATGATTTTCCATTTTTGAGTATTTTTTCCATATTTATCCGAATCTTTTTGTTGAAACACTTGTATGTATGCTTGTAGGATGATATAGATTTTAGATGATATAGATATTCACTTTTTGGGGGTTAAAGCTTTAAACAGCTAGGAGATATAGTCAAAATTGGTAGGATACAGAATCATATGCCTATTTCTAAAGATTCAGACATGCTAGGCCTTGGGGTGTGTAGATATTACAAGAGATACCTCCACGGAAGTTTGGAAAATGGGGATCTAAAATTTGGCTTTGATATTTGGATAAGGATCTAAAGGAAATAGTTCAAGGAATCCATAATGGTATCCCTTTTGTGGATAGGATAGTTATTTCAAAAGATATGGAGGTTCTAGTGCTCAGAAGGAGATATTCAGGATTCTACAAGAGGTACCTCCAGAAAAAAATTGAAAAATAGGGACCTAAAATTTTAAATGGAGATTTTGATGAGGATTTGAAGGGAATAGTTCCAGGAGTCAATGAAGGTATCCCGCTTGAGGATCAGATGCTTAATTCCGAAGATATGGAGGTTCCAGACCTGAGAATAAAAACCATCCGGGATTCTACAAGGGCTACTGCCGAAAAATTTTAAAAAATGGGATCCAACATTTTAAATGTAGATTTTAATGAGGATTTAAAGATATTGTTCAACGAATCTATAAAGGTATCGCTTTTAAGGATTGGATGCTTACTTTCGAAGATACAACCATTATAAGGCTGGAAGGTGGAAATCCAAAATCCACAAGGGGTACCCCTACATAAAATCTGAAAAATAGGGATCCATAATTGGTTGTTGAGATTTTGATGAGGATTTAAAGAGGATTCTTCCAGGAGTCCATAGAGGTATCGCTTTTGAATATCGGATGCTTATTTCCGAAGATATGGGTGATATAGGGCTAAAAAGTGGAATCCCAGGATTCTACGAGAGGTACCGCCAAAAAATTGGAAAAATAGGGACCAAAAATTTCAAATGGAGATTTTGATGAGGATCTACAGGGAATAACTCATGGATTCCATAGAGGTATCCCTTTTGAAGATTGGATGCCAATTGCCGAAGATATAAAGGTTCTAGTACCCAGGAGTGGATTTCCAGAATTCTACAAGTGGTACCCTCACAAAAAATTGGAAAATAGGGATAAAAAATAGCAAACAAAGATTTGGATGAGGATTCAAAGGAAAAAGTTCCAGGAGTCCATAGAGGTATCCCGCTTAGGGATCGGATGCGTATTTTAGAAGATACAGAGGTTCAAGGAATAGGTTATGGAGTTAAGGGGTTTAATGGATGGACATGGTACTATATAGTAATACCGTAATATATATACTGAAAGCAAGGGGTACCCCTACAGAAATTTGAAGAACTATAAGGACTTCCAAGACTTGGCACTATTTTATTTGCATTTTTTATGATTTTGTGGATATTTGTTCAAGTTTTTAAAAAACCCTCTTCAGTTGGCTTGCCGTAGCACTTTTCGTTTTTCTTTTCGGAATAATTTTCCACCTTCTGTTGATGGCAGTGACACCTGTACAGTGAGACAGTGTCGCGCCGCCCATGTACATGCCCTGTATAGTGTAAAAAGAACTAATTCTGAACTCCTGTATGTATTGTACTCCTTACTGCCGTCGTTGTCGTCGCGACATGCGAATCGCTATGAATATTGAATTCCGCCGTGGTCGCCTGCTAGAGTTTCCGCTTCACCGAGGTATAAGTTACAACTAGCCCAGAGGCACGCCCCCTCAGACCCTCACCCCTCACACCCCCACACAGACACACCCACACACAAGAACACAAGACGTCCCGACTCCCCTCCAGAACCGAGGAGAGAGAAGTACCAGCTCTCGTGTGTTGTGGAACCCAGTGGTTCCGGATTTCTGATTCTCTCTTTGCGTTTCCCCTATGTAGCTCCCTCGGGACCGCCCGTGGGATTCGTTGGCTCCGCCCGGTCCATGTCGGAGATCATCACCCAGTGGCAGCCGCCTTTGGAGGAGCACCGCAACGGCCAGATCCTGGGCTACATCCTGCGCTACCGACTCTTTGGGTACAATAATGTGCCGTGGTCCTACCAGAACATCACCAACGAGGCGCAGCGCAACTTCCTCATCCAGGAGCTGATCACCTGGAAGGACTACATCGTCCAGATCGCCGCCTACAACAATATGGGCGTGGGCGTCTACACCGAGGGCTCCAAGATCAAGACCAAGGAGGGCGTACCCGAGGCCCCGCCCACGAAGGTGCGGGTCCAGGCGCTCAACTCCACGGCGGCCAGGGTAAGCTGGATTCCGCCCAATCCGCAGCAGATCAACGGCATCAACCAGGGGTACAAGATCCAGGCCTGGCAGCGTCGGGACATCGACGGCGAGTGGCGGGACTTTGAGAAGCGAATGATGACGGTGCCGCCCAGCCTGATAGACCCGCTGGCGGAGCAGACCGCCGTGCTGGGCGGCCTGGAGAAGTTCGCCGAGTACAATGTCAGTGTGCTCTGCTTCACGGATCCCGGCGACGGCGTGGCCAGCCAGCAGGTGCCGGTAAAGACCCTGGACGATGTACCGGACGAGGTGACGGCCCTGCACTTCGACGATGTGTCGGACCGGTCGGTGAAGGTGCTGTGGGCACCGCCACGCTTCTCCAACGGCATCCTCACGGGCTACACGGTGCGCTACCAGGTGAAGGACCGCCCGGATACGATGAAGGCGGTCAACCTGACGGCTGAGGACACGGAGCTGACGGTGGAGCAGCTGCAGGCCACGACCCACTACTGGTTCGAGATCTGCGCCTGGACGCGGGTGGGCAGCGGCGCACCCAAATCGGCCACCATTCAGTCCGGGGTGGAGCCCGTCCTGCCCCACGCCCCGACCAACCTGGCCCTCTCCAACATCGAGGCCTTCTCGGTGGTGCTCCAGTTCACGCCCGGCTTCGACGGCAACTCCAGCATCACCAAGTGGAAGGTGGAGGGCCAGACGGCGCGCAACATGACCTGGTTCACCATCTGCGAGATCAACGACCCCGACGCGGAGACCCTCACGGTCACCGGCCTGATGCCGTTCACCCAGTACCGCCTGCGCCTCAGCGCCACCAACGTGGTGGGCAGCTCACGGCCCTCGGACGCCACCAAGGACTTCCAGACCATCCAGGCCAGGCCCAAGCATGCTCCCTTCAACGTCACGGTCCGGGCGATGAGTGCCCAGCAGCTGCGGGTGCGGTGGATTCCCCTCCAGCAGACGGAGTGGTACGGCAACCCGCGCGGCTACAACATCTCCTACAAGCCACTGGAGAAGACACCCGGCGCCGTTCGGGGCGTGCCCCGTTCGGTGGTGATCGAGGACCACACGGCCAACTCGCACGTCCTGGAGGGCCTCGAGGAGTGGACCGTGTACGAGGTGCGGATGAACGCCTGCAACGATGTGGGCTGCTCCCGGGAGAGCGGCACTGCCGTGGAAAGGACTCGCGAGGCGACGCCCAGCTACGGGCCCCTGGACGTGCAGGCGAACGCCACCTCTTCCACCACGGTGGTGGTGCGCTGGGGCGAGGTGCCCAAGCAGCACCGCAACGGCCAGATCGACGGCTATAAGGTGTTCTATGCCGCCGCGGACCGCGCCGGCCAGCCGGTGCTCCATAAGACCATCCCCAGCAACTCGACCTTCACCACCACGCTGACGGAGCTGAAGAAGTTCGTCGTCTACCACGTCCAGGTGCTGGCCTACACGCGCCTGGGCAACGGCGCCCTCAGCGCCCCGCCCATCCGGGTGCAGACCTTCGAGGACACCCCCGGCGTTCCGTCGAACGTCAGCTTCCCGGACGTCACCCTGACCATGGCGCGCATTATCTGGGACGACCCGATAGACCCCAACGGCGAGATCCAGGCCTACCAGGTCACCTACACCCTGAACGGCAGCGCCAACCTCAACTACAGCCGCGAGTTCCCGCCCTCGGACCGCACCTTCCGGGCCACCCAGCTGCTGCCGGAGAAGTACTACAGCTTCAGCGTGACGGCCCAGACCCGGCTCGGCTGGGGCAAGACAGCCACCGCCCTCGTGTACACCACCAACAACCGGGAGCGACCCCAGGCGCCATCCGTGCCTCAGGTGTCGCGCAGCCAGATCCAGGCCCACCAGATCACCTTCAGCTGGACGCCAGGGCGGGACGGGTTCGCCCCGCTCCGCTACTACACGGTGGAGATGCGCGAGAACGAGGGCCGCTGGCAGCCGCTGCCCGAGCGCGTCGACCCCCTGCTGAGCTCCTACACGGCCCTCGGCCTGCGCCCCCACACCACCTACCAGTTCCGCATCCAGGCCACCAACGACCTGGGACCCTCGGCCTTCAGTCGCGAGAGCGTGGTGGTGCGGACCCTGCCGGCGGCACCCGCCGTCGGAGTGGGCGGTCTGAAGGTGGTGCCCATCACCACCACCTCGGTGCGGGTGCAGTGGAGCGCCCTGGAGACGGGCATGTGGAACGGTGATGCTGCCACCGGTGGCTACCGGATCCTCTACCAGCAGCTCTCCGACTTTCCCACCGCCCTGCAGTCCACCCCCAAGACGGACGTGCTGGGCATCAACGTGAACAGCGTGGTGCTCGCCGACCTCCAGCAGGACCGCAACTACGAGATCGTGGTGCTGCCCTTCAACTCCCAGGGCCCCGGTCCGGCCACTCCGCCGGCGGCGGTTTACGTGGGCGAGGCAGTGCCCACCGGAGAGCCCCGCGCCGTGGACGCCGCACCCATTTCCAGCACCGAGGTGCGCCTGCTGTGGAAGCCCCCGAAGCAGAGCATGCAGAACGGCGACATCCTGGGCTACAAGATCTTCTACCTGGTGACCTACTCGCCGCAGGCCCTGGAGCCGGGCCGCAAGTGGGAGGAGGAGATCGAGGTGGTCTCCGCCACGGCCACCTCGCACAGCCTGGTCTTCCTGGACAAGTTCACCGAGTACCGCATCCAGCTGCTGGCCTTCAATCCCGCCGGCGACGGTCCCCGCTCCGCCCCCATCACGGTGAAGACCCTGCCCGGTGTGCCGAGTGCGCCCCTGAACCTCCGGTTCGCGGACATTACGATGCAGAGTCTGGAGGTGACCTGGGACCCGCCCAAGTTCCTCAACGGCGAGATCCTGGGCTACCTGGTGACCTACGAGACCACGGAGGAGAACGAGAGTAAGTGGCTCTGCTTTTGGTCGAAATATAAGACCTTTCTCACCTGTATACCCTCTTCCCTTCCAGAATTCAGCAAGCAGGTGAAGCAAAAGGTGTCCAACACCACGCTCCGGGTGCAGAACCTCGAGGAGGAGGTCACCTACACCTTCACGGTGCGCGCCCAGACCACGGTGGACTACGGGCCGGGGGTAAGTGAGAACGTGACCACCGGACCCCAGGACGGCTCTCCGGTGGCACCGCGGGACCTCATCCTAACCAAGACGCTGTCCAGCGTGGAGATGCACTGGATCAACGGGCCCTCGGGCCGGGGCCCCATCCTGGGCTACCTGATCGAGGCCAAGAAGCGAGGTAAGTGGCTAGCGTAGAGTACTCTGGTTTTGGACGCCTCATTAGTCTCACATCTGAAATGTATCTGTATCTTCTTGCTTCCCTTCCCTGCATTGGGTTACCACTTGGTGGCTTGGTTCTAATCCTTTCCAAACCTAAACAAAACCATTCTTTTTGCGAAATGCTTGCGTAGAAAAAGGAGATCCGGCGTTTGTTTGTGAGTATTCCCGATCCCGATTCAAAGAGTAGAATCTATCGCCTAACGAACGTAGCTAGCAGGGGAGATCCTTACTCCTCTTACTCCTCTTTCCCCCAAACCATATCAGAGTATACTCACACACACCTATCCATCCCCCCACAGACGACTCTCGATGGACCAAGATCGAGCAAACCAAGAAGGGAATGATGCAGGACTTCACCGTCAGCTACCACATCCTGATGCCCTCGACGGCCTACACCTTCCGGGTGATCGCCTACAACCGGTACGGCATCTCCTTCCCCGTCTACTCCAAGGACTCGATACTGACGCCCTCAAAGCTGCATTTGGAGTATGGATACCTGCAGCATAAGCCCTTCTATCGGCAGACCTGGTTCATGGTCTCCCTGGCGGCCACTTCCATCGTGATCATCGTAATGGTGATCGCGGTGCTGTGTGTCAAGAGCAAGAGCTACAAGTACAAGCGTAAGTTGGCCCGCGAATGCCTTCTGAAGTGTCCTTATACTGATTCCATCTCTCCTTCCCCCGCAGAGGAGGCCCAGAAGACGCTGGAGGAGTCGATGGCCATGTCGATTGACGAGCGCCAGGAACTGGCTTTGGAGCTGTACCGCTCCCGGCACGGCGTCGGCACCGGAACCCTCAACAGCGTGGGCACCTTGAGGAGCGGCACTCTGGGCACCCTGGGCCGGAAGTCCACCCACCGGCCGCCGCCCAACGTCCAGCTGGGCAAGAGCCCGCCGCGCCCGTCGCCCGCCTCCGTGGCCTACCACAGCGACGAGGAGAGCCTGAAGTGCTACGACGAGAATCCCGACGACAGCAGCGTGACGGAGAAGCCCTCGGAGGTCAGCAGCTCGGAGGCGTCCCAGGTGAGTGTTCCTCAGTTCCAGGGGTGGGGTATCCAGGGGGTTCTTGAGAGAAAAGACACTCCAGACACAAGACAAGCATTAGACACTGCACCGGGTAACCGAATTCCAAACACACATACCCCGATCCACGTTCCGGATTTCTTGAAACTAAATCTCGGCATTTGTTCTCGCTCCCAACCATGCGGACGATGCGGACTTGGTCTGGTCTGCAGGAGAAGGTAAAGCTGAACGTCCTCTGATCCCCACTGTGATTGTCTTTGTGTTTTCGTTACCTCCATGTTTTGTTGTGTTCTGTTGTGCTGAGCTAATCCCCATGTTGAGCCACCCGTCTAATCCTGTACTCTATCCCCCGATCCGAACCTTTCAGCACTCGGAGAGCGAGAACGAGAGCGTCCGCAGCGATCCCCACTCGTTCGTCAACCACTACGCCAATGTAAACGACTCCCTGCGCCAGTCGTGGAAGAAGACGAAGCCGGTGCGAAACTACTCCAGCTACACCGACTCGGAGCCGGAGGGCAGCGCTGTGATGAGTCTCAATGGTGGCCAGATCATCGTCAATAACATGGCCCGGTCGAGGGCGCCGCTGCCCGGCTTCTCCTCGTTTGTCTGACAATCAACCGAGTTCTAAGATCTAAGCGCCGGTAGCAGCGGCACCGTCATCCGGGAGACCTTTGTCTAGGACGAGGACGAGGACGAGGACGCGGACGTGGACTTGAACCTGGAGTTGGAGAGGAGGAGCTGAGGCGGCTGAGACAGAAGGGAGGAATGACTGGAACCCGAGAGCACCGGAGGACACACTCACATATCAGACGCGGGTCAGTCTCAGCCCCCCCAGCTTGGCGCCTCCGCCGATCCGCTGCTACATGGATACACTACACCCCCACTGGAGATATCTGGACTGGAGACTGGAGACAGGAGACATTCGTTTAGTTTAGCCCCCGAATATGCGTTAGTTTAGGTTCTAGTTTTACGAGAGATCTGAGATTGGCGGCATTTAGTTGGTGTTACCTATCCCCCAGCTCGACTCTGCTCCTAGTTAGGGCTTAGGTTTTTTTTTTTTTTTTAAATCGTGTTTTAGTACTAGATTGTGTATTTATTTTATGCATGTGTGTGCGCCCGTGTGCATGGTTTTTTTAGGTTTGTGTTTGTGTGTTGCGCCTTGGCAGCTGTTATCGTAGTTATCGACCTATCGATTCTATCGATTTATGGTAGTCCAAGGCGCTGAGTGAATGATCGGCGTGAATCCGGCGCAATCTCATTATGTTTAAACTTTCAAGAGTCGGAGGAGCTAGGAGGACGTTTGGACGAGGACAAGGAGGAGATGGATAACGAGGAGTATAGGATGCAAGGATGCAGCAACCGATTCAATCGGAGACAAAAAAAAAAAGAGTTCAATGAAACAAAAAAGCAGAGAATATTTAGAGAAATCTGCAAAAAGGATAAGAAACAAAATCATATCTTGTAAGCAAAAGATAGATGTATTGTTTTTTTTTTTTTTTGGAGTGGATAGTGCAAGCATGGAAGGCAGGAGGAGCATGAGGAGCTGGAGCTACCAGGCGGCATTGGCCGTAGGATGAGCTGGATAGGATATACATATATTCGGAGGTAATTGATAGGCCATATTAATGCAATTTTCTGTACCACTTAAGCCACAAAAACAAAACACACTTACAAAATACGAAAAGGATAAGGAGGTCCTTGCTCCCAATCGGGACAGTTTCGAGCGCATGCGCAGCCGACTAGCACTACGAGAGATCTTAGTAGACGTAAGATGCATTTTTTTTTTGGCTAGACGGGGCCTGGTCCCTGCTAGGTGGGTCCTGGCTAGGGGATACCCCAGGGATCAAGCCCTAAGTAACTCCTCTTTGATTGTTCAAACGACGATACCGATACCGATACCGATAGAACGATAGACCGATAACGATAGACGATAGACGACACTTAGTTGTATTTGAATGTGTAATAAGCAACTGCTTATATTTATGACTATATTTATATATCGATGTATTGTACATGTATATCTGTAACCTAAACGACTGATTATATATTTTTTTCGACTACCGATTACCACTTACTGATTACCGTTTACCGATAACTGACTATCGATTACCGATTATCGATTCAAATCAACGGTTTACCAATTAGTTGTATTCGTACTCCTCTAAACTTGTTCTTGGTTTTAGGCCACTCTGGCCGGGATCTGAGCCAGAATCGGAATCGGAAACAAGCTAAACCCTTTTGCAAGCTAATTTCTACTTCAAAGACTCGAAGCACAAGTTCATCTAGTTAAGCATAAATGTAATTGTAATTGTTGATTGATTGATTGATTGATTGATTGGTGGAAGATTGAAGGCAAGAGTTAGCCCTGGGTGGGTGAGGTCTCCGCAGGTCTCCCCCAAGGGTCGGAGGAGGGTCGTGCAGCAAGCGCAAAGTATTAGAATATTTATAAATACAATTTAAATGTGTAAATGTCATTTTGATGGAAACTACGAATACGAATTAATAAAAGAAGTGAAATCAATGTGAGTTAAATGTTCTTGTGTCCGTCCTTGTGTCGTCCTGCCCCCTGCCCTCTTCGACCTGCCACCCAGAAAACCCGGAGCTGGCGACTCGAAGGGGGCAGAGTTCCATGACTAAACCAAGTTTCATTTCAGATCTGGCTGCTTCTTTATTTTTGCATCTAACAGGCTGACGGGTGACGGATCAGTCGGAGGCGTGGCTTAAATCTACAGAGGATGCCTCACAGGCTCATGGTCCTAGACGGGAGTGTCGGATGCGCTGTCCTGCTGTTCCGGTTGCGCCTTGGCGGCTGCAACACCCTCCTCCTCGCCCTGTTCCTCCTCCTCCTGGGCCTCGGCCTCTCCCTCATCCTCCTCCTCGTCCTCTTCGGCCTCGTTTCCCGCCTCGGCCTCCGCCACGGCCTGCAGGTCGTGTCGCTCGATGTGCCGTGCCGCTGGCTGAGGCTCCACGGGAGTGGCGGCCACCGGAGGAGATGTGCCCGACGGAGGAACGGAGGACACCATACTCGGAACAGTAACGGGACACATGCAGGGCACAAACTGGATGCGACTGCCGCTCCCGGCCACACCCTGCTCCGGCGTCTGGTAGTTGAAGTAGTCCGGGTACGGGTACTGCGGCCTGGCGTTGTACAGGTTGCTCACCCGGCGACTGTAGGTCGGGTACTCTCCCCCGTAGCGCAGCAGGCTGGACGTGCCGGCGGATCCCGGAGCCGGCGAGGACCCCTCCAGACCTGGAGGAGGAGGCGGAGGCGGTGGCGTCGTGGTGGTGGTGCTGGTACTCGTCGTAGTCGTTGGTGGCGGCGTGGTAGTCGTAGTAGTTGTAGTCGTAGTGGTGGTGGGTGCTGGGGTGGTGCTGGTGGAGGTGGTGGTGGTGCTACTGCTGCTGGCGAAGGGAATAGGACCGCCCACGGCCAACACTGGAGGGGTCACATCCGGCCTGGCCCCCGCCACCGGAGAGGAGTCGTGCCGGCGGGCTGCCGCGTAGCTGGTCACCGCATAAGGATCGTACTGATGGGCCCCCGGCAGCAGGGGCGTCTGTGCCGCCCCGAACCCAAAGAAGGGCATGCTGAAGGCTCCCCCGGGTCCCAGAGGCTGGTACGTGTACGTCCGGAAGTAGGTGAGTGGGATCTGTTGCAGCACGGGACCGGCTCCGTTCGGCGGCTCCCTATGGACGAGATGGAATCGGGTTAAAGGTAAGATGGCTTGGGTTATCCTTCACTGCCGGATACTTACGTTGTTGTTTTGGGCCACCAGAAGGCGTCTGCGAGCTGGGATCTTCCCAAGAGGGCGGTTGCGGCGGTGATCTGAGGAGTTCCAATCAACGAAATACAATTAAGGTAAGTGTTTGTACTATCTATAAGGTTAGGATTTAGGATTTAGCTTTAGGATCTGAATACTTTTCTCAAGAAATCTCAGAGTCTAACTTAAGTCTAACTTTCCTTAAGTTCTTCTAAAAATACTCAGAGATCTATAAGTCCTAGATATGGTTTTATAAGACCCTAGTTCTTGAAAGATCATTCTCACTCTAATTCTTCTCTAAAAACTTTCCAAAAGATCTTAAATACTAGCTTGAATATTCAATATTTTTAAGAAGACATCCTTAACACTTTTCTGGGGAATTCATATTGGGGATTATAGTATAGATAATAGTTCCTATATAGGGTTTCACTGGTAGTTCAATCACTTTCTATTGCTTAGTTTTCCGGGACGTTATCCTTTCATGTCCTTGAAGCTCTTATTCACGTACCACAAAATACAGCCACATGTTGTTGGTTCTTTAGAGGCACTGCACTTCCAAGAGGTGTCCCTTTATCCTTGGGGAGCGTTTTTGGAAATAAACAAAAATGTCAAAAAAAATAGTCAGGTGGCAGAGCATCCACTGGTTGCACTCGCGATCGCTGTCGTCTTTGTTCTAAGCCCAAGAAGAGCCACGGTCCGAGCTTTTATAGCCCGAGCTCGGACATATTGATGGGATGGGGTCGACTGTGTGGCCCACAGAAATGCTGGCCCAGAACCCAGGCCCCAGACTGACCGAAAAAGAGACCGCCAGCAAGAAGCGGGTTCTCTACACTGGAGAGGGAGAAGGGAGGGGGATGGATCTTGTAAGAACAACGAGAAAATTAATTGCAGGCTCCAGAGCGAAAACTAAGCTGGGAAATCAATAATAATAATGAACGTGGAGGCAGCAGGCAGCCAGCCAGCCAGCCAGCCGCATCATTGACAAAGTGATTGAATGAATGATGGAGCCAATGACGAGCCAATGGAAACTCGAGGGGGACCGGGGCAGGTGGTGGGAGGGCACGCGGTCTTGAAAGGGCCGCATCCATTCGATTGGCCATAAAAATTTGTTGATGACTCTTCCCCGTCCAGCCACCAGATCCCCCCATTCCTATTCCTATTCACATTCCCCCTTTGCTTTTTAACACTTTGAAATATTTTGTTTTTCTTTCTGATTTTCCGATTTTTCTGATTTTCTGAATTTCTGTGTTTTGGGTTCTGGAATTTGGGTCAGGCGACGCCTTCGCCCCCCGGCCTGTGGCCTGTGGCGGCTCATCTCGGCCTGCCCCGATCACCGCCTTTCGATTTGCACGGTGGGTTATGCAACCCACTCCCCAAAAGTGGAGCTCCCGGAACGATGAGCTCAGTGGTGTTCTTTTGTGTGGCCCGGAATTTATGACTGCCCTTTATGGCCGATAGTATATAGTCAAAGTTGCTCCACTTTGGAGCTGCATAACAAGGCCCAAACTGTCATCCAGAGTGTCCCCCCAATCCCAGCCAGAAAGGCGTTAACGATCGTCGTTAAAATTTGTGTTTATTACATTTAGGAACAAAAAAAAAGCAGAGATTTCTGGTATTCGTGCAGGATGCTGGCTTTCTTTGGCAACAGTGAGGTCTGCGAGATCTCCTCCAGCGATCAGCGGGGCCTGAAGGCGTTCCCCACATACTTGGAGGTGTAGTACTTCGTCTGGTTGTCCAGCCTCCGGTAGTGGGGGCCCTTGTACCTTGAACGGAATACCGGAAGGTGTGAGTACGACATGGAAGGCTGTCTGCCAAATACTGACCTCGAGTTCAGGATAAACCAGGTGCTGCTGGGCAGCTCCCTCTCCTCCGAGTTCCCCACCGCCCGATCGGTCTTCTCCAGCACTGGCTTGGCGGCGGGGCTCTGGGTCTGCAGCAGCTTGCCCAGGGTGTAGACCGGAAAGGCGTAGTACTGCTTCTTGAGGGCGTAGCGGGAGCTCTGGCGCAGGGGCAGCACCTGGGGGCTGGGGGTGGTGGTGCTGGTGGGGGAGTCCACCACAGGGCGCTCCAGGCTCTCGTCCAGGTAGACGATCTGGAAGGGGCCCTCGCTGGTCGAGGATTCGGTTGCCGTGGCCTCCTGCTCCTCCAGATCGTCCCAGTGCGGCTTTCCCTCAGGATCCTCCTCCTGTGGAGCCTCCTCCGAGCCCGACTCCGAGGCTGAGATCGAGTTGTCTTCCTGGAGGTCCACTTCCTCGCTGGGGTAGTGGCGATGATTGCTCTTGGGGTGGTGCCTGCCGTGTGCCGTGGAGCGGCGGAGCACCGACTGCCACTGCATCACCTCCTGGGGCGAGTGGAAGGCCTCGTACTGCTTGGCCTTCTTGGGCCGTCGCCTGGACTGCGCCAGCTCCTGGGTCCTGGGCAGCTGGGTCTCGAAAAGGGGCGTGGGCGTGGCCGGCGGCGGCTGCTGGGTGGAGGAGAGCCTGGTGTTGGGATCCGCGATAGCCTCGTGGGCGTAGAAGGGAATCAGGGTGAGGTTCATCACCTCCCGCTGGCCCGGCAGCCGGAAACGCTCCACAATCGGCTTGGGCCGGAACATGGGCGTGGACGGCGGGTAGAGGACCTGCCCGGGCACAGGCTCCTGCATGGGATACCTCCGCCGGCTGAGCATCGTGTTCAGGATGAGCTCGCCGCGCGTGCCGTTGTACACGAAGACCGGGTAGTGGCTGCCTCCGACCGGCCGGAGCGAGTTCTCGCCCGGGCCATTGTCGAAGACGGGCAGGTGGCGCCGGCTCTCCCGGCGCTGGCTCTTGTGCCACGGCTGGCTCTTCTTTTGGGGCTGCACGTACTGGTGGGGCAGCTGTAGGCGGCGGGGCATCATGAAGCGTCGCTGCGACTGGGAGGGAGGCCGAGCCGGAGGAGGAGGCGACAGTGGTCTGGACTCGTCCTCGTGCCGCACCAAAAACGTAATGGCTGCCGGCTCGTGGCCTCCCAGGCCGCCCCTGCCCTGCCTCCTGAACGCTCCCTGTGCCGGCTCTCTTGTGGTGGTGGCGTAGTCCTCCTCCGGCCGTTCCAAACGCTGCCGCTTGGCCAGTCCGTCCTCCAGGATCCACAGGGGGCGCTGTTCGCCATCGAGAAAGCCATGCGCCGCCGCCCCCTCCACTCCCCAGACCAGCAGATGGGCCAGCGCCAGAGTCCAGGTGGGCAGTAGACTGTCCATTGGGTGCGACGAGTGTCTGCCAAATGGTCGGGCCACTCCTCGGCCACCAGGTCTTTATAGGGCCGCGTCTGCCGAGTCGGAGCTACTTGTGGCGTAACTTACTTTCGTTTTGGGCGAAAATCGCACAACCCGTTCTGAGTGGGTCGCCAAACCAGTGCGGGGTCAGCCGGGGCGTAATGTAGGTCCGAACCAAAACACTTACTTGCTTAGTTGGTAGCCCCCCCACCTCTCTCTTGCTAGCCAGACAGTCCAGCTCCATCAGTGGCATCTGATGGCTCGGACAGCTGTCAAAACTGGCATTAATCAAAACACTCTTAACTGATTCTGATTCTAATTCTGACTCCCTTCGTTGTGGATGCTCCTCCGGCTGGGGGGGCAGCTCCTCCTCCTCCTCCTGACTCTCTTGGAAGTGAAACTTTCGGAGACCCTTTGATGACCGACTCCGACACTGTTTGGGGCCAACTTGTTTCTCAGGGCCACAAGTGCAACAAGTGGAACATTTTGGCCCGAAACGGGGTTAATAGCCTTTGACGGTCGGACGTGGTGGAGAGGTGGATGGATGGATGGATGGACGGAGGGACAGACAGACGGAGGGACCTACTGCAGGCGGTCGTGAGTTCTCACTTTGGGAACCAGAACAGACCGCTGGAAATGGCAATGGAAAGGGAAACGGAAAATGGAAAATGGAAAATGGAAAATGTAAAGTATAGAATGGAAAAATGATTGATTAGGCCCTGGATGGCGGCTTTGATCGATCAATCGGCGCTCGCATGTGGCATCCATCTGTTGCATGCCGCATGTTGCGCTTGTAAAACCTGAGCTAATTACTAGATGGGCCAAGATTCGATTTTCGAGGCAGGGATTCTTCTCTCATGCGGGGATCAGGTCTCAGGTCTGGGATCTTCCATTCAGTTCGTTGGTGGATCCTCATTGAGAGACTCAGATTGCGTGACGTGACAGCATTATTAGGTCAGGACTCCTGGCCGGGATTAATTCGCTTTTAATGGCTTCTAATGCGTTTTAAATTCCCCCCGCGCCCAACCTGGTGGTGGTGGCCTGGTGGCATGTCATAAATTCCACACATCCATCCCGGCCACATCCATGACCGGCTATCAGTCACGCCAACTCGTGCCCATAATTAACAGCCCGAAATATTTGGACATCGTAAAACAGACAAAGCCACAACTACAGATACAGATACAGGTTACAGGTACGAGGTACGAGCTATGAGATACAGGGCGAGACAGCATCTAAATCATAGATGGAAAGGTACCAGCCCAGTGCATTTTTGACACCAACGATTTGTTCTATCAGCTTCGGATAGAATGCGTTTTATGTAAATGAAAGTTGTCCTCAATCGCGGTCTTGTATCTTGTATCTGGATGTTGTATCTCGTATCTCTGGTCGTTTGGTTGGCTCTGATTGATGTCCAAACTGCCGTGGGCTCTGAACAATAAACCAATCAAGGGCCAGAAGAGAGTACACTTGTGGAAACTGTCAAAAGATTTGTTTGTCCATTGTGCCAAGACAGGCTTCCCCTGGTCTTGGCTCTTCCGAGCGTGTTTACATGGGCGAGGAACTGCATCGTTAATGCGATGCACAGATAAGCAAAGCTATCTAATGGATGCAGTATCCCCTTCAAAGGAATAGGTTGAGATACTATGCTAGGCAAGTCTTCTCTTTAAAGAATTTATTAGGTTTCTTTTCGAACATAAGCTTCTGTCTAATCAACAAGCTCATAGTGATTGTCTTGTCAAGTGCCCAGTGCCAAACTATCTATCTATTTGGACTCAAGTGCTAGACGTTATCTGCCAGATACTTGTCACTTCTATCTTGAATGTTCGGCGGGTCTTGTCTGGCAGACAGCCCGGTAGCCCTAGAATTTTCCCAGCTACCTGCCAAGGATACCTATGAGCTGTAAAGGAGTTTAGAAAAGATTCTTTTTCTGGAACCTCCATAGAAAGCTCTCGCATATCTTGGGGTGAGCTTTTTCCGGACGTTCTCCGTTCTCCGATCGCGGAAGAATCGCCAGCAAAGCTCTCGCCCCCCGATCGGCCTCAGCAAATTCAATTAGCGAGTCGCTATTCTTGCTGTTAAGTGTCGCTTCTGGCGAAAGCTTGGAAGCACCGTCTCACCCGCCCCTGTCCCGGCCTGAGCAACCCCTGCTCGGGGTTACGCCCCCCCTGCCCCCAGCCTGCCCCTGCCCCCGTCTCTATCGCTGTGACTCTTCTTGGACGCGACGACGGCAGCTGGCCGTGCGAGCTCAGTGCGAATTGCGTTCTCGAAGCGAGCGGCGGCAAGAAGCGTTCTCCGGGCCATCGACTACGGGCTGTGTTTGTTTTCGTTTTTTTTTTCTCTGTTCTCATTCCGGCAATTTAAGAATCCAAAAAAAAAAAACAAGCTCCAGACCAAGCATTGGAACTAGGTTGGCTGAGACGATACTTTCGAGCAGATCTCTCGAACAAAACCTCCGGCCCAGCCAGTCGAACACGGAGCCAGTGCCCCCCACCCAGACCTAACCCATCATCACACGCGCAGGGATGACCGCACCAGCTTCAGAGCCAGCTCCGGCCGCCGGACAAGCTCCAGTTGCCACGGAAAACCAACCGGTGGCGACGTCCGGCGCCGTTACCCCCGTGCCCATTTCGCATGCCAAGAGGGCCCTCTTCCAGGTGATGGCCGGTGGTTCGGCCGGCTTCCTGGAGGTCTGCATCATGCAGCCGCTGGACGTGGTCAAGACCCGGATCCAGATCCAGGCCACGCCCACAGCTACCGCTACGGCGATAGGTGAGGTAAGTGGAATCCAGTCCAGGTGCTGCATCTGCTGGGCGGGTGGCTTTGGTTTGTTTTTTGTCTTTTTTTGGATAAGGGCATAGCAAGGTCACGGACACACGCACCCGCCTCACACTTGGAAGTCCGGCGATGTCTTTCCGCTCTCCAAGCAGCTTTCTATTCTCTCGCTCTCTCTCTCGACGTCTCACTGTCTCTGTCTCTGTTTACTTTCCCTCGTGGCAGTCGGATTATGTGGTGGGCCAGACAACCGATACTGGGAGAGTGTCGTTGGGCTTATCAGCTGTTGACAGCCCCGCGGTTCTCCCCCAGGTCCAGGTCTCCCCCCACATGCCAGACACGCCAAACATTCCCCAAATCGGAATCGGTATTCGCATATCAGGGGCATCAAGCATCGGACGCTGGACACGCGCGGCTGTCATCAGCTCTGGGATCGCGACTAGTTACTTTCGCCCCCGAAAAAATATTCCACCTTCGCCCATTATCTAATCGTTGTTTTGGTTCTTGACTCCCAAAAACTCTTGTGATAAGGTTAGCCCTACATAAAGGAGATTTGAGTTGTTTGTCTTTATTGTTTATCCCAGTATTCCAGTTCAAATAAATCTCAAATCTCAGATGCATCTCAAAACCACACCTTTCAACTTTTCCCCAACTTTATAGTTTAGTTTATTCAAGTGCGAAACGAATTCTTTGTGGGTCTTGTGGTCGCCAGCATAAATATGTATGTATATCTTTATACTGCGACATTATGTCCATTTTCCCCCCTGCATTTTGGGGGCGATGATTAAACAAATTTATGGCTGCAGCCGGCCAAGAAGGCGGCCAGGGGAGGCGGTAGACAAATAGACATTTGGAACAACGCACTCAGTTGCCCGATCTTGAGGCGATTCCAGATTGGCATGACTACTCGGTGGATGGTGGACACCCAGACAAAGAATATCTACGCCGACGTGTGAAATGAGAGCAATTATAAAGGCAATGGTTTATTAAGATTTAAGAAAAGATATGGCTACAGATATATAGACTCTGTGATATGTCTTTGTCGTCTTTCCATGATCTTGAATTGATTATAGCCTTTCTCAGGTAACTCTCAGAAGGTTATAAGCATTAGTAGATGTGTTAATATCTTACTTAAATAACCTCTAAATAGCTTTATAACACAATTCTAAGATACTTTTTTTTTTATATTTTTCAGCTACACTACAATGGCGTATTCGACTGCTTCGCCAAGATGTACCGTAACGAGGGAATCTCCTCGTATTGGAAGGGTATCTTGCCGCCAATCCTGGCCGAGACACCCAAACGGGCCATCAAGTTCCTGGTTTTCGAACAGACCAAGCCAATTTTCCAGTTCGGTTCGCCCACTCCCACGCCATTAACCTTTTCACTGGCCGGGCTGACGGCCGGCACCCTGGAGGCCATCGCCGTCAATCCGTTCGAGGTGGTCAAGGTCGCCCAGCAGGCGGATAGGCAAAAGAAACTGCTCAGCACATTCGAGGTGGCCAAGGGCATCGTCAAGAAGGACGGCCTGGGACTAAGGGGCCTCAACAAGGGTCTCACGGCCACCATGGGTCGCAACGGAGTCTTCAACATGGTGTACTTCGGGTTCTATCACAGCGTGAAGAACGTGGTGCCGGAATACAAGGATGGCACCCTGGAGTTCCTGCGCAAGGTGACCATTGGCTTCCTAGCCGGCACCTTGGCCTGCTTCGTAAACATACCCTTCGACGTGGCCAAGTCACGCATCCAGGGACCCCAGCCCCAGCCTGGAAAGGTGAAATACCGCGGCACCCTCAGCTCCATGGCCATTGTCTACCGCGAGGAAGGATTCCGGGCTCTGTACAAGGGACTCGTGCCGAAGATCATGCGCTTGGGACCCGGAGGCGCCATCCTGTTGCTGGTCTTTGAATACTCCTACGGTTATCTGCTAAACAATTATTCATAGTTTTTCCAGAGTCCTCGGTTCTAACCAAATTATAAGACGTCATTTTGTAGTTTTGCTTCTTTGTTCTGTAATGTATGTACCTAGCTCCTAAAGTTTTCAATCTAGGCTACATTTACACCTAAGACTGTGTTTTAAGGGGTTATATACAGTTGTGATATATAAAAAAATCGATTTTTTTTTTATTGCATATTCTTTAAGTATATTCTATTGGGAATACTCTCACAAAAATTCATAACGATCGGAGCATTGGAACAGAAGCTGTAGCTATTTATAGCGCACTATCTGCATATAAAACTTGAACAAACTTGAAACTTTAAACGCGATTATCTCAGAATCTTTTTTTTTGGGAAATTGCTTTTGCGGTGGACACGATTACTAAAAAACTACTAATCCGATCAACACCAAATTTTGACCACTTATTTATTATGATATTAGCTAGTCCGTGAACGAGGGATTTTCAATTTTTTTGAAAACTCCTTTTTTAAAGCACAAAAAACGAAAATCTTATACGTTGAAAAAGTACATTTTTTGTTAAAACCGTCGCCATTTTTTTTTTAATCAAAATTTTTAAAAATCCCTCGTTCATGGACTAGACAATACAATATACTAACTAAACTTTTTTGAATTTTGGATTTCGGATGAAACGTTTTCGAGAAATCATGTCCACCGCGAGACACCATCGAAAACAGATGATTCGGGAATTCGGCTATAACATTTTTGTTATGTAATATTTTATTATGAAAAAATTTAATTAAATACCCAGAAACATGTACTAAACAACGTGGGTAAAACATTGTTCATAAATATTTTCTATGGTGTCAAAAAAAAATCGATAAAAATCCATATTTTTGCGCGGTACAACTGTATATAACCCCTTAAAGGAGACAAGTTGTTAAGTAAATATGTATATTTCGTGTTATAATAAATGAGGAGTGTTTTTATTTTATCTGTTTTGTTTTATTTCTGAATTTTCCGGGATTTTTCAAATTTTTCTGAAATTTTCAGATTTTTTCCTGAATTTTCCGGATTTTTCTGATATTTTTCCTGAATTTTCCGATTTTTTTCAGAATTTTCCGGATTTTATCGGAATTTTCCAGATTTTTTCGGAATTTTACAGATTTTCCTGAATTTTCCGGATTTGTTCCGAATTTTCCGATTTTGTTCTGAATTTTCCGATTTTTTTCGAAATTTTCCTAATTTTTCCACATTTTTTGAAATTTTCCAGATTTTCCCGAATTTTCCGATTTTTTTATGAATTTTCCGGAGTTTTTCCGAGTTTTCCTGAGTTTTTCCAATTTTTCCTGAATTTTCCGATTTTGTTCTGAATTTTCCGAATTTTTTCGGAATTTTCCGGATTTTTCCAGATTTTTTTGGAATTTTCCAGATTTTCCCGAATTTTCCGATTTTTTTATGAATTTTCCTGAATTTTCCCGATTTTCCCTGAGTTTTTCCAATTTTTCCTGATTTTTTTAGATTTTTTTCAGATTTTATCGCATGCGATTTTTGCACTTTTTAGTTTTGGCCAACCTCTCGCATGCGATAAGGCGGAAATTTCAAAAATATGACGTACTGGACTTAGTATAAATCCAACGCCCGACCCATAGAAAAGGGCATATTTTAACCTTACGTCGTACGCCGTAATGGACTTGAAATATTTTTACATGTAACGTAAAAGACTTGGAAAAAATCTGGAAAAATTTTAAAAAATTCTAAAAAATTCAGGAAAAATTTAAAAAAATTATAAAAAAAATTAAAATTAAGAAATAAAAACATTAAAATTAAAAAATAAAAACATTAAAATTAAAAAATAAAAACATTAAAATTAAAAAATAAAAACATTAAAATTAACTTATATTTTTAAAAACTTTAAAAATTAAAAAAAACTTTAAAAAATTAAGAAAACTATAAAAATTTAAGAAAACTTTAAAAAATTAAGAAAACTTTAAAAAATTAAGAAAATTTTAAAAATTTAAGAAAACTTTAAAAATTTAAGAAAACTTTAAAAATTTAAGAAAACTTTAAAAATTTAAGAAAACTTTAAAAATTTAAGAAAATTTTAAAAAATTAAGAAAACTTTAAAAATTTAAAAAAACTTTAAAAAATTAAGAAAACTATAAAAAATTAAGAAAACTTTAAAAAATTTAGAAAACTTTAAAAATTTAAGAAAACTTTAAAAATTTAAGAAAATTTTAAAAATTAAAAAATTTTTTAAAATTTAATTTTTTTTTTTAAAACTTAAAAAAAAAATTTTTTAATTAAAAATCTGAAAAGATCCCCCTACCCAATAAAAACACAAATTTTGCACTTTACTCGTTTATTAATAAGTTTCCATGTCGATTCGCAAAGAACTCACTCCGTAATCCACAAAATAAACACATTTTTTTCTTTGTGAATCGACACGGACGTATAACGCTAGCTTTATGAGAGGGCACTTTGTGAAGATGCGTATAACATTTCCACACATTTTTTACTTGCTTTTTTTAATTATGCCTAGACATGTTTTTGTTTTTAGTTTCTTTTCGAACTGCGTACAACGTTGCCAGCAAGTAACATTTTTGTTAAATGTGTTTTAATTTTTTTCTTTTGGTCTTTTTTTTATGAGTATTTTGAATACGTCTCGTAGCAAAAGCTCTCAAGACCATTCTTTACGCACGTTCTACGCAATTCTTATATATTTTCTTTGGTTTCGGAAAACGTTTCAAAAGCTTAAAAGCTCTTTTTGAGACACATTTACCCGAAACACGAACCGTTTGCTTGCGGCGATGGTGTATCGTATGTGGTTTGTGGATCATGAGTGTGGTTGTCGTGAGTATTGGATTGTAATGTGGTGTCAGGAACATGACCTGAAATCGAACTTAATTATTGTGTGGATGGATCACAAACAACGTAAGGGATCACACTGGACAACGAGAATGAAGCAGAGGATGATACAATAAAGGAATGGTTAGGTAGACGGATCAGAACTGAAAATAAAGGATATCATATCGATTAGGATAGTAATTCTTCTCTTGTATGTGGCGGAGCTTCATGGCTGTGGCCAGTTCAGGGATGGAAACTCGATGGAAACATGTTGATTCCTGTCCTGCTTGCGTATCTAGTTCGGTGGGTAGCCTACTGACCAACTGACAGAGGATGGTTTTTAATGGAAACTATGGTTCAGGAATAAGTCAGGCATTATATTCAAGTTAAGAATTTATGGTTTCTAGTAAAGTAAGTTGCCTTTGTCTTTTTTTTTGTATTATTTTTAAGAGCTTTTCATATTTTTAGCGTTTGTATTCATTCATGAGCATAAAGTGTTATCGGTTGCCTTGGCAAACCAGCTGCGGGTCAAACGAATCACCCGCAAAGGGTTTTATTTTTAATATTATTCATAATATTATTCACTTTTTACACTTTTCGCTCACGAAGCGTACATTTTGGAAATCATTTCGCAAAGCACACGTTTGTGGTTTTGCATTGTTTCTTGTTGCAAATATGAAAGGCTCGTAAAACATTTCGGTTTTGGTTTTTTGATGGATTTGTTAGGTTGAGGTTAGACAAGGACACTTATGGAGTTACTGGAAACAGAATCAAAATCAAAGGATCTGGAGTATGGAACTCGACTTATTCTTGATGAAGTTTATATGTCATATATAAGGTCAGTTGGAAGGACTTCCTGTGAACCTACGCAGTGGCAGTTTCTTCTGGGATTCGCTTCTTGGCTTTCTTTAAAGATTACCCAGCGCCATGGCCAAACTAGTCCTGTTTTCTTGAGTCTTTACTTAGCTACCAGGGCAGGGCAACTTCCTGAAGAATCGTTTGGAATAAATTAGCTTCTCTGGCCAGTAATGGTATCTTAATGGATGATGAATTGGTGATCTTACGATGACACTTTTAGGAACTTTATCAAAGAATTATGTTTGATATCTTTTTGAGGTATTATAGAATCTGTTCTGTTTCATAGGAACCCCGCTCTTCTGACCGATGACCACCTCTGGTGTTGGCGGTCGGTAGCCGGGACTCCAAGGTGTCCGTGAGTGCGGTTAGGGCGTGCATGCGTGCGTGGGGGAACCAGAGATTCATTCACGCATCTTTCGACACGGAGGTTGTTTTTGGAGGTCTGTTATATGGAGGTATATATCGTTACTGCTCTGTTTAGCCTTGCAGTCCGCCCTGTGGCCGATACGCTTTACCGCTCGTGCTGCAAACGTCTCACCAGCGCGACAGAGATACCAATTAGAAGGAGAGAGAGCTACTCTCCGTGCCACTGTTTCGTGTTTTCGTGTCTCGCTCGCATCCACGTGCCACCACACACGCGAACGATAGAAGTATGCGGAACGCTTCGTCTCGAAGCGCGTGTGGCGGCAAGCAGATGCTCTGGATCCTGGTCTCTCTCGCTCCTGGTCAGACATTTCCACCACAAGCGTTTTTTTGTTCGGTAGCCCCAGAATTTGGGGCTACCACATGGCCACAGCGGTACTGCAAGGTTCTCACGGTTATTGGTAGAATCCGCCCGGCTCGCCGCATCCCAGGTAGCACCACTCGCACCCACGGAGCTCGACTACGCCGACGCGCCTCCTCTTCCTGCAGAGGAGGCACCACCTGGAAGGAATCGGTTCAGAGAGGGTTCTCTTACTCGTTCATGGGTTCTGGAGAGTTTATCGCTTGATGAATGTGGCGATTCTAGGTGAAGGTGAGGTTCTGGGCTTCAGTTCGATCCTGGGCCAGGAAGGTGCCTCTGCCCTGGTATTTCACTTTTCACTTTCACGAATTTTACATTTTGTTCACTTGAAAAAAAAAAGTAGAGTAATAAAAAAGTCACTCTGTTGGGTTTCCGAGACTTACGAGAAGGACCATGACGCTGGGGGCAGCGCTCGTCGGCGACTGACACTCGGCATTGCATCGGAGGGCCGTACGTAGCCTCGGTTCCGGCACTTAGGTAGATAGATTACGGCCTCAGGTAGACACATGTTCCCTATCCGTCCATCCCCTAATTCGTCTGGGTTCACTTCCCAGGGGTTTGTTTTCCATTCCAGGCAGCTGCCGACCCGTTTTTCTGGATCCTTTTCTTGGAATTTGCATTGTTATTCATGCACCTCGTGCTTCTTCTTAGGTCTCTGCTGGCAATGCCGTTCTATCTTGCATTTCGCCTCGAATTTTCTTACAACTTTGGCGATTCTTCTATGATTTTCATTTAATTGGAAAGAATGGGGTTTATACAGCCAATCTTAGGCATTGCAGCCCTTTGCAGAAAAATATATATTACATTTTCCTGAGGCCGGTATGCTTGTTGCGACTTTCCATCGCGATTTTCGCTCTCTCTTTGAAAAATTGTCGGCAAGTGGTGGTCAGAGTTGCCAGAGTTTAATCCGGAATTGAGCTAGGAGTACAGTACTGTAGGCTAAAGAGCCCCCATGAGACGACGCCCATGAGCTGGTCATACTTTGTAATAGATTCAAGTATCGGCACTCTTGAGTGTTTTTGGGGCTTACTTTCAGGATTATCTAAGCCATAACTAGTAGGTTATATCACTTAATTGTAGATTTAGCCTTTTAAATGTTTTTAAATTCCAAAACAGGACCACGATCGTGCGCACTAAACACACCTCACCATGAGAACTCTTTTCGGCGATGTGGCAAGGCCAGCAGTTAACAGCGCTGGAATGTTAAATAACATTACAGTTAACATTTTGAATATTGAGGTGCTTTGGTTAAGTTTTTCTTTAAGAACTAAGTGATAAAATTTAAATATTAGCAAGGAAAATTAAAAATATAAAAAGCTTACCTTATTTTATTAAAATTTAAAGACTTCCTCCTTCTTGGTAAGGTCTCTGAAGAGATCTCTGGATGTAGGAAATAATTTAAATAAAATCTAAAATATAATTCTTGAATATCGTAAATTAAATTTAAATTTAAATTTAGTTTAGTATAGTTAGTAGTGATAAAATATGGAAGACTAGTGCTTAAAGTATTAAGTTAAAGTATTATTTAAAATTATAATTAAATACTTTTACAAAAATCTGAATCTTACCATTATTAAAGCGCGAATCTGAAAACATAAATTAGAAAAAACCCTATTTCTAGCATTAGACATACAATTAGAAAAATATAAAAAAAAAACTTTACAATATTTAGAATACAATTGTAGTTTTTTTTTAAATTACAATTCTAGTTATTTAAGTATTATTCGAGATAATTTAATTTAAAAACCGAGTGGCTCGGATCGGCGTATAAAAAGTATTTACAAACAATTTGATAAAAAAGGGCAACCGTATAGACGTACATAATCAGAGACTATACATTAAATGCGAACAAATAAAATAAATACAGGGGCGCCTAATACTAAATGCAAATAGGGGCGGACGTGGTGGGGATGCGTAAGTACGGATGCGGGTGATGCGGTCCACACTCAGGCCTCGGAAAAGTCGTTGTCGTAGGCATGGTTACGATAGGCTCCGTATCCCAGCTCCGCCTCCATGCCGCCGGGCGGGCGTGGCGAAGGCTTTCCTCTAGAAGCGCGGCGGTTGGCCGGTGATCTTGTTTCCCGGAGAATGGATTGCGGCTTGGGCGCTGGCGGCGCTTCGCTGGTAGTAGAGTACTCTTCGGGTTCCTCGCTGAGATTCTTGTACTGGTAGCTGCGAGCCAGCCACAGGAAGATCACCATGTCGACCAGCATGAGGCAGGCGAAGAGGGCAAACTCGCCGGACTGGGAGCTGGTGAACTTAAACTCGGCGATGACCACCACTATCATGTTGCCGATGGCCACCGAGAGGAGCCAGCAGGCCTGCAGGACGCTCTTCATGCTGGGCGGCGCCTGGGTGAAGGAGAACTCTAGTCCGGTCACCGAGAACATGATCTCCGCCGCCGTCATCACCACGATCTGGGGCAGCTGCCACAGGATGGACACGGCGCTGGGTGCCACCACCTCGAGTAGGTTGTATTGCTGGAAATGCAGGGAGGAGTGTTAGTTGTGTTTGTATCCTTTGTGTCCCACACTTACGTAGCCATCGTTGGCGTTTCCCTCCACCACCAGGCTGTAGAGGCCGCCCTCCCTCGTCTCGAAGCTGGCTGCCTTGTTGCCGTTGATCTCCACCTCGCCGTAGCCGGGACTGATCTTGTAGAGCTGCGACAAGTTCCGGTTGATTGGAATGAGTGGCTCGGGGCCTGAGCCCATGGCCCTGAGAAGCACGGAGCCCTCGTCGGAGGGCGTATTGAGCAGAGCCCTCACCAGGGGCGGGCTGCTGGCACTCGGCGGCATCTCCAGGCCGTCGCTGAACTCCGAGAGCTTGTCTCCAGCCAGGAAGTAGCTGACCGACTTTCCAGGGCGCAGCCGCAAGTTGCCAGTGATCTCGGGGCACTTCCCAGAGGTGGCCTGGGCCTTGAAGTCGTACTCCCTGGCCTCTGGAACGAACAGCGACAGATCCGCCCACATGCCCAGAGGTTCGATGGCCCGCGGCAGCTGCTCCGGCGACGCTCCCAGGCCGGAGGTGAACTCGTACTTGCAGGGCATCCCGTTGTAGAGGCGCAAGTGACCGGTGTTCTGTTCCGCAGGCGCAGTGGCGAAGGCCGCCTGCTCCATCTTCATCTCCAGGGCAGCGGAGAAGAAGAAGCCGAGTGCGGCCAGCAGCAGGCCAATGGTGAGCTTCTGCAGCGGGCGCCGGATGCCGATGGTGCGAAGCAGCGGGTAGACTATGTAGTCGAAGAGCGGTATGAAGGCCAGGATCAGGAGCGGGTTGACCACCTGCATCTGGTCGGGCTTGATGTGGTAGCCCAGCACATTGCCGTCCATACGGGTGGCCTGGAAGGTCCAGCGGGAGCCCTGCTGGTCGAACAGCGCCCAGAACACGGGGAAGGGTAGGTAAAGCCGTAGGATTCGGGCCAGGCACTTGGTCTCCTCCACCAGCTTGGGTCCCACGGTCGGTATGGCGTAGTCCAGGAAGCTCTTTTCCGGCTCGGACTTGCTGCGCTTGCACCAGCCCCTGAAGGCGTCGGCGATGCACTTGGAGACCCCAAAGATCATGTTACCAGCCGGGGGCTGGCAGCGGTAGAGGCGCCTTCCGGCCACAAAGACTAGCACCGAGACGATCATGAGGACGGCGGGGACGCCAAAGGCCAGGGAGAAGCAGTCCTGCTCACCAAAGCAGTGGATGTCCGCCCGCAGGATGGGGGTCACTGTCGTGGAGATCATCGAGCCGGCGTTGATGGCGAAGTAGAAAAGCGAGAAGAACTTGGCCAGCTCGAGACTCTGGGCGGGCAGCGAGAACTGGTCGCCGCCAAAGGCCGAGACACAAGGCTTAATGCCTCCAGTGCCTATGGCGATCAGCAGGAGGCCCACAATGGTGACCGAGCTGGGGATTGGAAGATAGGCTTAGTACTCCACCCGGTGATGGGAAGAGAGGACTTACTTGGTGGGCATTCCAGGCAGGGGAATGGCGCCAAAGGACACCACCATGGCGCCCAGGCTGTAGACCAGCGACAAGTACAATATGGTCTTGTACTTTCCCAGCCATCCGTCGGCGATGAGAGCTCCGATCAGGGGAAAGATGTAGACCAGCATGGTGAAGATGTGGAAGAGCACGGTGGAGGTCTCCTCGTTGTAGCCCAGCTTGTTGGTGAGGTACAGCACCAGGATGGCTACGGAGAGAGTGGAATTAGCCTGGTGGCTAGGGGTTGGGGGACTGGAGTACTCACTGCGCATGCCATAGTAGTTGAATCGCTCACAGAACTCATTGCTGATGATGAAGGCCACCGACTTGGGATACGGAACGGGGGCCTGGAATCGGGAAGAACAACAGTCACTGGCTGGTCATATATTCTTTATCAGATCGCGGGCATTATCTTTGCGGGTCTTCTTTATCGAAGAATGGGGTCCACCCCTCAACCCACCCAACAACCCCCCTAGAGAAACGTCGTGTCATGTGCTGACTTGGCGGATTTCAGAGACCCACCACTAGTTCAAGTGGTTTCGTCTGTCTATTCCGCGATTTCTCAGATATTCCCCATTGTCTCACGTCGTAACTTTCTACATAACTCTGCCCCCTAAGCCCCCTAAGCCTCCGTTTATGTTCTGACAAAGATTCCAATGCCTTTGAAAGGCCCATAACTCATGCCTGTCGCCCTAATGGAGGCAGGCACTGGGAATGGGAATGGGTAAGGTGCGTCATTAGGGGTGCCTCCAATTAGATCTTGTTTGGATGTCCTAACATCTCACCACTATCTCTGCTTGATTCCTAGGGTATTCCGGCATCGGACGCCAGGTCGACAGGTGGGAGCCCATCGCTTATCTCCTCTATGGCCATTCTCATGGTAATTGGACTTTCTGCCGTCACCGAGTCTCGTCTCGTTTTCGTTTGGCTTTCGATTTTGTTGTGGCGTCTGGGGCTTGCAGCTGGGAGGGGGCTGGGGACTGGGGACTGGAGGGGGGTTTCTACTTTGTTTTGTTTTGATTTGCAGCGTCTCTTGGCCAAGGTGAGCAACGACGGAGTGGAAACGGGTTTTTGCGGGCCGTATCTCTCGAAGCGCTAGTATCTAGTACACCTAGACACCTAGTCCGTCATCCATTGATGATTGAGAATTCCGCTCACACCCCCGGGGCCTCGGCCAGCAGCTTGTACTCACCGTTGCGGATTTGGTATCCCCTCCGACCACCGCCGCTGCACTGACGCCGCCCATGAACGGCATAACGGTTGCTGATGATTTTATGTAATGCTGGTGGCAGCCACCTGGAGTGGGTTGCGAGTTGGGTGGGTGCTGCTTGGACGTCCGACGGAGACTGCGTTCGGTTTGGAACTAAGAATACCCCGCCGCTTGGGCCGAGCTTTAAAGTTCGATCTCTAGTCGGCTGCCTTTCTCCCACTCTCTCTACACCCCTCCTCCCATAAATTAACAGACAAACAAAGAGGAGCCGACGGCCTGGGAGGCTGGTGGAGCGTCGGGGGGGTGGGTCTGATCGGAGCTCCAGCTGATTACTGCCAGTAATGGGCGGCAGATGCTTGGCCAGGCGTGGCCAAAGTCTAGACGGAGTCTGTCCTACCCTTTCAAAGGCTCAACTAATATCAGATACACTTGGAAAAATGTCCCCCCTTGTTTTTGATTCCCGTTATCGGTAATTAATTCAATCAAATCGCGGGCAATAAAAGGATTTTTTTGAGTTATTTGACACACATTTCGCGATCGCTCGGTATCGGGGGCGCTCAAGGTCGACCGCCTCGCGACTGCGAGCAACAGCCTTGAAAGAAGAAGCAGCAGCACGAGCGGCTCTTAATTGAATTCAGAATGGGTGGGGGGTTGGGGGGGCGTTTGTGTAACTGTGTGTGCACTGTACTTTCCCAATTGGCACTGCTCTCCGCTGCTTCTCTTTCCCTCCAACTGTGTGTGATTTCTTTCCAGACTTCCAGTTCTGACTCCCCTTCGCCCCACCGATCCATCTGGCTCCCTTACCATTTACCGTTTAGCAGTTTTCCATCTTTGGCTACTCACCGCATTCTTTGCGCCTTCTTCCGATTTCGAAATCGTTTTGGAGTCTTTTGGCTCCTGGATTTGACCGTTTTTACCGTTATCCCCGCTCATTATCGTTTCTTTTTAGTTACTTTTCCTTTAATTACTCCCCCCAGCACATAATGGGTTAAGGGACAAGTAGCAAGCAGCACAAATTGCTTTGTAGGGCTTTTGGAATTTTATCGAAAGTACAAAACACAAAACGAACCGTAAAATATGTAACTTTTTGCACTGATTTCAGAACAGGTGTAATTTAGACACGATGCGACACGACGCGACACGACACGATGGACGGTGGACGGTTGTGGAGATGGAGACAATCGGCTGCTGGGCTGAGCCACGTTGTCGCCATAAAACAGAAACGATAAATGATGCGCTGCCCTCCGGTAAGCTGCGCTTTTAAAGCTGCGCCAACGGATGCAGCAGCGCAGCCGAAAACACCAACGAAAGTAAAAAAAAAAAAGGGGAAAAGGGGAGCAAGAACCAAAATCAAATTTAATTTGAAGCGATAAAGTGGGAGGGGGAGCGAGAGCAATATATGTATGTACATACGTACATACATAGCTGTGGTGGAGTGTGAGGAGTGAGGGGAAAAGAGCCTCACCTAAACGAAGCTAGCTGAGCTAAGCTTTGCTCTCTTTGGATACCATGCTGCCGCCTCCCACTCTCTGGCAAAGAGATCACTGCAGCCAGCGTTTGTTGCAGCCTTCTTATTCTTATTTTCCCTCCCCCATTTCTCTCATGCTCATTACAAAAAAAAAAAACAAGAGTGGGGGAGCTTTCGTCAGAGTCAAGTTCAATGCCATGCTCTTTGAATTTGCCGGCGCCGGGGTGGTGGTGGTGGTGGAAATGAGGATGAAAACGTGGATTTGGATAATGGAAGTACCCCCTCTTTAGTACCCCCTTTTGGATAAGCCCTCTAAACAGTTGTTTTTTCGAACTTCTGCATGCGTAAACCTGATCCAAAAATTTCTCTTAAATGGCCGTTTTCCAGACCCTTGCCTGGAAAACAAACAGACTTTCCCTGTTATTGATAAAAAAAAAAACCTACTTCCCAAGAACCCAGAACTACGCTTATCGACCTAACCAATCTTCGTCTTTCGCTTTCAGGCCCGATTGATCTTATCTTGTCACGGGTCCTATCGGCCAGATCCTACAATACATAACCGATCTCAAGACCCCTGGTAGAGCAAATCAACTTCTAAGTGCCCTGCTATCGCTATCTCTGTTTGTTTTCTTTACGGCTTTGAGTAATTTGTGGGATATTCCCAGGTAGCCATAAATCCATCCAGTCGTTGAGATTTACGAACCGCATTGGCCTTGTTTAGCTGGGAGATTGGAGGCGCCGCTTAGAGTATCCGGAATCTGGTTCTATATCTGGTTCTATGGAAGACTCACCTCTTTGCGGGGGCGTCTCTCCCTTCCGAACCTGTTGGGGCCGAAACTCCTCATGCTGTCGGTGTCAAACTGAATCCTTCTGCGCTCCAACTGAGTCAGCGCCAAAGCTATCAAGGGATATGGTCAAGCGTATACTTTTGTCTGTGGTTTCTGGACTCACCCCGACCAAAATCTGATCCCGCTATAAGCCGACTGAATTCGGAGCCGGAGGAGTCCTCCCAGTAAGAGCGGTCACTGTCGGAAGACTCCGATGAAGGGCACCGGTTCCGGGCTCGTCTCGATCTGTAACTCATACTTTTTCAACAAAAATAGTTAATTTTTTTTATCAATTTCGAGAGGCTCCTTGTAGACACAAAATCTTTCTGTCATATATTCCAAGACCTACTCGATTCGTAGACTCTTTACTTATCGTTTTTGAAGGAAATTCCCAAAAATTTTAAAATTGTTTCATTTTTCGATGACCCTAATTTTTCGCCCTTCCGATGGTCATAATTCCCGTAATTGTTATCCGATCGGGAAAGGGTATACCTTTCCGATATAAGGACATCGAGTAGCTCACTCCCTCATACCAGACTTTTCCTAAATTCGATTTTAAAATTTTTCGAATTTTTCCTAGGGGTACCCCTTGAAAATTCTCAATTTCCGACGATCCCGATTTCTCGCCCTTCCGATAGTCATAATTCCCGTAATTGTTATCCGATCGGGGAAGGGTATACCTTTCCGATACAAGGACATCGAGTAGCTCATTCCCTCATACCAGACTTTTCCTAAATTCGATTTTAAAATTTTTCGAATTTTTCCTAGGGGTACCCCTTGAAAATTCTCAATTTCCGACGATCCCGATTTCTCGCCCTTCCGATAGTCATAATTCCCGTAATTGTCATCCGATCGGGAAAGGATATACCTTTCTGATATGAGGACATCGAGTAGCTTATTCCCTTATACCAGACTTTTCCTAAATTTGATTTTAAAATTTTTCGAATTTTTCCTAGGGGTACCCCTTGAAAATCCTCAATTTCCGACGATCCGGATTTTTTGCCCTTCCGATGGTCATAATTCCCGTAATTGTTATCCGATCGGGAAAGGGTATACCTTTCCGATATAAGAACATCAAGGAGCTCATTCCCTCATACCAGACTTTTCCTAAATTCGATTTTTAATTTTTTCGAATTTTTCCTAGGGGTACCCCTTGAAAATTCTCAATTTCCGACGATCCCGATTTCTCGCCCTTCCGATAGTCATAATTCCCGTAATTGTCATCCGATCGGGAAAGGATATACCTTTCTGATATGAGGACATCGAGTATCTTATTCCCTTATACCAGACTTTTCCTAAATTCGATTTTAAAATTTTTCGAATTTTTCCTAGGGGTACCCCTTGAAAATTCTCAATTTCAAGGGGTCCCGATTTCTCGCCCTTCCGATAGTCATAATTCCCGTAATTGTCATCCGATCGGGAAAGGATATACCTTTCTGATATGAGGACATCGAGTAGCTTATTCCCTTATACCAGACTTTTCCTAAATTCGATTTTTAATTTTTTCGAATTTTTCCTAGGGGTACCCCTTGAAAATTCTCAATTTCCGACGATCCCGATTTTTCGCCCTTCCGATGGTCATAATTCCCGTAATTGTTATCCGATCGGGGAAGGGTATACCTTTCCGATACAAGGACATCGAGAAGCTCATTCTCTCATACCAGACTTTTCCTAAATTCGATTTTTAAATTTTTCGAATTTTTCCTAGGGGTACCCCTTGAAAATTCTCAATTTCCGACGATCCCGATTTCTCGCCCTTCCGATGGTCATAATTCCCGTAATTGTTATCCGATCGGGAAAGGGTATACCTTTCTGATATAAGGACATCAAGGAGCTCATTCCCTCATACCAGACTTTTCCTAAATTCGATTTTTAAATTTTTCGAATTTTTCCTAGGGGTACCCCTTGAAAATCCTCAATTTCCGACGATCCCGATTTCTCGCCCTTCCGATGGTCATAATTCCCGTAATTGTTATCCGATCGGGAAAGGGTATACCTTTCTGATATAAGGACATCAAGGAGCTCATTCCCTCATACCAGACTTTTCCTAAATTCGATTTTTAAATTTTTCGAATTTTTCCTAGGGGTACCCCTTGAAAATCCTCAATTTCCGACGATCCCGATTTCTCGCCCTTCCGATGGTCATAATTCCCGTAATTGTTATCCGATCGGGGAAGGGTATACCTTTCCGATACAAGGACATCGAGTAGCTCATTCCCTCATACCAGACTTTTCCTAAATTCGATTTTAAAATTTTTCGAATTTTTCCAAGGGGTACCCCTTGAAAATCCTCAATTTCCGACGATCCCGATTTCTCGCCCTTCCGATGGTCATAATTCCCGTAATTGTTATCCGATCGGGAAAGGGTATACCTTTCTGATATAAGGACATCGAGTAGCTCATTCCCTCATACCAGACTTTTCCTAAATTCGATTTTAACATTTTTCGGATTTTTCCTAGGGGTACTGATAGCAAATCCCCGATTTCCAAGGCCGTTTATAGTCTCCCTTTTATTCCCAAATAAAACCCAAGTGGCCTTAATCCTCCCTTTGTGAGGGGAACAATGGCTTATTGGAGAGGTGCTTGGCGCTATCAGGCCCGATATCGGCTATGAAGGGTCTTATCTCACCCACTTGAGCCACTCGACCCTAGGCAATCGATCGGTTGATACGGAGGCGAGGGACATGATTCGCCACCTTTGCAGCCAGGGGTTACCCAATCGGGCGCAAGGTGCAGCCAAGCACGTGCCGAAGATGGGTCCGATCTAATCTGGACTGAGTGACTGGGCCTGATCGATAAGATCTTGATCAGAATGGAGCAACTATCGGGAATGGTGTCGGAAAGCATGTGGCCAATTACGAAGCTATAGTATGCACTATAGAGCCTGTGTGAGAGCCGCATTCCTCCGGGTCGTAGATAGCTATCCATGATCCACGGACACGCAAACCCGCAATCGCCGACACAGTCTTGATGGCTTTAATTGAAGTGTTACTCAACCGATCGGATCGGATCGGACCGAGGATTGGATTGGATCTAGCACCAGACACTGGAGACACTGGAGCGTGCAATCTGGCCGGGGCCGAAAGCCAATCGAATCGGGAAAACAAAAAGTTTCACTTATCGCCCAGCCAATAATGGTCAACAATAACAATAATAGTAACACTGATGACAACAACAAAGCCCCCGCCTGTTATCAGCCATCCGGCTATCGGGGCTAGTATGGGGCTATGGCCAATAGATGTTTATACTTGTTTCTCTGGGCATGGTTATAATGATAGGCGCTCGTAAATACTAGGCTCCATAAACTAATCCATAAACTAATGCCTCTTGCGATTAGATCTGCCAATCGGGCAGGATCGTGGGGCTAAGGACTAAAGGGCTTCGAGGTGGCGGTGGCCTCAAGTAGCCCCAACCCGGCCCCAAAACTGGACCGGACCCTAATCTCGCCCCGTTCTCGAGTGGTGCTCATTAGGGTTGCGAGCACCCATCTTTGGAGCACTTTTATGGCCGAATATTGCCAATCATTTGGGGCTTAAAAGAGCTCCAACGTTTATGGGAGCTGGGTGCTGGGTCTTGAATGGGAAATACCTTGTGGTAGTAAAGGTTATCGGTATAAGCCACCCCACCACCCACCCCGAGGCTTTTATCAATCGATTTCATTCACTTTCGAGACACTTACGGATCCCTGAATTACGACCACCGGCCGGAGATCTGCAAGTAATGCACTAAGATAAGCCCGGTAGTGGCGAAAATATTTAGTTAGTGACTAGGCGATCCTACTAGTCAATGGCAGACGGAGCGTGGCAGATTCAGAGGGCATCTGGAGGAGAGGCATCTAATTATTGGTTAGAGTAGAGTGGAGGATCACTGGGTGGAGCAGCCACTAATCATGCCAAAAGATGGCGACCTGGGTACTGGGGTGGTGGGGCGTGGGGTGGGTGGATGGATGTTGGGCCATAAATAACGGCAACGCAAACAGGCAAGAGCACTTGGTCGGTGGGTAAGCAAACACCGGCCGTAAATACTTGGCAGCCGGCTGTCGATAACATGGCGATTAGGCTTATCGCCCGTATCGCTTATCCCTTATCGCCCTGGTACCCGTACCCATACCCATACCCGTACCTTAGTCATCCTCTGCAGCAGCACGCGCGCAGTCGCAGCGATCGCGACAGCGGCAGAGCCGAGTTGGCCCGGAGCGTTACGGCTGGGAGAAACCATCGGCGGCGCGGGGCTTCTTGGCAAAGCCACTTCGCTCAATCGACTTCAGTCTGAGGCTGTCGATCGCCGGGTACGGACTTGAAAAGCGCAATCGGCATCCAAGAACCAGAAGCGGACTCCCGATACCGTCGATACCGTCGTGTTTGTGTTTTTTTTTTTGGTTGCAGTTTAATGTTTTAATGTGAGTGTGTTGTTGTTATTTTAATTGTAATTGTTGTTGTTACGAGAGGAACGAACTGACAGTCGGAGCCAAAAACAAGAAAGGAAAGCTAACTTCGGGCGGAGCCGAAGTTGATATACCCTTGCAGTTAAAACCGGATATATATCGCAAACATCGGATTTAGTTGGCCGATCCTTATGATTACATTATAATAAAACCAATTAATTAAATTACAAAATCTAAAAAAAAGTCCCAAGCTTCTATCGTCAAAAAAAACAAAGTTGTTATTTTTACTAAACACCAAATACCATTTCTGATCGTTCAGTTATATGGCAGCTATAAGATATAGTCGGCCGATCCTTATGAAATTTGGTAGGTTGGATCAACTGACCAAAAATAGAATCTGTATGGAATTCCAGCATTCTATCTTCAAAAACACGAAAGTTGGGTCATTTCCGATCGTTCAGTTATATGACAGCTATAGGATATAGTCGGCCGATCCTTATGAAATTTGGCACGTCGTATTGTTTTGCCAAAAATAGCTCTCATGTTAAATTAGAACTTTCTAACTTTAAAAACACCAAAGTTATACCATTTCCGATCAATCAGTTATATGGCAGCTATAGGATATAGTCGACCGATCCCGGTCGTTCCGACTTATATACTGCGTGCAAAGGAAAGAAGGGTGTGTGCAAAGTTTCAAGTCGATAGCTTTAAAACTGAGAGACTAGTTCGCGTAGAAACGGACAGACAGACAGACAGACGGACAGACGGACAGACGGACAGACGGACAGACGGACAGACGGACATGCTCATATCAACTCAGGAGGTGATCCTGATCAAGAATATATATACTTTATAGGGTCGGAGATGTCTCCTTCACTGCGTTGCACACTTTTGGACAAAATTATAATACCCTCTGCAAGGGTATAAAAAGAGAAAACAAAAGCCATCACCTGGGCTCTTGACCGGGCCAACTGAACCCCTGAAGCCCAGATTGCTTTTTTTTTGTTTTCGGCTCAATTGTTTAACAAAAAAAAGCAATTAAAAACACATACCTAAAAGCTAAAAAAAAGCTAAAAAATAAAAAAATATATAAACGTTTATGCAACCCTCTGACATCCAATTAAATAATAAATTTCTCTTCGATTTCAAGTGTCGCGCCACGGATGTGAACCGGAGCCCCAAAATGACGGATAAAGACAACGGTATTGCTATACTTATAACTATATATAATTAACAGCTATAGTTATTACCCCAGATCACTGAACCAGGTCTTGTGACACCGCCTTCGATTGCCTCACAGTATCTCGAGTGCCGAATGAGTTGCACTTTGGGGCAGGGTCTCATTCCGAATGGAATGGAAGTGACGCACTCCTCCTCCAAGTGATAAACTCTAAGGGAAGAACCCTAATCCCAGCCAGGAAGAAAAGTCCCCGGGGCGAAAGTGTTGGTTGATTTATGGGCGCGGACTGGGAAGACTCTTCAGACCTTGCCCCGTATCAGAGAAATATAGGCCGTGAGGTAACCCGCCTGGCGGTGTCGTAAAGATTAGCCATCCATACCTGGGAGGTACCATCGGGTAATCTTCCTCCGGGCCCCAAATCTAATCGCCCTGATAAGCGCCATCGAGTGGCAGTCTCACCTCTTGGGCAAGACTCGGAGACCTTGCCAATATTTAAAATTCATGGTGCGGCCTCCCACCACTTTCCGTTTATGCACTGAAAAAAAAGGGTATATCGTTTAAAGCCAACTAGTCTGACATCCGAGCTGTGATTTCTCTCGGTGTGAGTTGCACTTCAATGTCAACTAAGGCCTCAACTAAGGCCTAGCCTCGGCTCATTTGCATACTCGCTTTGTTGGGGGGAGATGGGGATTTCGGTATTCCCCCTCCCACGACCACTGGAAGTGTACTTCCAGTCAGTTGCAATTAGTGAGAAATGCGAAAGGCATTCATTCATCAATCAGTTAGTCAGTTTTCGAGGCAGAACCGAACCGATATCTCTACCTGCCCCGGGCCACAAGCCATACCCATGGGTACTCTGTACTCCGGCAATCAAAGCTTCGCTACCGAATATTCTTGTATCGGTATCTCGGTATCGGTATCTAACAGATTGCTCTGTGTGTCTCCTCCGACACTTGTAATTAAAAACTGGGACGCCTCTCTGTTTTGGCCATCAGTCGCCCCTTATCAGCCCCATCAGCCAGCGCCGGAGAGCCATAAAGCCTGGCAACGACAATAAACACTCGACGACGTGTCAACGAGGGGCTCTGCTGCCCGCTCCCGATGGCTAATCGCTTGTAAATCAGTTGGCCAGACGGATATAGACCGGATAAGGATCTACTTTTAGGCACGGCGATTATCTGGGGATCGGGATGGGCAGGCCGGACCGATTTACAAGCGATTCGAGCGACAGTAGCGTGGGAGTTGCGTCATGGGCTTTGGGAGTTGGAGCACGTAGGCACTGGCACGTCCATGGCTGGACGGAGGGAGGAGGATCGCCCTTAACGATCACTAACCCATTCACGACATTGACACAGATCCCAAGTGCTTTTATGATCGGCTACTTGAGGTGGAGGTCTAGCCGGACTTCAAAGCGGCCACCGCAGCGGGTCACTGCTGTACCCTCGTGCTTCAGATAACATAACCCTCCGCCATGCTAATGGAGCTAGTCTGGAGAAGGGGCGTGGGGTTTATGGTGGCTTGTGATGGCCGCCATAAAGTCTGATAAGCCATCAATGGATTAACCCCGAGGAACTAGAGCGTCCCTCCAGCATGACGCACCGACAGCCCGTCACCCGTCAAGCGTCAAGCGTCCTCTTCCTGGTCCATCAATCAAATCCAGTTCCAGAGACAGCCTTCCATTTCCGTCAGCCGGCGCCCAACATGGCCATGACCATGGCTGGGATGGGCTCGGGCTGGACATGGACTGGATGACCATTTGGAATGGGCGAGGAAAGCTCGCCATGTTGGGCAGCCTCCGCCCATAAACGCCAGTTGGTTTATCAGACCGTCGTCCGTAATGCACCGAGATTTATGCCCCGCCCGAGAATTCACACGCCCGCGGGTGAAGGCTGGCCAAATATAGAGCAGCTCAGCCCCACCTTATCTGCCACGAAGGTGTCAAGCACAAGGCCACAAATCTCAGAGGCCCAAGACTTTCCGCTTCTTAGCCGTTCTGATGAAATGCCTCGGGGATGATCTAGGGGCTCGCGATCTCGCCTCCGGCCAGACGCAATGGAACGCCCAGCAGAGCAGGTTCCGCTCCTCGGTGGGCCCTAATCTACGAGAAACCTAATCCTTGGCCAGCGATATAATATCTAACCTGGTGTCTTCTCTCCTCTCCAGAAATACAGCCAGCGGCTGAGCCCGTGACGGAGTTCACTCCTACGGCAGCTGTAATCCCGGACTCCCAGCCCGGACCCAGTGATGACCCAACTCCAGTGCCGGTTGACCCGGAGCCCCAGGCTCCAGTGGCGGAGATCACTCCCACGGCAGCTGTGATCCCGGACTCCCAGCCCGGACCAAGTGATGACCCAACTCCCGTGCCTGTTGTCCCGGAGCCTCAGGCGGAGGCAGCGCCTGTGGCCCTGTCTTCTGAGGAGCCGGCCAATGGCAAGGCGGACAGGAAGCTCCCTGAGGTCAACGGCAAGGAGCCGAAGCCCGATCCCGATGCGAATGGAAAGGAACTGGTGCAGCCGAGTGACTTTAAGAACGTGTCCGAGGCGGAGGGTCAGCAGAAGGTGAGTTTACCATGCTCCGAGGCATGCTCCGAGTCCACACTAATCCACGTCCTCCGCCAATCCTCCAGAAACTGCCGTACCCGAAGTCCGTGTTCTTCATCATCAGCAACGAGTTCTGCGAGCGCTTCAACTACTACGGAATGAGAAGTAAGTGATCCTCAACCAGAACCAGAACCTAGGAGCTAATGCCTCTGTCCACACCCCCTTAGCTGTTTTGGTCCTGTACCTGAGCCGCGCCCTGCACTACTCCGACGACGCCGCCACCGTCACCTTCCACGTCTTTACCATGTTTGTGTACTTCCTGTGCGTCTTCGGCGCCATCATATCCGACTCCTGGCTGGGCAAGTTCAAGACGATTCTGTACCTATCGCTGGTCTACATCTGCGGCTCGGTGCTGCTGACCCTCGGCGCCATCGGACCCCTCAACCTGCCCATGGAGACGTTCACCATGCTGGGCCTGGCCCTGATAGCCCTCGGCTCCGGCGGCATAAAGCCCTGTGTCGCCGCCTTCGGCGGGGATCAGTTCAAGGTGCCGGAGCAGGTCAAGCAGATCACCTCGTTCTTCTCGCTCTTCTACTTCGCCATCAACTCCGGGTCGCTGATCTCCACCACGGTGACGCCCATTCTGCGCGAGGACGTGTCCTGCTTCGATGACATCAACTGCTATCCCCTGGCCTTCGGCGTCCCCGCCGTACTGATGGTCGTATCCGTGGTGATCTTCGTGCTGGGCCGCTCCCTGTACAAGATCAAGCCGCCGGCCGGCAACATGGTCGTCCTGGTGAGCAGCGCCATCTGGACCGCCCTGACCACCAAGTGCAAGGAGAAGAAGACCAATCCGCGCCCCCACTGGCTGGACTACGCGGACGTCAAGTACGACCGCCAGCTGATCGATGACGTCAAGGTGCTGATGCGAGTCCTCTTCCTGTACCTGCCCCTGCCCGTCTTCTGGGCACTGTTCGACCAGCAGGGCTCCCGCTGGACCTTCCAGGCCACCCGGATGGACGGCGACATGGGCTCCTGGAACATCAAGCCCGACCAGCTGCAAGTGCTCAACCCTCTGCTCATCCTGCTCTTCATCCCGCTGTACGACGTGGCCTTCTATCCCGCCCTTCGCCTGGTCGGCATCCGGCGGCCACTGCAGAAGCTCACCATGGGCGGCATCTTGGCCGGCATCGCCTTCATAATCTCCGGCGTGGTTGAGCTGAACCTGGAGGTGAGTAGTTAGTCCAACCTACCCTGTGTGTCTGCACCGGCTCTAGCACCAGCACCTGCACCTGCACCTGCCTCGCTTTCGCTCACACACTCTCTCCTTCTCTTTCTCGAATTCTCGTTGCACGCCCGATCCCCTGCTCCAGAAAACCTATCCCGACCTGCCCACCAGCCAGTATGTCCAGCTGCGCGTCTTCAACACCCAGCCCTGCGACTACACCTTCACCTCCAATCTGGAGGGGGCGCAGAGCTTCGTGGTGAACGCAACGGACGTCCACACCATCAAGGACCTCTACGTGGGCAACTCCTTCAACCTCGACTATGCGCTGACGACCACAAATCCTGACTGCACTTCCTACAACGCCCAGCCCGTCAAGGAGCTGACCCAGAAGACCGCCTGGTCGCTCTTCCTCAACCCGCAGAACGCTACCGCCGATCCCTTCTGGGAGGCCGACTTTGTGGACAAGCCCAGCGAAAGCTATCCACTGATCCGGGTGCTGGCCAACATTCCGCCCACCGAGAGGGTCGTGTGGCTCAGCAACAAGGGCGAGGAGGCCTACAACAAGCTGGCCAACGAGACGCTGCTCACCCGGATGAACTCCGGCGACTACACCATCATTGTGAACGAAATTGTGGTCACCACCCTGCACGTCCACACCGGCGGAGTGTACACGCTGATGCTGTGGAAGGAAGCCAGCGGTAGATACGCCTTCAAGCTGCTGGAGATCACCGAGCGCAACTCGATGAGCATCCTGTGGCTGATCCCCCAGTACGTGGTGATGACCCTCGGCGAGGTGATGTTCTCGGTGACCGGACTGGAGTTCTCCTACGCCCAGGCACCGCCCAGCATGAAGAGTGTCCTGCAGGCTTGCTGGCTCCTGACGGTGGCCTTCGGCAACGTTATCGTGGTCATCATCGCGGAGGCGGCCCTCTTCGACTCCCAGGCGGACGAGTTCTTCCTCTTCGCCGGCCTCATGTTCGTCGACATGCTGATCTTCATGTTCATGGCGTACCGCTACCAGCCCAACAATCCCATCAAGGACGAGGACGAGACGTTGCCGCTGACGGGATCGACCGAGCCGTCCGCGACGCCCGCCCCCCTCGACAGCGGCATCGAGAACAAGGGCAAGGACATCGGCAAGGACGAGTAGACCGAGTAGCGCCCCGCGCTGTGTATTATATGTATTTGTATTTGTATTTCTACCGTAGACGTGTGTGTGTGCGTAGTCCTAGTGGTCCTTGTCCAGCCCCGAGCTTGGCTGCTCAGGGATGCCCCGTTGTTGCACCTGACCAGGCATCCACCAAATGTTAACCTAATAAAAGAAACCTACCGATATACACCTGCTGCCCTGCTATGTTTGTGTGTCCTGTCCCCTGTGTCCCTCGTCTGAGATCCCCCTTCTTCTAGGACACCTACCCCGTAATAGCCTCGGGCGGGTACACCCAGCTGCGTGTCTTCAGCGGCATCCCCGAGTGCGAGTACCGCTTCAGCACCAACCTGGGCGCCCGGGAGAGCTTCACGCTGCGGGGCCTGGACTTCTACTCCTCGGGCAGTGTGGCCACAGGACCCGAGGGCATCTTCACGCTCACCTACACGGTGGAGAGCCTGACCGAAGGTAGGTGATAGGCCATATCCAGAGATTCCAGCTCGGGAATCCTTAAGAATTCTGTACTGCAGGTTGCCAGGATTTGGAGGGCGGCACCCAGCAGCTGTACGAGGCCACCGCCCACAGCCTCTTCCTGCGCCCCGCCCACACCATCTCCAAGTACTGGTACGAGGACGACGTGCAGAAGTCCAACCGTTCCAGGGCCCTGGTCCGCACCCTGGCCAACCTGCTGGCCACCACCCGCGTGGTGTGGTCGGAAGAGCCGTCCGGCAGCGTTGCCCTCGACCTGCCCGCCCGCAACCACGACCTCTACGAGCTCCCCACGGGTTTCTACAATGTCCAGGTGGCGGAGCACCCGCTGGCCACGGTGGAGCTGCGGGCCGGCGGGGTCTACGTCCTGGCAATCGGCCAGAGCCGCTCCGAAGGCTTCGTGTCCGAGCTGCTGGAAGTGACGCCCCCGAACTCGATGAGCATGCTCTGGCTGGTCCCCCAGTACGTGGTGATGACCCTCGGGGAGGTGATGTTCTCAGTGACAGGCCTGGAGTTCTCCTACTCGCAGTCCCCGCCCAGCATGAAGAGTGTCCTACAGGCCTGCTGGCTCCTGACGGTGGCCTTCGGCAACGTCATCGTGGTGGTGGTGGCGGAGGCCAAGTTCTTCGACTCTCAGGCCAGCGAGTTCTTCCTCTTCGCCGGGCTGATGTTTGTGGACATGCTGGTCTTCATGGTGATTGCCTTCTACTATATCCCCTACGACGAGGAGGCGGCCTACGCCGAGCGGTTGAGGGAGAGGCTGCGGGAACTGGAGGAGGAACGCGAGCGGAAACGGATACGGCAGCTGGCACAGGAGCAGTGGAGTGACTGTGCCAGTTTCAGGAGCTATTGATGGGCGCTCCAATTACCAAACCAATCCTTATAAATGTACCCAGCTATATAATTACTCTATTAAATGCATTATCCACCAAAAAGGGGTTTTAATTTTTAAATTTAAAAACTTCACCCTGAAATAAGCTTTAGTGTTGCCATACCATGGATAACAGTCTGTTAGGGCGCTGTTATCAGTTTAGTGTTGGTAAACAGAGAGGCCCACTGTAAGAAAAAAAAATACTAAAATCCAGCTGGTATTTTAGAGGAGAAACATATCGATTAATTGGCCGTTTTGAAACACTAAAAGCAAGAAGAAGAACCGTGGAAATCATATGACTCGATCGATAGAGAAAAAAGTTGGAATTTTCACTTGAAAACTCGCCCCGTTTGGACTGGAAGACTCCACGCCTTTTCGCCCACCACAGCTAACAAAGGCACAGCCGAAGGAACTCTGCCCAGGCGATTCTGCTGTTTTTCTTTTGCGCTTCCACGCCAGCCAGTCTGTGTTTTTGTGTGCCAGCCGAGTGCCCGTCTGTGTGCCAGTGCCCCAGTCATCAGTCATCATCCATTCAACGCTGGTTCAGTAGCTGAGAGTAACCAATTGCAAGATGAACAGCTCGGGATTCATGTTCAACATCGACAACGGCTATCTGGAGGGCCTGTGCCGTGGCTTCAAGTGCGGAATCCTCAAGCAGGCTGACTACCTGAATCTGGTTCAGTGCGAGACCTTGGAGGGTGAGTTGTGTATATCTCAGGGTCCAGGCCCAGGCCCAGGCCCCGTGAGGCGGATTCTCCTCACCCCACACCCTACACCCACTAGAACCCCTGCCCCAAGGTCTGGTCCAGTTGCCATTCTACCAGGCAGATGTATCTAATATATAATAGATACTATCCAGAACTTGGCCCACATAAAACTCCAGCCAGATCTGGCCAGAAAAGAGCCGAGTTGGCCGCTCTCTTTGCTAATCACATGACCAGCGATAACAGCGCTTACGCTGGTGCTAGTGTGTGTGAGAGGCGGATTCGTACGTACATGGTGGCGCTACTACTCCGCCTCTCTTCTCTCTCTATGTGTGTGTCTGTGTGTGTGTAAGCTTGTCTTGTGATGTTTGCTGACAACTTTCCGGGAATGCCTCCGGATACTCTCTTCCTTTCCAGATCTCAAGCTGCACCTGCAGGGCACCGACTACGGCAGCTTCCTGGCCAACGAGCCCTCGCCGCTCTCCGTGTCGGTGATCGACGACAAGCTGCGCGAGAAGCTGGTGATCGAGTTCCAGCACATGCGCAACCATGCCGTCGAGCCGCTGTCCAACTTCCTGGACTTCATCACCTACGGGTACATGATCGACAACATCATTCTGCTGATCACCGGCACCCTGCACCAGCGTCCCATCTCGGAGCTGATCCCCAAGTGCCACCCCCTGGGCAGCTTCGAGCAGATGGAGGCCATCCATGTCGCCTCCACGCCCGCTGAGCTGTACAACGCCGTGCTGGTGGACACGCCGCTGGCTCCGTTCTTCGTTGACTGCATCTCCGAGCAGGATCTGGACGAGATGAACATCGAGATCATTCGTAACACCCTCTACAAGGCATACCTGGAGGCCTTCTACAATTTCTGCAAGAATATGGGTGGTGCCACCGCCGATGTTATGTGCGAAATCCTTGCCGTGAGTATTTATTGGTCTTTGGTCCTGCGTTACCGTATCTGACCTTCTTCTTACTTTCAGTTCGAGGCTGATCGTCGCGCCATCATCATTACCATCAACTCGTTCGGCACCGAGCTGTCCAAGGACGACCGCGCCAAGCTCTACCCCAACTGCGGCAAGATGTATCCCGACGGTTTGGCCGCCCTGGCCCGCGCCGACGACTACGAGCAGGTGAAGACCGTGGCCGAGTACTATGCGGAGTATGCCGCCCTCTTCGACGGCTCCGGCAACAATCCGGGCGACAAGACGCTGGAGGACAAGTTCTTCGAGCACGAGGTCAAGCTGAACGTGTACGCCTTCTTGCAGCAGTTCCACTTCGGTGTCTTCTACGCGTACCTCAAGCTCAAGGAGCAGGAGTGCCGCAACATTGTCTGGATCGCCGAGTGCGTCGCTCAGAAGCACCGGGCCAAGATCGACAACTACATACCCATCTTCTAAGCGGCCCAAATATAATGTTATAATGTTTACCATATTTTTTTTTACGTCCTACCTTCGTAATTGCGTATGTTTTTTTTTTGTTCGTACACCCCCCCACCCACCACCTACCACCCTTGTTATGCAATTTTTTAATGTATATTATATTACGGCTACTGTCTCTGGAAGTATGTATGTATGTAGTTTTGTTGTGCGAGTATTATGTCGGTCCCGGTCTAATCCTAGATCTATTAATGTATACTGTATCAAGGGGGGATACCGTGCCCCGACGTGTACATATGTATTATTGCCGAACGGATCGGGAAACAGTTGAAATTGTAGAGTGGAATTGGAAGGAGGAGGGCGCCAGCACCATATGTTAACTACTATATAGAAATGCATACATAAACAAACCTATACATACATATGTGAATGATAAATCAATTATTAAAACATGTTTTCAAACATTCCCTTAAACGTGTGGTTCTCTCTGGTCTGGCCACAGAATTAATGGCTTTGGAGGCACTAGGCCATCGACTAACTTTCTTGCTGGCGTTTGCATAACCCAGTCCACTCTGGTCGCTGGTCTCTGGTTACTGGTCTCGGGAGTTATATAAAAACTAGAGTCGGTGTCGAGCGGGTTTTCGGATATCGAAAGCAAATAGCAAGTCTGTTGCGGTAGAAAGCTATTAACTAACTATTGATACTAAAAAACATGATAAAAACAGCTCTTAGGAATGTCTAGGGCGTGTCGTAAGATACTCTATAGCCCTTAGTCACTACTGATCCTAATCAGAGCCTCAATCTAGCCCAATACTTGAGCTATAGATGCACTGAATCCCTGCACCTTGTCTCTGTTTCTTCCGCTTAGTCTTCTGATGACTAATGAGGTCTGCGAGCCCACTGGACTGCACCTTTGTCTTGTAGTAGGTTCCAGGTTCCTTGGCCACCTCAAGGCTATAGCTTAGGGTGTGGTGTACACTGCCCTGCCCGGTGCTTAGTCATCCCCCGGCCTAGACAAAGGAGTACCAGAAAGAGCCCACCAAACATGACAGAAAAAACCCCCGACCCGAGGAAGAGGAAGCCAGTGACGTGGGTTAATTGGCAGCCAGAGGGGGGTGCTACGTGCCTGCATCACTCCATACAACCGACATGCCATACCGCAGTTTGGACCATACCGTTACCGTTAACCTGGCCAACGTGCAGCAGGTGGCAGCAAACCACCTGAGAGCAGCCAACAGCCAACACGTTCGATGCGAAAAGAAAGCGGCTGGCTGGTGGTTCGATCAGCTGGCCGGATCGCGGGCCAGGTGGGGGAATGGAATCGCCCATAACTCGGCTCGGTGGCCCCAACTCTGGGCAGTCGAGTTCCGCGTCTCCGAGCGTAGAGTTCAGTCTTTAAAAACGCTCCCGATTCAAGTCCACCACCAAAGTCCTAAATCGCGCGCCAATTTTTTTTTTTCTTTGGGCCTAAGCCTACATCGTACATCGTTCCGGAGAACCATAGGACCTTCTTCTTTTATTTTTTTTGTTTGTGTTTTGAGTGCATTTACCCCCCAATCGACCACCCCACCCACTGTGGTTGCAACAGCACCAGAACCAGCACCGGAGGACACAAGGATATCACACGTGCAAGGTAAAGAATTATGGACTTTCTGGCCATAAGAGTGAGGATTGCTGGTAATTGGTTGTGTGGGAGTGGTGGGCCTTCTGATTCTGGCAGGTGAAACGCGGTAGTCGCCAGACAGTGGCAGAACGCGGTGCTTAACTGGGCCAATAACGATGACTAAAGTGGCACTCCGGGCACTGCCACACTGAGAGAAGCAATCGATGGCTTATTGTCTTGCGTTCTTGGGACTCTTCCACTCCTGACTTGGAGTTTCTTGTAGTGCTGGGAAATCCACAGCCAAAGTAGCCTCATCTTCAGCTATAGGCCAGGCCAAAACCGAAGCCAAGACCAAGACCAAGACCAAGACCGAGACCGAAGCAATTGCACGTAAAAGTCGCCGTGAAATTGTGTCAACCAGTTTGGCTCCGACTCACTGGCTAAGGTGTTGCCACCCACCCCTTCCCTTCCCCGGCGCCCGGCTCTCAAGATCTCCATCTACGTCGAGGCGGTTGTGTCTTGGACTTCGTCTGGGACTGGGAGTGTGGCGGGTTCTTCTTTTCCTTGTCATTAATTTATTTGAATTTGGCAAAAAAAAAAAAAAAAAAAAAACAAAAGAAACGCGTCAAGCGATTTCGTTCTTCGTTTTACTTTCTACTAGCCACCATCCGAAGACCGAACACCGAAGACTGAAGACTGAAGACTGAAGACTCGGGCCTGGAAAGTGGCACTGGTTTCGGGTGGTTCAGGTGGCTAATTGATGGCCGGAGCCACCAGGCTAATGGCGGCTAATGGTAGGCTCTCCATCCAAAAGGTCGTAACTTCCCAGCTAATTCCTCTAGCCACTGGAGCTAGTTGGTCACCAGCAGCAGTGGGCCAATTTTCTGGTCCATTGGGTCAGCCTTGACCGGAAATACAATCGTTCCCCGTTTTCCCCCTCTATTCCAAATTCATGGAAAAATTTCACCCGTCACCGTAGGCTGCATTAAAGAACTTAACCTTAATTTTGGCATGGGTCTCTTGGCCCGGCCACCCGGTTATTATGGTAACACTGATGCGTCGATTTCACCCACACCAGAAGGCCAGAAGAAAGCTTGAGCTGGGACAAAATCAACCAGAAAAAATCTTCAAAAACCAAAAACAAAAAAAAATTATGCAAATTTTGTGGTGGGCTTTCGGGTTATATAAACCGAGCTACACCGCACCCGCTGGTTTGAAGGATGTTTTTGGGGAAAAAGTCGGACAAACTGCTTAGCATAATCGAGGCGGGCTGGTTTCGTAATCAGCATAACGCGGACGCTTAGAAGCCCCCCACGACGGCCAAGGCCTCTGCCATGGAGTATTATATTAATGGGCGAAATCTCAGACGAGATCCATAATCGATCGATCCGATCGGGTCAACACTTTCGCTGCCCACCGCATTAATTAACAGTTCGATTCGGACTTGGACTCCGATTCGGATTCGGATTTCGATTTCGATGACCAGATTGTGAGCAGCAGAGTGTTACGATAATTTCCGATGCGGGCACATATATATTTTTGGAAGCTATTGTTTGCCGGCCGACTCACTTTCTATTTTCCTATGCGATCGGCAATTAATTAATGCTAATAACTTTTCACAACCGTTATAATTTATTGACAAAATTCGAAAATGCCTGGTCCGGTCTGCTCTGGCTCTGGCCTAGCTCGGGGTTTGGGTTTGGGTCTGGTCGAGCAAAACAAACAAGAAGCGAAAACAGCACAAAAACAAACACCCAAAAAAAAAAAAAACAGAAACAAAAAACAAGAAATACTCACACGTGGACATCTCACGTCGTGTCATCGGGCCCACTCTTTCTCCAAGCTCCATAATACACCTAGCTGGCCCTTTTCCGGCCCCGTTTCCAAATCCAAAATGCGACGAAATGCAAATGAAGTCTGGCCCCCGGCCCCCGTCCCCGTCCCCGGCTACCGACTGGAATTTTTTTTCGACCCGGTCCGGTGAAATTTCCGGGCTGGAAAACCATAACGGGGAATGCAGGTGCGTTGGTGGTAGATGGCGTAGGCGGGGGCGAATTCCTTTAGTGGAGCAAGAACAGCATCAAACATCAAATGGGCAGATCCCGACCAGGAACCATAAATGCAACCAGCTACAAGGTCACCGGGCCACAAAACATAGTTCATATTTTCCAATCTCTCAGGGGAAGTTAACGGTACTCCTTGCAGCGGAGCACCCTTCTCACTTGCACACGCGAGATGGAGCACTTCCAATGCTGCTTAATAGATTTATCCGCTAGGTACGCGTGCGGGAAGAGTATTTATTGGGAGTTTGCAGTTTATTTATGGAATTAAACACTATTTTAAACTCTAAAACACACGCGTTTAGCGCCGCCATGTTGTTGCCAAAGGATGTTTTTCAGCACTGAAGGAGAGACGAAGGAGAACAAGGAAAATGGGGAGACTAAAAATCTCAGAGAGAGAGAGAGAGGATAAAGTTGAGCAACTGATCCCGTTGGCGTTTCGAGAGAGATCACGATTGAAAAGAGAAATGAAAAGAGAACAAAGGATAAAAACCATTAAGAGCAAGTGCTTTCCACTGTAAACTCTCTGGAATAAGCTTTATTGCAAAAATAAGTCAAGACATGCAATATCTTGTCATTTCTTGCTGTGTACTGTTTTTCCAACGTTCTCAGAGTTGGACTTGTAAACAGACGCATGCTTTGGCTTTGGCCGTATTTGGACGCATACTTTCTATGGCCAAATAGCTGCTAACCACAACAACAACAACAACAACAACTATGTACATTACGAGCAACTGGGCCATGTGTTGTTGTTGGTGGTGTTGCTTGTTCGCTGGAAGGTCATCAGTGGAATGGAGCAACGGCCGGCCGGATTCGACGATGCAACCGTCAAAGAAACGACCGCCAAAGGAAGGGGGCGGGGCATACAAAAATGAAAGTGGAACAATGCAACAGGCCCGCCCGGGTGGAGCAGGTTGGAGATTTCTGGCCATTATGCGCCACTTCCAGCCAAATTATGGAAATGATGTAAGGAAATGTGCGGTGTCAGAATGGCTTGGGAAAGCGGACAGACGCAAAACGAAGAAAACAATCAGTTGGTGGAATAACAAATCTGGTCATTACACCAAATCACGGTTCATCTTGGGCCAACTCCCCTCTCTGCAGACGATTCTAGTTTAAGGCCAAAACCGAGTGAGCCGGGTCCATGAACGGTCCACTACGGTTTCTCCGCCAGTCGAGCTCCAGTTAAGAGCCGCTAATTGATTTGGAAATCTTGGGGCTACCTCCGCCACACACTCCCCTCTCCTCAAAAGGGGGCACTTGAGGTAAATGAGTCAATAGCTGAAATTTCACTTTGCCATCAGAGGTGACTCCCACCGCTGCTCCTCCTCCGGTGCTCCGGCCCCCCTCCCCCTTGCAGACTTTGGTTCGAGTTGCCACCGAACTCCAACGTGTTGGATCTTGAAGATGTGAATGAATTTTGTTTTTGGCGACTGGTAGGGGGGGGCTAGGTGGGGGAGGGGGGAATTCTAATGAGGCTCTAACCCAGTTCGTCAATTAAATAACTTTTGAAGCCCAAGACGCAGGGAAGATTTCACTTTCGTTGGGTTTTCGCCCGCCGCTAGATGGTGTTCCCCCTAATTTGTTTGCATGCCCCCCTCCCCCCGCTCGAGCTCGAGCTCCCCTACCCTCTGGCACCCTGTTGCGCCCACTCCATTATTGCTCTCCAAAAGCCAAATGAAAACGAAAAGAAGAAGATGAAGAAGGAGAAGTGAAAGAAATTATGTCAATATTTATTTAAATTCATTTCTTTTGCAAAATACCAGACGAGGAAGAAGAATGCGGTGAAATTTAATCGCTGCCCACTCGAAAGCGGCAGCGTTGTTGACTTTTCGAATACCTTTCGCGACATACATACATATATACACACATAGTACATACATACATATATGTATGTATTGCCTGTAAAATATATACATGTGTATATGGGATTATACATTTCTCTTCTTCTTATTTTTTTTTGGAGCTGTGTCAAAATTACAAAAGTTCTCTGATTCTCTGATTCTCTGCTTTGTGCTTACAAGTCTAAGAGAGACTCTCTTAAGTTCTTCCTCTTTGCCCTTGCAGATGTCTGGCTCAAGGAAACAGATCCCACAGCTGCTGCTGGCCCTGCTCCTGGTGGGCAGTGCCTTCGTCCTTCAGCTGGAGGCCAAGAGCGTCATGCGGCGCACCGACAAGATCTCGGAGAACTTCAAGCAGCTGGATCTGCCGCCCGAGGAGATCGACCCCAACGTAGCACCCCCCGAGTCGGAGCCGCCCAAGGTCGAGGATGTGGTGGAGGAGGCGGCGGCCAGCGACCCCGTTCCAGTGATCGATGACAGCGCCAACGAGATCGCCAGCGGTGATGCCGAGGGCACGGCCAACGCCGTGGAGACTGCCGTACCGGAAGTAGCTGCTGCAGCTGTTCCGGAAGCCGCTCCAGAAGCCGCCTCCGCTGCTGCACCAGCTGCTGCTCCGGCCGCCGCCACTACCGCGGCTGCCGCCGTCAAGCCGACCAAGGCACCCACCACCCCCAAGCCGGAGAACCCCATCAGCAAGTTCTGCAAGTGCTCCGAGACGCACTGTGACTGCTGCCGTAAGTTCGGCCTGCCTCTGCTCCCGGCGGGACAGGGCTGCGCCAAGATCGCCTACCTGGGCAACGACGAGATGAGCGTGTCCTTGAAGTACGGCGACTTCACCCTCGCCTCCCGCCGCATCTCCAGCAAGCGCGCCCGCCCCATCTGCGTGGGCCTGCCCGGTGGCTACACCCAGTTCTGCGGCCGCATGTACGGCCTGTCGCGCGCCAAGGACTCCAAAGACTTCAAGGCATGCCTGGCTTTCGAGCTGCGCGCCGATGAAGAAGTGGAGGCCTCCCTGCGCGTCTCCTGCTTCAAGTTCGGCCCAGAGGGACTGCGGGTGGCCGAGGCGGAGCCACTACCGGTCAAGCCCAGCACGGACGATGACGAGGACGATGATGACTTCTTCGGACTTGGCGGTACGTATGCTCCCAGAGACAAATGATGATTTCTTAATGTCTAGGGATATGCTGCCTACGTGTCGTATACTTAATGTTGCGTATACGACTAGTGGGTCCTAAAACCATTAGTTAACTTTCGTTTTCATTTAAAGTTAGAGATTTAAAGGTCACTAAGAATCTTTAGCTACAAACTAGCCCCTTTTTCAAGAAACAAATCACGTATACGCCCTGTTATTCAAACACTTCATATTACGCATACGCCTAGTTGTCATAGGTCTAGTTTTAACTGAATATTTCTCCTTCAGGTGGCGGCGATGACGACGAGGATGAGGACGACTACGACAGCGATGCCGATACCGAGACCGATGACGACGACGACACCGAGGACTACGCCGACGACGACGAGGCCGAGGCACCAGAGGACGCCGACTACGGCGGCTTCAGCTTGGCTGGACTCCTTGATGAGCTGGACGATGACGAGGACGAGAAGCCGGTGAAGAAGCCAGCTGTTACTCCCGCCTCTGATCAGACCCGCGAGGTGGTCACCACGGATGCCCAGACTCCGGTGGCCGATCCCGTCCAGAGCAAGGACGAGGCGGGAGCTACAGCTGCCGCTCCCGCAGAAACCCCAGCCGCAGACACCGTTCCCGCTGCTGCTGCCGCCAATGCGGCCGAGGAGGTGGCCGCTGCCGTGACCCCCGCCCCCGCCGCGGCGGATGACTCCACCACGCCCAAGGCCAAGAAGTCGAAGAAGGCGAAAAAGAACAAGAAGAAGAAGGCCGCCGCAGAGGCGAACGAGGAGACGGGATTCGCGTACGAGCTGCTCAACGGTATCCTGGATTTTTTCAACTGAGCGGCCAGCGGGAGCTGGCCAACATGCTGGGAAACAGTGTAAATACCGTGTACCGTCACTGGCCGGAAACGGATACGGTTACGGTAACGGATACGGATAGCTATAGTTACGCCCGTAGTGCTTAAGACCGCGAAAAAATTCATATATTTATTGCAATTGCTATTTATTCGATCGCTTCCAGTTCAGCTTCGTAATTGTATGTTTAATTTATTTAACTTTATGAAGAATAAAAGTCGAAAACAAAGTCCTGTGTTGGTCTCCTGTCGGTCTGGGATGTCTGGTGTCCTGATGCCACAGGATGTCCTGATGCACAATAATTACGTGTCATGAGCAAATGGCCCGACTTACCGCAAAAGTAGACAACTTGCAACCGGGCTCCAGGGCGTGTCATCTGCACCCGGCGGAGCCTGGCTCCACTTGGCTCCCTCCACTGGCCCTCCGAATAAAACGACTTCAAGAGCATAAAGTAGTAAGCCGCAGACTCTACACGAGGAGCAGCCAAGACCCAGAAGAGTGTCTATCGACTTACCCGTCTCCTGGTTTTCCAATTTATTTTGCGGCCAATAACCAGTCGGATGAATCGTCCAGGATTGCGGAATAAAATAATTAATGTTCTGGGGCGCCACATTTTCCAGCTTTCCGGCATTTCGATTAGTCATTTATGGAGCCACTTTCACTCCGGAATCCAGAATCCGGAATCCGCCAAGATGGGGGTGATTAAGCGTCGCACCATTTGTCAAATTCCAAGGGGGGAGGGGGTGGCCGGGGCAGGCCAAGGTGAGGCTGGGAAAGGCTCCCTTGCCGCAGGGAGTAACTTTTAATTAGAAACTATGCGTTGCAGTTATGTGTGGATGGTGGCTTCTACTAGTTCCAGTCCCCGAGTCCAGGCAGAGTTCCAGGCTTAATTAGCTGCCAGAAGACCTTTCAAATTCCTGGCCCCAGACCCCAGATCCAATATTAAAATGGATGTTTCATACATATATAAGCTTTAATTTTTTTTTACTTGTAAGTGTACACACATAGAGTAAAATATTTATTTATTTTGGAATAAAATAGTCCATTCAATTATATTGAATGGCTGTACCGCAATCGACCAAAGAAACGTATTAAGTACGTGCTAAAATGTGGGGGGGGTGGGGGGTACAGCAGGACGTCCAATCCGTCCCGCCGACCGATAGAACCTTCTCTGCCTTTGCTGCCAACCCAATTGCTTTGCCTGGAAAATTCTTAAATTTTTTTTTTTTGGGGGGAAATGGCAAATATTCGTTCCTGATTGGATTTTCTTGGTTTTTTTTTTTTTTTTTCTTTTGTTATACAATAATATGCATTATAGTTTAATATAAAGTGGTGGTAACACACACACACAAATACACATTCATAAATGGTTAACGTACATCGAAAAAAATTGGTTTACATATGTATATCCTCTGTTGTATATAGTATGCGTGTATATAGAGTCCGACTACAATAAGTTTTGATTTGTAAACGATTTTGTTAGTTTTTTTTAAAAAGTGGTTGGGCTCTGCTACTTTTTATACCCTTGCAGAGGGTATTATAATTTTGTCCAAAAGTGTGCAACGCAGTGAAGGAGACATCTCCGACCCTATAAAGTATATATATTCTTGATCAGGATCACCTCCTGAGTTGATATGAGCATGTCCGTCTGTCCGTCTGTCCGTCTGTCCGTCTGTCCGTCTGTCCGTCTGTCCGTCTGTCCGTCTGTCTGTTTCTACGCAAACTAGTCTCTCAGTTTTAAAGCTATCGTCTTGAAACTTTGCACACACCCTTCTTTCCTTTGCACGCAGTATATAAGTCGGAACGGCCCGGATCGGCCGACTATATCCTATAGCTGCCATATAACTGATTGATCGGAAATGGTATAACTTTGGTATTTTTAGAGTTAGAGAGTTCAAATTTCACATGAGAGCTATTTTTGGCAAAATATTACGACATGCCAAATTTCATAAGGATCGGCCGACTATATCCTATAGCTGTCATATAACTGAACGATCGGAAATGACCCAACTTTCGTGTTTTTGAAGATAGAAAGCTGGAATTTAGTACAGACTCTATTTTTGGTCAGTTGATCCAACCTACCAAATTTCATTAGGATCGGCCGACTATATCCTATAGCTGCCATATAACTGAACGATCGGAAATGGTATTTGGTAGAAATATCAACTTTCGTATTTTTGAAGATAGAAGCTTGGGACTTTTTTTAGATTTTGTATTGTAATAAATTGGAGTATATATTCCTATTCCCATAAGGATCGGCCAACTATATCCGATGTTTGCGATATATATCCGGTTTTAACTGCAAGGGTATATAAACTTCGGCTCAGCCCGAAGTTAGCTTTCCTTTCTTGTTAAATTTAAATTTTGCTTCTCTTTGGGCCTTAAGAGCCTTTGATTTGATCCGAACGGAGCAAGGGGGGGGAGGGAAGATCCAGTGCTGGGATGGGTTTCAGTGGGTATTTGGGTTTAAGACTGGGGACTGGGATGACTAATTACAACTAAATCCACCTCCGTTCGGGTATCACACTTAAATAACGTTTAATTTTTAGAGTAAGTAAGCCTGGACTACGTTGGGGTCTTGAGATCTGGCCAGGGCCCGAAATTCGTACAAAGTTTTTTGGTTCGAAACTTAGCTTAGAGTCCTTGCGGTAGAGGCTGAAACTTGGGTGTGTATATTGTATCCTGTATCGCTAGTACATATATGCTTGCTCGTTATCCTGTAGTATATGTATATAATATTGGGTATATAATTCTATAAGATATATATATATATATATGTGTAAACGTTTAAGCTTGTATTTCTAGTATTAACTTGACTTTTTGTTGGAATTGTGGAGGAAGTGGGGTCAAAGGGGGTTCAGGACTAGAGGGTTAAGACTCGTCAATAGTTAGCCAGTTGTGTGAAATCCGTTCGGTAGAGGTCAGGGGTCAGTGGAGCAATATAATCAGTCTCGTTTTCGAAGTACAAGTTAGTAGTGGGTCAAGTTCCGAAAGTGGTTATGCTGTCCGTGTGGGCGTGCCGCCTCCCGTTTTAATGGCATTTAGCTTCGATTCCATTCAACATCCTCCTCGCACATCCTGCCTGGGGAAAAATGCACTGGGTCGGAGTTCTTCAAATCTCATTACTCCGGCCTGGAGGGCTTATGGCCCTCAATATTGTTTCTGGCCTTTATCAGCTGACGCCCAGCCGGGTCCCGCAGCCCTGCAGCCTTGCAACCCTTTAAAGCGGCTTCTGCTGCACCTGGCCCAGCTCCTGGCAACTCCTGGGTCCTAAGTGGCTTTTGGAGGGGAAGAAAAGAGCTTAAGGTACAAGAATATGTATATACTCCTATATACCTATAGTTAAATGAATCCAATAACTTGCAGGCTAATAATAGATTATGTAGATTATTAAAGTTAGTGCAAACTTAACGCATAGTATTTAAAATGAGGAGCAATCAGGGTCCAGCTTAGATGGCTAAGTTCAATAGGAAACTAACGGTAAGTCTACTTAGAATGCATTAAAATAACCTTAAGAATACAAAGTATTAGGTATTACCTTTTGCCGTACACTGAAAACAGAGCACCGTGGCACAGTGGTAGTAGTGGTATGGGTTGTCATTTCCCTCTCAGGTCATTCGCAATTCGTTGTTCCGTTCACTTTTCACACAGTGGCTACTCTACCGCCATTCTTCCTTCCGCCTGGAATTCGGTTGGTTTTTCCTGTTTATTTTGCCGTTACTTCTTCAGGACCCTCTGCCGATCAAGTTCGGTTAAGTACTTGCCTAAGTTTCCTGATGGAATCTCTACCGATGACATTGCCTTTTCCCAGGGGAGTTGTTCCCCCTCCACCATCCTCCCATCCCATTTCCCCAGCCTGCATTTTCCATATTTCAATTGTTTGCCATTCACATACATACACATACATACATACATAAGTGTGTATGTATTTCGAGGGGACATTGCTGTGTTTATGTGTGTGTGTGAGTGGGTGGACGTGCACGCTCGTGTGTTCTTGTGTGTTCATTTTCAATTTGTTTAAGTTTTTTGTGTTTGGTTTTTGTTGACTTTCTGTGCCCAGAGCCCCCCTCACCCCCCTGTGGTAGTTGTTGTTGTTGCTGCTACTTCTTGTGCACACAGCCCCAAAACAATGTGGAAACTTTGAGCTTATTTCTCCGCTTTGTTCTCTCCGGCCGGTCGCTGTTTACAGTTATTTTGGCCTGGTTTTGTTACAACTCCCCACCCCGCTATCACCTTCCCCTCGAACGCTTCTGGAGAGGCATTAGCTATCTCCGCAGGGAGTGCAAGAAGAAGAAGAATTCACAATGGAAGCAAAAAATCGACGCCATCACCATCACCATCCCCGCCGCCATTGTTGTTGCTTCTCTGCTTCTTTGTTCTTTTGTCTCAGCTTCGAAAATTCAAAAAATATAACCAGATTCCCAGGTAAACCCAGGCCATATAATGAAATAATTGCATTTTTGAGAGAACTATCTCCCCACCCACGCCACTCCAACCCACTTCCACTCCCCCGCCCCCTCTCATATGCATTCATTTTTTGTCTCTCTCTTTTGGGGACCGAAATCGAAGAGAAGCAACTCATCATTATCCGTTAAGTGTATTGTCAAAAGGGTATTAGTGGGCTTGTGTGGTACAATTGTGCGGGAGTGTGGCAGGTTCGTACAGCTAAAGAAGGTGCCACCCCCCACCTATGCAACCGACCCCTTGGCAGCCTCATGCCCCATTCCTCATGCCCTCTGCTTTTTGTTTTCCTTCTTTTTTTTTATTACGTTTCATTTCGTTTTTGTGGACCTTGGTTAAGCTCATTAAGGTTTCTACTCGACTGCTCTGAGTCCCATCCACGTCAAGTGGAACTCGGGCTGAGGACGGGCCAAGGGGGCGAGGCTCGCAGCTTAGGGGCATGGCCGGCTCCAGGGCGGGTGCGGGAGCGGGTGTCAGAGATCTGATTTAATGTGAATTCTTTCAGTTACTGTTTTTTTTTTTTTGTCAGCCCCATATCCGATGCATCGAATGGAGCCCGCACCTCCCCCCTCTCTTTAATCTGTACTCGGAAATCTGCAGTTTCGCGTTTTATCGTTTTGTGTAGAGTACTATCGGTATTTTCGGTATTTTCATTACCACACAACACAGAGAACTGTTCAAAAAATATGTATGTATCGTACTTAATTTCAAGACCTTGGTTATGATTATGGCGCCCCGTTTATCTTCCTAAATCCCGGCGCTTGACAATTGTTGCTGATTCCTATATCGTATAGGAATACGTAGATATCATCTTTTGTTTTGGTTTTTATTCTGGTAACTTGGCCAATTCGAGCAGCCATTAAAAAAGGACATCAAATAACGGAAGTCGCATTCAAAACTGACAGTTGCAGGAACGAAAGCATAACGGTAAACATAGAACCAAAGCACAGAGAGAAACAAACGAGTCGAAATAAACACAGTTTACACTTAAAAAATGGCAAAATTCATGCAGAAATTCTAATTAATACACATACAGAGAATCAACAAGAAAGAATGCAAAGTTTCATTTTTGTTTTCAGTGTAAAAATAAATTAGAAAACTTTCCCTATTTTAGCTGCTCATTTGGTTTGGTTTAGTTTTTCGCTCTTCTTTTCTAGATTTGTAAATTGAGCTTTTTTCTAAGTGTATAATTAAGTGCCTTGAAAATTGAAAAGCACTCTGATTTTTTCAGTGGTTTCTCTACTATCCCGATTTAGTCCTTGGGTTCGTCCTTTCGTAAATTCCGTTTGAAACCACGCGTTTGACCGAAAAAACAATAAAAATTGGACAAGAATCTCAAAATATAGTGCAGTTTCTTGCTCATCAGAGGGTTCTACACCCTTCTGATTGGTTATTAATTATTATTATTATTTTTTTTTTTTTGTATTCTGCCTTTTATTACCTATTTTGTTGCGAGTGTCGTTTCAAGGGACCTGTTTTTCGGGGGGTTTACTATTTTTCGGGTATGGTCAAAATTATTGTCCGCAGTTGCCGGTCTTGGAATTTTGGGTTATAGGGTTTTTGGGGTTTCGGATAATGGATAATGGATAATTGGGGTTCGTGTTGTGTGCTTAATAATTTCATTGCCAATTGCAAAATGCAAAAAATGTGTAATTCTGCAATTGGCTGCGGTTGGAAGTTGTTTTTGCCTGCATTCCTCATTCATCGATTAAATAATTTTTCTAAATTGTGTTTATAATTAAGGTTTCCTCCCTGTAGATTCTTTGCTTTAAGTGTTTGTGTGTGAATGTGGGGTTTTTTTGCGGCTGCCGGAGCCGGGAGACTCCGACGCCGTACGTAAACATCCTCTGCTTAGCTTCCGCTTCCGGTTGAGCCGCTTCCGCCGCCGCTTTCGTCGCCGCCACGATTTGGTTGCGCTGCTGCTTCGATATTCCTTTTGCTACTCCCGATCCGATTCACTGCCAGGCGGTAATCCTGGCCATTCCTTCCATCCTGCTTCCGCTGCCACTGCTCCCCTGCCTCTTCCTCCGTCTCGTCGTCCTCTGTGATCCTCCTCCTCCGTGCCTTTGCTTCTATATACAGTCAGTCTCTCTCCTCCTTATCTTCCAGGACCTCCCAGATCCTCTCGCCCTGACAAGCCTCCAGCCAATCCTTCGCCTTAAATCACAAAGAGATCGCTGCAGCTGGAGGAGTTGCGGCGCTTCAGGTTGATGGCCTTCTTGAAGCGCAGCACCGAGGATATAAACACCTTGGTCCTGGCCGTCAGCTTCTTGACCACCTTCCGGTTGCAGCTGCTCCTGCGTCCCCCGCCGCCGTTACCATCACCGTCCTCCTCGTCATCGCTGTCGGCGCCTCCGTCCCGCACCGCGCCGTACCGCTCCTCTCGCCGCGCTCCCAGCTGGGAGTCGTCCACGGCCCGCAGCTGCTGTCGACGCTGCAGCTCAGCCAGCGCAGCAGCCGCCGCGGAGGTGGTAGTGGCGCCATCGAAGGACCGCCGCTTTCGGAACGGATGCCGGTGCCGCAGACTGGCGGCCAGGATCTCGAACTTGCCCAGCCGGCCAATGCTGACGCCGCTGCTCGTCCCGCCCTCCTCCAGGTCGCTCTCGCCACCCATCCGCAGGATGCTCTCAAGGTTGAGTGGCCGCCGGTTGGGGTTGTCCACCCGCTCGCCCCCACGCATCTGCATGGCCAGATCCTCAAAGCCCCCGAGCGTCTCCTCCTCGCCTTGGCAGACACTCATTTGGCGGACCATCCGCCGCAACGGCAGGTGCATGCCCCGGTGCTTCTGGATCGTACTCTGGAGGTTCAGCCGCTGCAGCTCCAGCTCGGTGAGCAGACGCAGGCGCTGCGGGTTGAGCTTCACCTGCGCCACCACTCCCACCAGCAGCTCATCCACGTTGTGGTCCAGCCCGGACGAGGTCTCTATGAACTTGCAGGCGATCTCCTTGGCCACCTTTCGACCCACTGAAAGGAAAAATAAAAGGGGAAAATACATTCTCAGAAGGCTTCAGTACAGACATTTTTTTAGGCTCCTTGAAAATGAAGAAAATCGGGGAAACCAACATTGAGTTCACTGCGAAGGCAATATCTTCGGAAATATATATCCGATCCTTAAACGGGATACCTTTATGGAATCAGGGAAGAATTCTCCTTAAGTCTGCATCAAAATCCTGCCACATCATTTTTTTTCGATTTTTTTCAAATTTTTCTGATGGAGAAAAATGGAGAAAATCGGGGAAACCGACATTGAGTCCACTGCGAAGGCAATATCTTGGGATATATTTATCGGATCCTTAAACGGGATACCTTTATGGAATCAGGGATGAATTCTCCTTAAATCTGCATCAAAATCCTGCCACATCATTTTTTTTCGATTTTTTTCAAATTTTTCTGATGGAGAAAAATGGAGAAAATCGGGGAAACCGACATTGAGACCACTGCGAAGGCAATATCTTGGGAAATATTTATCCGATTCTTAAACGGGATACCTTTTTGGAATCAGGGAAGAATTCTCCTTAAATCTGCATCAAAATCCTGCCACATCATTTTTTTTCGATTTTTTTCAAATTTTTCTGATGGAGAAAAATGGAGAAAATCGGGGAAACCGACATTGAGTCCACTGCGAAGGCAATATCTTGGGATATATTTATCGGATCCTTAAACGGGATACCTTTATGGAATCAGGGATGAATTCTCCTTAAATCTGCATCAAAATCCTGCCACATCATTTTTTTTCGATTTTTTTCAAATTTTTCTGATGGAGAAAAATGGAGAAAATCGGGGAAACCGACATTGAGTACACTGCGAAGGCAATATCTTGGGAAGTATTTATCGGATCTTTAAACGGGATACCTTTATGGAATCAGGGAAGAATTCTCTTTAAAACTGTATCAAAATCCTGCCACATAATTTTTTTTCGATTTTCTCCAAATTTTTCTGATGGATCCCCTTAAAAATGGAGAAAATCGGGGAAACCGACATTGAGTCCACTGCGAAGGCAATATCTTGGGAAATATTTATCCGATTCTTAAACGGGATACCTTTTTGGAATCAGGGAAGAATTCTCCTTAAATCTGCATCAAAATCCTGCCACATCATTTTTTTTCGATTTTTTCCAAATTTTTCTGATGGATCCCCCATCAGATGGCGAAAATCGGGGAAACCGACATTGAGTCCACTGCGAAGGCAATATCTTGGGAAATATTTATCCGATTCTTAAACGGGATACCTTTATGGAATCAGGGAAGAATTCTCTTTAAAACTGCATCAAAATCCTGCCACATAATTTTTTTTCGATTTTCTCCAAATTTTTCTGATGGATCCCCTTAAAAATGGAGAAAATCGGGGAAACCGACATTGAGTCCACTGCGAAGGCAATATCTTTAGAAGTATTTATCGGATCCTTAAACGGGATACCTTTTTGGAATCAGGGAAGAATTCTCTTTAAAACTGCATCAAAATCCTGCCACATAATTTTTTTTCGATTTTCTCCAAATTTTTCTGATGGATCCCCTTAAAAATGGAGAAAATCGGGGAAACCGACATTGAGTCCACTGCGAAGGCAATATCTTTAGAAGTATTTATCGGATCCTTAAACGGGATACCTTTTTGGAATCAGGGAAGAATTCTCTTTAAAACTGCATCAAAATCCTGCCACATCATTTTTTTTCGATTTTTTTCAAATTTTTCTGATGGATCCCCTTAGAAATGGCGAAAATCGGGGAAACCGACATTGAGTCCACTGCGAAGGCAATATCTTGGGAAATATTTATCCGATTCTTAAACGGGATACCTTTATGGAATCAGGGAAGAATTCTCTTTAAAACTGCATCAAAATCCTGCCACATCATTTTTTTTCGATTTTTTTCAAATTTTTCTGATGGATCCCCTTACAAATGGCGAAAATCGGGGAAACCGACATTGAGTCCACTGCGAAGGCAATATCTTGGGAAATATTTATCGGATCCTTAAACGGGATACCTTTATGGAATCAGGGAAGAATTCTCTTTAAAACTGCATCAAAATCCTGCCACATCATTTTTTTTCGATTTTTTTCAAATTTTTCTGATGGATCCCCTTACAAATGGCGAAAATCGGGGAAACCGACATTGAGTCCACTGCGAAGGCAATATCTTGGGAAATATTTATCGGATCCTTAAACGGGATACCTTTATGGAATCAGGGAAGAATTCTCTTTAAAACTGCATCAAAATCCTGCCACATCATTTTTTTTCGATTTTTTTCAAATTTTTCTGATGGATCCCCTTACAAATGGCGAAAATCGGGGAAACCGACATTGAGTCCACTGCGAAGGCAATATCTTTAGAAGTATTTATCGGATCCTTAAACGGGATACCTTTTTGGAATCAGGGAAGAATTCTCTTTGAAACTGCATCAAAATCCTGCCACCTCATTTTTTTTTCGATTTTTTTTCAAATTTTTCTGATAGACCTTCTAAAAAATGGAGAAAATCGGGGGAGTACTCACTTTGTCTGGAGACCTCGCGATGGCGCTCGAGGTCCGTCTTGTTGCCCACTAGGATGGCGCCGCGGGTGAGAAGCATCTCGTTCTCCTTGAGGTACTGGAGCACCCGCTCGGCGGCCTTGAAGGTGTTCTTGTCCACCACCGAGTAGACGACCACGAAGAGGTCGATGTTGTATGTGGCGCAGAAGGCCTCCGTCTGGAAGGAATAATTGGTTACTGGCAGTAGGTCCTAGATCCTAGACGAGTGGACGCCCGACGCCCACACATGATGCTCTAGTTTATTCATAATTGTGCCACATTTTCCCCCACTTGTGTCCTTTTTGGAGCGGCAGAGCAGACCGGCAGGAGCGACAAAGTGTTAATGACATTTGGCAACTGTTTCCAGCGGCAGATGGGACGACATGGACTGATGGCTGACTGAATGGCAGGATGCCACCACGCCACAATGACAGAATGACAAAATGATATAGTGTCTGAGTGATAGAGGGATGGAAGGGTGGAAGGGTCTGTCTGAATGGTACTTAACCCACAAGCTGGCACAGCTTGACCCACTGGGCGGCAGACTGCACCGCATTCAAGTGTTTTTGTGGGGACAAAGGACGCAGCCAGGGACAGGCTTACTTACCGACATCTCGCAGGCTGGGTGATCGATAATTTCCAAGTCCGTCTCAATGTTATCAACCAGGACAGAGACCGTCTTCTGGCCATAGTCGTCATCTGAAACGGAGAACAATGCCCAATAACAATATTAAGCTAATGGAAGGGTTATCAGAAATAGGTGTGTCCTACTTCGCCCTAATTAAATATTCCCCCAACTAGCTGCGAATTCCATGGAACAGGACCCTTCCGGGAAGTTGCAAACACAAGCACAACTCCCATTTACATCGCAGAGTAATCTTATTAAAAAAAGCAACCCGTGCGTTGCAAAAAAGTTGGATTCCATGAAAGGGAATGCTTTCAAAATAATCGCCATTGCCAGGCACTCCGGACAGGTGCACATACATATGAGGGGTACAGTGTGTCCTGTGTATCCTGCCTGGGCAGTATCCTTTAATGCAGTCGCACTCCCTCAAGTTGCAACACTCGCGGACTAAAATCGATCAAATGCCAGCGACAATCCTTTTGCAGGGAGCTAGCTAGGTTGGTGGGGAGCTGGCTGGTGGGCTGGTGGGCGTGGCGCCCATAAAACCGTAATCAAAGTGATTTTATTTGCCCAGCAAGTTAACGTCGCAATTGGTGGGTGGTAGCTCTGCCCTGTCATTGAGTCGTTTTTTAGCCAAGAACCGTTTCGAGCCATAAAACGTGAAAACTCCATGGTCCGGGTCTGGAACCGTAAAGCCTTTGTCACCGAAGCACTCACAAAAAAGAGGGTCAACTATTTAGCTATCCCTTTAGATTCTTGTTTAAAGGATATTTGTCAACTGCTTCAAGGACTCTCTCCAAACTCCAATTATGTTTGGAATTTGAAACTCTATTGTTTTTTCTGGCCCGATTTTGCTCAGTGCCTGAACTCCGCCCAATCCGCGCTGTGTCAGCACTTTGACACGAGCCAGCAGTATAGAAAGGATGGCAAGGATCGCAGGGATACTGGCGAGGATGCAGAGGTGGTTGCCGGCAAAGGATAACGAAGAATAGGACAATGGGTGGGCGGCGACAATAACTGCAGTTTGCGTCCAACTCTGTTTGCATTCAGCTGTGGCAAATATTTAGACGCCAGGCGACCCGCATCCGGACGGGCACCCGCATCTCCCCCGTCCACCCGTCCACCCGTCCGTCCCTGCCACACCTCGGGTTAATTTGCATGTTGCAAGTAATTTTCCGTGCGTGGGCGGTGCCGCAAAAATTCAATAGAAAAGAAAAAAAGAAAAGAAAAAGAAAAGCAAACGTGCAGCATGGCTGTATGGCGGGAGAAGCCGCCTAATGGCAGTCCTGGGTGGCCCCCGTATCCAGGCTCAGTCGATTAGTCATGCCATTGCCAGGATACCCACTCGCTTTGGCGAGTTCTGGCCAAGCAATTATACAAATCTTTGAGTCAACTAAAGACTAAAACCAGACAATCTATAAAGGCCAACAGGTGTTGGCCAACATTTCAATTAAATGGGCCAGAAATAGACTTGGAATAGAGTCTCCTCCGGAGCTAACCAAAAACGCGAGTTGGCCTTAATTGGGAAAACTAAAAGCTTTGTTTTAAAATCGGCCAAGCACACGTCCTGGCCAAGATTAAGTTGGATCGGACATGAAACGCCATAAATCCACCAACTGTCTCAACTAAAGGCCAAAATGCGAGGCGAAACATGGCCGGAAACATCGGCCATTGGCCATGCAACGTGTGGCCAGGACTTGCGTGTGGCCACAATCACAAATGCAGAGTCCTGCAACGGCCCTCATTCCGGCCCCAAAGAGGCCTAAGCCAGAAGCCAGTCATAAAGCATAGTTCGCCGAGCCTGTGAGGCAATTAGGACGAGGAATTTTATTATCCAGAGCCAGTTTCCGCGTGGGCACCAAGTCCATGGACAGTGGACCTCTTTGAGAAATTAGCCAGCGCTCCCCAACAGACTCCTCTGGCCACACGCGAACCACACGCGTGTCCTGTGGGGCACCCAGGGTGGGCGGCAAGGGTGTGGCATTCTGTGGCCTAATGTACGGAAGGCGTTGGCCGAACAGGAACTGCATTTGCTTTTGCCAGCCGACTATGTAATTGTTTTTCCGACTAAATTGCTCATCCGAAAGCGGTCGGTGGTCGGAGATTTGACATGAAGGACCTTTGTGCAGCAGGGACAGTCAGGGCTGCCACGTGAGCTGCCACAATTGTGGTCTTGCAACAAATGGCAGTAGTCGAGTTGTTTAATTATCACTCCGGCAGAGAGCCAGAGTCTGCTGGGATTTCTGCTGGTAAAACTTTCGAGTTGATCGAATTTCTTAAAAGCCCTGGCATTCCCCTCTATCTCCTTTAAAGTCAGGGCCCCTTATCCTGTCGAGGGCAGACTCAAGCATTTTGCCAAAGGATAAGGCAACCGTAATTACTCGCCAGGACTCGATGCAAGCTCGGATAAAGACTTGCTTTTCGGGAAACGAAAGGGTAATTCGATATTATTGGAATTGAATTAATTCGGGGGGAACCTGCCACAACCTTGGCCTTCAATTTATTAACCAATTATCGTTCCACCTGTGGCCAGTGCATCCTTTAAACAGAATTGCACTTTCCGGCCGGTATTCCGGTATTTTGAACGGAAACTGGATCTTGATTTGTTTCACCTACTAAGGACCTCTAAGGACTGTGTAGACTTTAAGTTGCTTTTGGGAAGAGCCTCCTACCCCGGAAACCTACTCAAACGAAGCAGGATGTCAGTTTATTCCGCGGTTTGCTTCCCAGCCACCCACTTGCCAGGCGAAAGTTAATGAAATTAGCGCCCGAGCTTTTCATATTTTATGACTTTGTGCCATAATTAAAATGCAAATGTGTTTGATTAAAAGCCGCATAGCAAAGAGCCAGCCCAGGTCGATGGGGGAGGCCGAACAGGCCGAACTTACCCAGGCTCAGGTCGTAGGCGCATATATAGTCGGATGTGGTGAACTGGTAGGTCAGGGTGGTCTTGCCCACGCCGGAGCTGCCGAGCATCGCCACCTTGTAGGCGGGGACGGGTGGTGTGCCGTTCTGCTGTTGTCCTTGGGCCCCAGGATCACCGTCGATGACTTCGCCGGATACACGCGATGCGTTGCTAATCAAGTTTCGGTTTCGAAAAGAAATTTATAAAAAATCGTAATGTAATTAGAGGGATTTTTCGTCTTTAATATATTGCGTGAATAAAAAACACACATATATCCTGATCCTGGGAGACGGAGGCGTCGGAGGCGGCGGGAAGGACTCGGAGTAATAACAATAATAAGCGGCAGCCGCCGTTTGTTACTCGCAACAAAATGAAATGACAGCCCCAGCGGTGGCAAGGACATGGGGTTTCTCTGACAATGAGATGGAAAATGCCAAGGCATTGTTGCCACTCATCTTCATCTTCATCTTCATCTTTTCGGCTCCTTTAGTCCTGTCCTCTGCCAGGAGGATGCCAAAGGACGCATCCGAGGAGCAGTCGTGTGTGTGTGTGTGTGCGTCGGTTGTTAATGGCAGCAGGAAATTGTGCGAAATTAGTGTGTTTGTGCCGCGACGTGGTAGCCGTGAAAATGCTGCACGTTTCCCATTGTTGTCGTCATGCCGCCGAGCCACCGAGCCACCGAGCCGCCGAGATACCGTGCCGCCTTCCCACCAGGACCTCCTACCCAGGCTTATTGTCATTTTATAAACAATTTATTGCCAGCCACTTTGGCCTCCAACGAACCATTCATAGACTCGTTGAGCCATTGATTCCTCGACTCGATGTACTCACCTATTGTGACGGTCCACGCCGCTGTTTGAAGTGCCCGTCGATGTCACGGAGTTGATGGAACGCGACCTGCGGCTCCTACGGGATTCGACAGGATATTTAGAGACAAAAGCTATGGGTCCTGGCTGAGAGACTTACCTTAAGGAATCGCCCAGGTTGCAGACGCCGTGCGAGGTGATACTGAAGCTGCGCAAACGGTAGTACTCCATGTCCAGGTCCCCGGCATGGATGGCCGAGCGCCGCATCTCCGCCAGACGAGGCTGCAGAATAAATATGCCCGGAGGAGTAGACAGCACTGATTAAGGGATTCCACCTGGCCAACTACCACTACGGACTATGGATTCGGATTCGGATTCGGAATCGGGACAAAAAATCCTCATATCTTACGGACTACAAAAGGTGGGATGGTCTTCAAAAGACTTTCCTTTTTTAAAATATATAACTTCTGCATATTCCTATATCACTCTAACGATTCCACAACCATTTCAGTTCCTTTTCCAGGACTTTCCTACTCCTACACTCCTCTGTCTAATTTAATATTCAAACGAAAAAGATTCCAGTGCCTCGAATTGAAAGGCAAAAAAAAACCAAACTCCATCTCATGTTACATTCTTTTGTAATTATAAAAACCTGAAACTCGACCGACAGGATGGCAAAGCCAAAAATTTTATTAAATGCATTGTCCTTCTGCTCGTCATTCCTAGCTGGAATCAAATTCCTCCTCGCCCACAGGACTCTCCCGGGTCGACCGGCTGGCTGGCTGGCTGGAAAGGTTTCAATTAGAATGCATCGAGTTCCCTGTATGAATAAAAATCCTCTGGTTGCACATATCCTGTCAAGGATGGACGGACAGATGGGATGGATAGATGGATGGAAAGTGGCCGGAGGCTGGCTGGGCTGGTTGGTTGCTTGTTCCTGCCAATTGCAGCGCCACAAATTTCCCCGGGGGGTGGGGCCGAAGCACTCTGAATGCAGGGAATATGTATTTGCGGTTGGCCTTTTGGGCCTTTTCGTCCTTCTGGTCCTTGCGGCCGAGGCGGGGATTACGACTCGAACAACTCGAACAAAAGTTGGTTGAGTTTTGAGTTTTTTTCGGCAGTGCGAGTGCGGCAGTCTGTCCCCCAACCAAGGATACCCTTCCGAAGGGCCCAAAGACGAACATCCACCCTGGTTTTTAAGCTTCTGCCTTTAAATACATCTTTCAGGGACTATGGGCTTCGGATTGTCATCCTTTTGGATGGAGGTAGTGGAGTGGAAAGGATCTGGGGACTGCTGCAGTCGACAAGCTTCTTTCTTTTCGCCGTCGAGTGCACAGAACACTTGACACTATTCCGATTTTAATGCCGACTCCGCCATTGATTCCTGCCGAAGGTTCGCGCTCACTTTAATTGCACAGCCAGGATTTTGGTGAGTTCTTATTTTTCCAGCACATCCAGAAATCAATTGCGAATTCTGAGCGGCAGCTGCGGCATTTTCACGTGAAAATGATGAAAACTTTGAACCCGGCACGGGTCAATGCTCGCCTCGCCTGCTTGCCTGCTCCACTTTCCACTGTCTTTCCGTGAGTCCTCCCATGAGGCAGGTGCAGGTGCAGTAGTTGCACGTAGCACACGCGCTGCACCGTTTTCACTCGAGCAATTTCACAAACTAATTACATTAGTTGCTGCGACTAGACAGACAAGAAGGCTGGGCCGTTTTGGCTAGGATGTGCCATAAATCCTTCCTAATGACTCACAGCACTGCACTTCCTAGTGAGACGCCGCTTTAAGCCAGTCCCCTTTAAGAGATTGGCACATCCTTACAAACTGTAAGCAGAAAGTATACTTTTTTTGCGGCAAAATGTTCCTCATATCTTTGGCGGAAGAGCTTGTCCGCCCGCAAAACCACCAGCAAACCACAACCATACACATTTTTCAAAGTGCCAAGTCGGCAAAAAGACGCCAACCAGGTGGCTGAAGTGAAAGGATGAAGTCCTGGTAGTCCTGCCACGTCCTGCCAGGCGGAGACTATGGCAGCCAATGACCCCACATCAGAGGGTCGTGTATCAAATGCTCAGTCATGCCGAATGCTGCAAACTTGGCCCCAAAAAAGCACCCCCGCACTTCCCACAGCCGAACATGTGTAATCCTTGAAGGATAAGGATGCTGTGGGAGGGAGGGATGGGAGGGTGCCCAGCTATTAGGAATATCTGACTGCCTGCTCCCTGGTGCTAATGGGCGTCCTTAAATGGCTTTTGTTCTCCGGGCCAAGTTGCAATTACTTGTCGCTAGCGCTCTCGTTGTCGTTGTCGTTGTCGTTGTCCTTGTCGATGTCCTTGTTGTTAGTGCGATAATCCCCATGAACCGGCCGTTTTAGCCCGAAACTAATATGGCCCGAACATGACTCGGCGCCACCAAAAACCCTCAAACCGGCCCGACACCCAGGTGAATATTGAAATGCTAAATGCTTCTTTTTCCAGTCAGTTGGTCGTTTTCCTGTTTCCCTTTTTTTTTCTCGTTAGTTTTTCAGTTAGTTAGTTGTTGATTTAGTTACTTTAGTTAGTGGCTTAGTAAAATGGTTTAGTGTAAATAGCTGCCAGTAGCACACACAACCAAAGGATAGGAAAACCCTGGACAGCGTCGCGTTCTTTTCGTGTGTAAATTTTTCCGAAATAGAAAGACTATCAGGCAGTTCCTCTCCAAAAAATTCCAATAAAATAATTGTCCTTGTAGTCTTGATAAAATTTCACCGTAATTTGCACCGTTATGTGTTTCGTAATCGTATCACCCAAATTTTGAATTGAAAAATGTGTTTAGTGTGTAGGATATCGGTTTAAATACAAAATGCGGAAGGAGCTTGGTAACGTCCTGCTTCCTTCCGGCGTGCTGCGATTCGATCGACTTCGCACCTACTTACTCACCCTGCGACTCTCCGCCGGCATGCTCGAGGTCCGGAGCCGCTGCCGCTCCGCCAGAATGCGGCTGCCCGGCGGATGGGAGGCGGCCACCACGGCGGCGGCCAGCGTGGACACCGACGTGCTGGCCCCGGACGACTCTCCCACACCGCGCTCCCGTTCCCGCGGCAAGTGGGTCGGCACGTGCTGTTGCTGCTGCATCTGCTGCTGCTGTTGCTTCTTCTTCTGCTGGAGCTTGGAGCCGGCTCCGCCCATGGCCTCCGAGATGGGGGACAAGGAGTCGCTGGAATCGCCGGTGGGCGAATCGGTGGCATCCGGGCCGCTGGTGACTTCGGCGACGGCGGCCAGAGTGGTGCTGGAGCCGCCCAGCAGGCCCACGCCCACGGTGACGTTGAGGGAGCTGCCGCCCAGGAGCCCGCCTCCAGATCCAGGTCCTGGCATCATCAAGTCCCCGGTGCCGGGCGGGTTGAGGGAGCCGACGGTACCATACTGCGGGGACACGGCCCCAGACATGGCCTGCTGGAAGGTCAGGACTCCGGCCAAGGACATGCGGTCCCTGCAAGGATCAGAGAGGAAGAGTATTCGCGCTGTTAGCCTAAATCTCAGCTAGAGCTATCAATGTTTTTAAATATTTTTTATATCCCGACTGGCTGAAGCCCTCTTCGTCCTGGCCAATTGCATTTTCGTCCCTAATTGGCCCACTTAGCGGGCTGATGAATACTGATTGGAGGGAGCCAGGCCGATTCAGGACAATCCGGACCTAACCCCGGCCAGCCGCACTGCAATTAACCCTTAATAAGCGGCGCATAAAGGGCTTTCAGGCTCTCCAGGACACGCCCGACCCACCCCGGCCCAGAGGCGAGTGAGCCATCAATTTAGTCCAAAAAGGTTATTTCGGGATATCCCCTCCCTCCATGACTTGGGCCGAGTGCTGGCCAAAAATGGAAAATGATTTTGAAAGTCCTTGCCACAAACTTTACGAGGGAAGCCATGCCATGCAGCTGGGCAGCATCTGAAATGCAGTCTCTGCCGCATTCCGCATCCAGGCACTTCCAAGTGGATGCAATTCATCTTTCGGCCTGCCCCGGCAAGGACAATGGCACAATGCTGGCCCACATCCTTGGGCCGAGGAGGCCAGAGTTCACACAGTGGCCGGGTCAGGTAATTAGGTGGCCTTCCTTCCCCCTAACCTTTCCCCCTCCTTCAGGGGGTATTGTTGGCCAAGTTTTTAATTATCATTTTTTGTTGTTTATGGGCGGCTTCCTCCTCCAGCTTCTGCCACTTTATTATCTTTTTCTTTGGCTTTTCCAAGAACACCAAGAGAAAAATGAGTCCTACCTGGCACTGCTGCTGTGAGAGATCCTCTGCAGGTCCTCGCTGCCCAGGGGGGCTCCACCGATGCTGTTCCTGGCGTAGCCGGTGTAGTCCGAATGCAGACAGTTGGCGGCGATGGACGAGGCGCGTCGTCGGTTCAAAATGGGAGACTTCTGGGCACGCAGGCTCTGCTGCAGATTTACAATTCGGGAATAAGCCTGGGCGAGATTGAAGAAAAGGATTAAGAGGGACTTACCCGACTTCCGGTTGGGTTCTGGGCGGCGTTGAGAAAGTCCCCGTAGGTGCTGAGAGCGGGTGCCGTGGAGGCTTCCTGACTCTCCCACTCCCTGTCGTACTCCAAGTACTGATCCTGCGGGTTCTGCGGCTCCTGTTGGATGTAGTCCTGCTGCTCCTGCGGCTCGTAATCGTACTGCGACCTCTGCTGCTCCTGCTGCACATTGTATCCCGCGTTGTATCCTGCAGCGCTCGAGGTGCTAGGACCCTGGATGTAGTTTCCGCCGGCGGGGGTCAGGTTGGGGCGACTTCCGAAGCCGCTCTGCTGCTGGACGCGCTGCAGGGCCGCCTCCCGGGTGTGGAACGCGCCCAGACCGCCGTGGGTGGGCGGAGTGGGCAGGAGGCGGTGCACCACGTGGGGCACGGGCTGTTGCAACTGCTGCGGCGGCTGTTGTTGCTGCTGCGGCTGCTTGAGGATCGGCTTGAGCACGTTGTAGGCCAGCTGGTGGGGAGCCGGCGAGGGTACTGGACCCGGAGTGCTGCTACAGATGCTGTCGCTCTCATCGCAACTGGCGTCTAAAGGAAAAGGATAAAAAATCAAACTTGAAACTCAAACTATTTGAGACAGAGGAATGCCAAAGGCCGGAGGGACTTTGGGAGGCCCGCGAAGGACACCTGTGGCCCGCCAACCAGCCAACCAGGTGTCCTTGTACCAGGAATTATGCTTCCCAAGTCAAAGTCAAATGTGAAAATGCCTTCCCATCGTCGTCAGGACCCAAAAAAAGCAAAAACTTTTCCGAGACATTTCCCCAAGTCCAAGTCCTTTCTGGGCTGAATCCTGGACGGGGAGCGGTGAGCCGTGGGCGTGTTTGCTTTTCTGTTTACATGTTTATGGCCGGGCTTAAGTTTTTCCTACATCCTGGCTCCTTTTGTTGCAGAAATGCCAGAAAAAATTAATAAACTTTGGCCGGGTGGGTGGGTGCCGTAAAAATTGTTGGTTAGACTTTGAATTTTGGCAGAAAAAAAAAAGGAGCCGGCAGCCACACATGAGGCATTCTGCTCACCAACTCGGGGTAGCTGTCCTGGAAGCGCCAGGCAACCAGTCAGGATACACGCCCTGAATGTACAACCGCTGGGTGGCCATAAAAATTGTTTTCAACATATTTATGATTAAATTTCATGACTCCGACCTTGTCTAGGCTGGCTTTCGTCCTGGTGCTTACTCTTAATTAGCGCCAGGACTCGGGTCTTAAAATTAGGTTCCACGAAGGTCCTAAATCTGCATCCCCCGCCCCACAACAAGTGTCCTTTGTAGACAGAGTTGCAGTTCAATCATTCGATTAATGAGTTTTCCATTTGCCAGGACGTTTGTCAGGATGTTTTTTTGTTTCTACTCTGTAACGGGCGATTAATCATAACTCACGGCTTACGGGTCACGGGTCAGAGGGTCAGAGGGTCATGGCACCCCAGCACTAGGCTGGCGAACGGAAAAACCCATTCATTGTCAGTTGGAAAACACATTTTCAGCCGCATTCACTCGAATTAATCACCATGAAGGACCCATCCATTATAGAAATGAGTCTGCGGATCCATTCAACAGTTTACCAAATGCAATTAAGTGGACAAAGCGGATTCGAGATCCTGGCCATCCTTAAAGTTGCGGGAGTCCTGCCATCGCTGTCCCTGTCCCTATCCCTGTTCCATTTAGTCCCAGCCAGGTGGATGGCACAGAGCCTGAGAGCCTGGGAGGCACAAGGGAGCCTGAGAGCCGATTATCCTTGTAACCCGTCAATGTCACCGCCCATTTTAACTTTGTCGGTTGCCGGTTGCCGGACAACAAAATAAAACCCAAAAAAAAAAGGACGACTAAATGGCGGACCTTTTCGCTTTTACTCTTCATTTGCCACTTTTTGAGTTGATGTTTAATTTTTGGGGTATCCTTGCTTCCGGCCCGTGGCCTTGACTGGTGGAGACGGGGGACGGGAAACAAGGGGATTCCGTGGAATATGTTTAATTTCTTTAAAAGATTGCCTACATTCGAGGACTGCTGTATCCTTGTCCTTCACTTACAGTTCATTAAATATGATACCCCAGTCAGTCTATGTATTTGAACCGCAAACACATTTTGAGGTCAAAGGCAAAGGATGTCCTCCAACATCAATGGAGGCTGCTGGCTTTGAAAATGTCCTGCCGCAGCTAAGTGATTGGAAAGAAGTTATCCTTTTACCCGAGCAGTTATCCCTGATGCACTTATCCTTTCTGGCACAGCCACAAAACTTACTTTGGTTACTTTGCAAACCCACTTCAGAGTCCAGTGCCCACACACATTCTGGTTGCCATTCTGGCACTCTCCGGCAAAAAAGAGGCCACTTGTCGCTTTGTCAGCTTCCGGGCCGTAACAAGTCCGGGCCGGAGTCTTAATTAACCTGCCAGGCTGACCAGGCAGCACGGCAAGTCCGGCAAAAGAACTGCATTTGGGCCTTGCCACGCCATGGGGCACGCATTTCCGGACAGCCCCTCATGTAGGAGGGTAGGGCGTGGCCCACTAACACGTGACTAATTCCCTAATCAAGCCCCAAGATAAGCCAGCTGGCCGAGATTGGCAAACTGTGAAATGGAAAGGAGGCATTTCGTGTCCCGAGATTGCGTGTTCCGCCGGAATGGCGAATCGCCTCCGGCGACCCAGTTCTATTTTTAAAGGAATGACTGCTCTTTGAGGAGGATATGGCTTAAATGTTATGTATTTTTACTCACCGAAATCAAAGGCCCTCTCCAGGATGGTGGAGTGCCGCTTCTCCTGCCGCTCGATCCTCTCCAGACGCTCCTTGGCCGCTGCCGCCACCGAGGAGCCCGGCTCGTCGCTGGAAGAGCTCTTCGGAAGCCCCACGCTGACGGCCGGAGCCGGAATCGGAGCCGGAACCGGAGCATAGCCATAGCCGTAGCCCTTCAAGGGCTTGCCGCCGCCATTGTCCTCGCCGTCAGGACCCATGCGCTTCTGCTGCTGCTGTTGTTGTTGGTATTGCAAGTGGCAGTCGCAGGGCAAGGACACGAGCATCTGCTTCGGCTGCTGCTGCTGCTGCTGTTGCTGCTGTTGGGACTCCATCCGCCCGTCGACGGACGGCGACTGCGAGGGATTCTGGTGCAGACAGCAGTACTTGATGTGCTTGCAGAGCAGGCCTCCTCCTCCGCTGCTGCTGCCGCCCAGCGATCCTCCGCAGCCTCGTTCCGCCTTCGAGCTGCCGGTCACGGCTTTCTGGTTTCCCGAGGAGCCTCCTCCGCCACTACCGCCGGCGGCGCTACGCTGGCTGTTGAATACGGCCGGGAGGTCCCCACCAATGGCACCATCACTACCGCCCACTCCCATGGCCACGTCGATGAGGCTGCCGCTGCTGCTGGAGCTGACGTTCGGGCCGAGCAGGACCGGGCCAAAGCCGAGGCGATTCAGGCCGTTCTGGCTGAAGCTGATGCTGCTGCCGCGCTGCCGGTTGAGACGCAGCGAGTTGGAGCGGCTGCCGGATGTGGCGCCGTAGCGGGCGTCACGGGACATCATCAGCTCGGCGCCGCTGCCGCTGCCACTCCGGCCACGCATCGGGTAGACGGACATGTTGTGTTGCTGGGAGGGAATGGGTAGAGTCGCGGAGCGGGTGGGATGGGACAGGTGGCTTACCTGGATGTGCGGCTGCTGGGGGTGTTGCTGCTGCGCCTGCTGTTGCTGCTGTTGCTGGAGTTGCTGTTGCTGCTTCTGGAGCTGCTGCTGGTAGCGGCGCTCGGCTCGGTCGCCGCGGTCCGCACGGTCCCCGCCGCTGTGGCTCCGCAGGCTGCCACCGCACCGCTGTCGCTGGGGCTGCATGGAACTGTTCTGGCGCGGAATGACCTACGGGGGCGAGAGGGGCGAAAAGGTGAGGGTCAGTAGGGGCTCCCACAGGGGCTAAGACAGGCACAAACGGGGCGACTTTGGGCTACCTTGTCCTCCAGCAGGTTGGCGAACAACCCCACATGGTCCTCGTCTTCGTTCATCATGGCGAAGAAGTTCTTGAATGTGTCCGGGAATGAGGCCGGAAACTGGCCCCGCGCCTCCAGCTTGGTATCCATGGCTGCCTCTCTCTCTCTCTCACTCTCTCTCTCTATCTCTTTCTATATATATATGTACTCTTAATGAGCGCCTATAGCCTTCTCTTTTTAACACTTATTCTTTTTTTTTTGGTCCGACGTCGAAGGCAAGCGCGCAGACCAGAAAACATGCAAGAAGAGAACACGCGACGAGGTTAGAAAAGGACAGCGAAAGCGGAAGCGATAGTTCGGGCCGGAAATGAGAAACGAACTCAAAACTCTAAAAAAAAAAGTACAAAAAAAAAGAACACATAGAACATTAAAAAAAAATATTAAAACACAATTATCCTTGCAACTGTTTTGGAAGTCATGCCAAAGCTCTGGATGATCTGTGGCCCAGGAGTGATCTCTGGGATGAGCTCTAAGGACTCTAATGGTGACTGGATGACTGATAGACAACATTTAGAGTATTAACCAACGATTACACATGAAGATGAATCGAGGCGAGGTGGAAATGCTTCACAATGATTTCCCCCAATCTCTTCCTTGGCTAAATACTTGGCCTCCCCCCCTTCGGCATTCCCCAGGACCTTCCGCACTTTTCCGAGTGAAAAGTTATCAGACAGCCGACAGGACACAGGAGGTGTCAGGCCACGTCTGTCTCTGTTTCCGGCTGAAAAGTTATTTTCACGGCGGCGGTGATTTTTCCGGACGAGGTCCACCAAACTTTTGGCATTCTTCTCTATTTCTGGCAGTCACCTGGGAAATGCTAATGAGGTCCTCACAGAGAATGTATCTACTATTCAGATACCATTTAGAGAGAGCTCTAGCTATAATTGATTTTAGCAGGAAACCCCTTTGGCTACAAGTCCAGAGTCTAGACTTTCCAAAGCTTACTGCTCCAGGATAATGGTCCTCCTGGAAACAGTTTCACTTTTCCCACTCTTCCCCCAGTAATCTGCTTTCCAGGAAACCTTTCCAGAATCCCACTAACATGTATTACCATAATGCCACTAATTTTCCACTGCAGCTTAAATCAGCCCCTCCCCGGCCATTTGTGAGGCGTCAGGACCTTTCTCACACTCGCCCCCTCTAATGCCTTTAACCAGGCCCGGCAAGCAGCAACCATGTCAAGTGGAACCTGGCCCAGACTCTGGCGTTGGGCTTATTAAAAAGTTACCAGCCTAGTGTGGCTGAAAGGCACTGAGAGAAAAAGTTGGCTGCCACTTCGAGGTGCTCTGCAAAAACGTAATGTAATTGCCTCGCTTTTGCCGAGTGTTTGAAGCGTTTAGTGCCCTCAAATGGTTGCACGTCCTGCCTGCCCCACCCCCTACCCTACCCCATCCTCTGGCAAGTGCACCTTGGAGTCCCCGCCCTTTCCCGCCTGCGAGTCCTTTAAGCCTGCTATCATAGCGGCCTTTTTAATTAGCAAGCCAAATGTAAATTCGTGTAAACACCCAAGCTGCCAAGAGCAGAGGATGGTGGTTGGAGGATGGAGAGGTTGATGGTTGATATATTCACGTGGCTGTTTATCTTGGAGAGAGTTCTCTATCCTCCCGACACATCCTCCTCCGATTGCCGCGTCTTGTCAATCAAAAAATCCAGTTTATTTCCATGTTCGCTTTTGACTTTTCAATTATTTTTGAAGAATTGAAAATCGTTTGTTTGGCAATCGAAGGGGGGCTGTCGGATATGTCCCGACTTTGTAGCTTTTGCTGTGACCTACTTTTTGGGCCACAATCCTGGGTAGGTATTTCCGGGTTTTTGGATATGCCCCGGGGTTTCCCTAGACCCCTTTGCTGAGCCACGGTTTGAAGGACCGCGACCGAAGTGTGAAGTGCGATCCCATCTGGGGGCCCTGATAATTTATGCCACACTGACCCAATATCGAGTGGCGGCCACTTCTGGTGGTGGCGGATGGCGGGTGGCGGGTGGCGGGTGGCCCTGGCAGCTTAGGGGGCGACCCTTGGAAAAAGGCAACTGGAGCTGAAGTGGCACTTGGACGTTGCGCTGGGCAACAAACTAACCGGGACACAGGGAAAATATAATAAAGGAACAAGAAATAAATAAAAAGGCGCATGAAATTGGATTTGCACAGCACTGGCACACAAGGGCGTGAAGGAGGTGGGTGGGTGGGGGCTGCCCAGAATGGCGGTGAAAGTAAAGAAAGTGCTGCCAGGGGTTTGGAGGGCAAAGGGCCACCCAACGAAATGAATGAATGGCGGAGGCGAACAGAACGGACAGCTCCAAGTGAGAGGATCAAGAGGGGGCGTTGCCTTATAAATGTTTAAGCAGAAGCCTCTTCAGCCTCCCTCGGCCCTCTCGGCCCCCCTTGATACGCACCAGAGCACCCAAAAGCAAAAAGCAAAACTTCCATTCGGAGTAGAAAAATAGAAAAACAACACCATCAGAAAATGGAGCGAACATCCCAACCAACCCACACCCACACCCGCCCACAGCCCACACACACGTGCACTGGAACACAAAATGTGGTGGCACATCCTTTGGATTGGCAACTTTTTAATACATGTGTGCCACATGCATCATTTTCGCCAGCCACACTCGTCAGCAAACAAATCAAAACCCGGTGTCCTTGATGGACAAAAAGTTGAACTAGTTATTCTAATTAGTTATTTTCCCAGTGCGACCCTGCATGCCTGGTGGAGGTATCCTGGAAGTCCTGGCAACCACACGCATAAAAAACTGAGCCAACAAGGACGATTCGAAAGGGGGGACTGCTCTGTGTGGCGACCATTTGCGGCATGTTGATCTAGCTGTTAAGGCGTTTGTAATGACAGGGATAAAGTTTTATGACAACAGCCTCCGGAGTCCATAGTCCATAGTCCATATTCCATGGTCCGTAGTCCTTAGTCCTTAGTCCCATAGTCTGTCCGTAGTCCTAAGAGAGTACAAAACTTTGGCTTTCACCTTCTGCTGGCTCCCGACGGGTTCGTGTTTGCGAATTCCTAGACTCGTTAGCCCACACAAGGCACACGTGGCACTCTCCTGCCAGGACACTCATGTCTCGGGACACAATCACCAGTCACCAGTCAGGGGCAAGGTGTATCCATGGCCTGCAGCCAGGTGGGCAATCAAAGGATCTCCATGCATAAACAAATGCGTCAAGTGAGCTGTTAACCTGGCCCAAATAATGCGGCAAAGTAAATACCATAATCCGGCCGCCCAGTAGGCCCAAAAGGCAAGTGTTTTGCGGTTAATTTTAAACAAAGCCCAAGAGAGCCCACTACCCAGGGATCAATCCTTGGCCAGGCTCCATGCAGGTAACTCAATTACAAAGTTAACTGGCGAATATATTGTTACTTTTGTGGCTGGATAACTGGGTCAGGAGGAGGCGGCCTGTCAGGAGCAGGAGATGCAAAGGACATAATGACGACGTAAACGTTCCTCCGGCGGAAGTGCGAGTGTGCATCCGAACCGGATTCGGATACGGATACGGATCCGGAGTGTTATTTATTTGTGTTTTTATTGCACTCTGATAGCCGGATTATGGCCAGATGGTAGATGGCAGATGCCAGTTGCCAGTCGAGCCGGATGCCCGATGACCCAGATATCGGCGGTGGCTCTGAAGTGGGTCACCAGAGAGGCTAAAAATAAAACAATTGTCGGAAATGCGGGGACACTGTATCTGGTATCTGTATCTGGCAGGACGTCAGGAGCCAAGGAGAGCCTTTGAGAATGGATGTCGGAAGCTTTTCAATCGAAATACATGGTAACACAGACCTTTGACCCTTTGGGGCATGAAGACAGTCTCCGTTTACCGAAAAGGACTCCCGCCTCACTGCGCCCGGCACTCGTCCTGGCACCTTGCGAGCTCTCCTGCGAGCTCCTTCGCCGCAAGTGATCCAATTCCAATTAATCAGTCGCTAATTGGAGCCCATTGCCAATATTAATTGATTCCAAGACGGAGAACGGAGGACGGACGACTAGATGCTTCTAATTGTAATTGGACTCATGCATGGAGCGTGGAGCAGTGGCAGGGGCAGGACATGGGGTCTGCTATCCTTTGGCAGATAGTTTGGTTTGCGGCTTGAATGGCTTCCAAGGGGTTAATTGGACGATTGAGCGACAGTATCCTTCGTCGAGCTAATTGCAACCGCACTGTTGATATTTTCCAGCCCAGCAGAGTCCTTTTGAGCTCCCATCGACAGCAGGTCCTGCGTCCACCTGTTGTCCCACCAGCCATGCTTAGAACAATGGCCATGCCCCGAAAAAAAGCTGTGAGCTGAGAGAGGAAAACAATGGGTAATCGGATGACAAATCACACGGCAAGTGCTCCAAACTGGACTGGAAGAGGTCTATCCCGATGCATTCAGTACCCGGACGGAAGCCATTCTTCCGTTGCTCTTTTCGCCATCTTCTGACCTTTCTCTCACCTTCCACCTAATGCATTCGAGACACGGCTGATTGAGTGACACCCAGGCAGGGGCGCTGATTGCGAAATTTATTCTCCACTATTGTCGGGATTGGGGCTGTGGACGGGTGCCACGGGGTGAAAAGCGGGGAGCGTAATCAGTTGTCAGACATCTGTCAGGGCATTGGCACCTCCGAAGCCACGGCAGAAGCCAAGGCGAGAAGCCGAGGCCTGTCAGCCGAGGGCTTCATCACTGTCAGTTCGCGAATTCGTATCATTATCCCGGCCTCCTTGCCAGCTTGATTTTTGCCAAGAGAACCCATCCCAAAAGTCCTCCGAATTTCAAACACTTTTATCCCGCGGAAAACCAATCATAAATTATGCCCCAAAGTTTGTTAGTTACTGCGGCGGAGTGCACTGCGGAAGCATTAAGTATTTTTCATTAAAATTAATTTCACATAATAAAGAGTGCCAGATGGAAGGCCGTTTCCTGGCATCCAGAATAAAATGAAATAAAATGAGGGACAAAAATAAGAGGGCAGCCGGAAGCATTTCGAGCGGCTGTCAGACTGGCGTGCCACTTCATTTGTACTCGCCTCCCGCGAAACCCTTCCATACTTTTTTCCAAACAACACACTACCACCCACCACCCACTAACCCACCCACTGTGGCGGTGCGTTGGCATTTAAATACCAGAAACACCAGCCAGCCCCACTGCACTTTAGCTCCTCCGGCTCACGGCAGCGGTGCTTGCTTTCATGGCACGC